GTTCGCATTCGGCATTGTTCTTGGTCTACGGGTTGTCTGGTGGTAGGGTCCCTGATTTTTCTGGACTTTCTTTGATTTAGGTAATATCTGCTTTGCTTCTACTGGTATCTGGTATCAGCCTAGTTGAGAGGTTCTTGGGTAATTTGGCAAACTACTTTTGTTTGTAGTTTCTATTTGGATTGATCTTTGGTGATGTCAACGTTTTTGAATTCTTTTAGAAGCATAAGGTCATAAATATAATTTTTTTTAGTTCTTCCAACAATTTATTATCGTGAAGGAAAAAAGAGAACTCAAAAACCTTTCTAATTCGCCATTTTCACAAAATTTTGATTTTGAAAAGATGTTAATTCAAAAACTCTTTTGATTTCCGCTTCGCGCTCTGATTCAGTGCTGTTTTAGGTAATAGGTAGAAGTAGCTGAATGCGAGCATCTCTGAATTTTGTCCTATTTCATTTAGAACAAGCCTGTTTTCATGTTGTTTTCAAAACTTCTGCTAGGAAACCGAATTCTTTTTGGCCCCAACGATACCCTGTATTCTTTCTAACCTACTTTCCACCATTCCGGACAAAAAAAAAATATTTTCTTCCAATCGTTGAAATAGGCGAACATGCTTCCGACACCTAGAGTTTAAGTAAACTTGGCGCCGCACCCCATTTTCGGAGACGAAAAACAAAGAGGATATAAATGAATGGCATAAATTCTATCGATAGTTTTAGAGTTATAAAACTCAAACGCTTAGCTGAAAGGAAATTCTTGAATTTTCTGACCTTCCTTGAATTAAGCGTTTTGCCTGAGTGAAGTAGTTAGGCAGATTTAGTTTCTATTGTTCTAATTTGTTCCAAATCGTGTTTTGGCTTAACGTCATATTCGCTCCCCTTTCTTCACACCACTCGATCCATAATTTGTTTTGAAATTCGACACCCGCGTCCACTTACGTTGTTGCAAGACCCCCCCCCCTCCGCCCTTTGCAAATGTCTAATCCTCCCTTTATTTACCCGACAACTGAATCACACTCAACGTCTTGCCAGCCGTAGCCAGCCAGTCAGACGAACACACGCTACATGAGACTCTCCAAGAGACGTTTTTGTGGGGATACCATCAAAAGCCATCAAAATTCCTAGAGGATTTGTCAGCTGGGGCGGATACCTGAATTCTTGGCATAGTTTTTGGCGTTAGTCAGAGGTCCTCGCGTGGTCTTTTATTATCCGAAGCTGACGCCTATTGTCTTGCAGTTCCTATGGATTTCTATGGCTCCAAATATCTATTTATTTTGGAGAATTTGAACGTCTTGATGTTTTACAAAAATAGTGCTTGCGTTTTTGAGCTGTCTAATGTTTTTAGAAGCTAAAAAGGCGGTAACCATGAGTTAATTCTCATTTTTAATAGCTTCTTGCTTCGCTATGCGCTTTTCTGATTAGAGGGAGAAATCTTTCTTTTTTTTCTCTGATCGACCACCCAGAGGCATCCTCTAAAGCTCTCAAAATCCGGCGAGTGAGTGTAGTTACAAGTTTGCACAGAGCCTTCCCTTCCTTGCCCCATCTAGACGCTAGAAGCTGCAGTCAGGAATTTGCTCGGAGGCTCCTGGACATCTTGTTTCCATAGCATTTTTGCGGTCGGCCTTAGCTACTGTGATTTTTCTCTTTTCCCTCCAAGCTCACCTTTACTAAATATTTTGGGAAATGGAGGGGCGAGTTGGCAAATATTATTGGGGCATTCAATCTCGCAAAACTCGCTTGCCTTTTGTGGACAGTTGAAGCTTGGGAAAGCCTAGGAAGGCGAGACACTTACTGTTAGAGGGCTAGTTAGCAAAGGGTCTTTGGGAATCTACAATCAGAACGACGATGCCTAGAGGGCAAATTAGCAAATACCCCTCACTAGGTATCACCCCTTATCCCCGGACTTTAGTGTGATCATGTGTGTCTGGGTAGATGTTGGTGATGGTGATGGTGGTGGGGGACGTCGACCCGATGCTGCTGCTGGGTGGGTCTTCTGTTTGCGCTGTGCTCGATTGATCTGAACTGCCCTCCTTTCCCCCTTCGGTCCTACCCCACCATTCCTCTAGCCCCAGAAGAGATTGCAAATAGCACCTTTTCGGAACGATCCCCTCCAGCAGTCGCCCTCAAAGGCCAAACACACACGGGTTTGTAGCCTCAGGGGGCCCTTAGCGCCGCGATTAGCATGGGTAAGGGGGTTAAGGTTTTGGGGAGAGGTGGAATTTGGAACTTTTCGTAGTTTTGGAGCGTAATTTAGGTGCTTTAGCGGCTAAGAAACGTTGTTTACTGTCTCGCTCTCACTGTCTCGCTCGCTCTCTGGCACTCTTTCGCTCTGTCGCTCTCTCTCTCGCTCTCTCTCTCTCTCTCGCTCTTTCTCTCTATATCTATCTCACTCTCTCTCTCACTTTCTGGCTCTCTCTTTCCTCCAACTTTCTCAAACCGCTAAAATTACGAAAAATTCGTCCTTCTATACCGTCCTGTTACCGTCCCTTTGAAACAACGTTATCTATCTACAAACACTCTTTCACGCTCTCTCTTTCTCCGGCTCTCTCTCACTCGCGTTCACTCTCGTTCTCTCTGGTTCTCTCTCGCCATCCCTCTCGCTCGCTCTCGCTCTTTCTCTCGCTCTCTCACTCGCTCTTTTCACTCTCGCTTTCTTTCTCTCTCGCTCCCTCTCTCTCGCTCTCTCTCGAACTTTGAAGCAAAAATTTATCCTGGATGTTGTTGAATTTTAGCGATTTCATACCCTTAATAACTTTCTCTCACTCATACCGTAAACACTACGAAACGATACCCCCATTCCAGCTGACTGGAAGTGGCCCCTTGTGTGTTCGACTTCTCTTCCTTTTCCTTCTCCCTCTTCTTTCTTTTGTCGGGTCAAGTATGGCGTGGTTGTGGTGGGTATTGTAGACCAGGGCCGGTTCAAGGCCGGCTGGTCAACGATCCGAAATCCCGAATTCTCCTGACGCTTGGATGATGCAGTTTTTAGCCTTTTCTAACACTTCTATGCGTTTTACAGGATTCCATGTGTAATTTTCGATAGTTTTTTCTCAGCTACATCTAAAAATCATACGTGTTGTTCGAAGTTTACGGAAATGTTAATGACAATATCCCATCTTCTGAAGTTTTTGGGATAGTATCAGGTAGCAAGTTTTAAGGCTTATTTTTGACGCCTGAAAACCTAACGATCTGGCCTAAAAATGGTTTCAATTTCAATAGGTTGACGGACAAGTTTTTCCTTCTCACCATTTTTCAATGCATTTTGAGCTCAAACAAACCTTGTTAAATTGAATTTTTAACCAAGCTTCAACCTGAAATAATCAATACACTCTAGCGGGTTTTAAATTCATGTCTGTCAATGTAAATTTACGTCCCAAAAAAGCCAATTTATTGAATTCGTAAGAAATCAAAGATAACCTGCAAAACCCATGTTCTTCCCTATCTTTTTCTTTCTTGCATGTTTTCACTGGTTTGCCATCACCCGCTTCGGGGGGTTGAGGGGTTTTATGGCCCTCGGGGGTTGAGAAAGGGGGATGGCATTCCCATTGGTTCGTGTATTCAAATGGCCTCTACCATTCCTTTCTCTCCATTCATTCGCCTTCTCCACATTTGGAATAGTTACCCGGACAAGTTTTTCGTCCTGCTGATTCGGTTTTTGCGATGCTATACGCACGCTTTCGCTATATACCTGGCTGACCTATGGTTGTGAACTTTACGGTATCGAATTTTTAGGCTAATTCTATGCTTTAATGTACCTTTTATTACGTTTTATTTCTTATTACGTAGTAAGTATGTTACGACGTTGCGTTTTTAATCAATTTAGAATCCAAACTGGCGTCTTTGCGTGTTTCGCATCCACTTTTAACTTTCATGCTGTTTATACGACGTAAATTCCTGGCCATTTTACTTGTAAACTTTATTTTCGACTTTTTTAAACTTCTTTATTAATTTACTTCACCATTTCTGCTTCTATATTTTTAGAATGCATTACAAGCTGGAACCAAATTTGCTGTTTCAGCTCGTGAAAAGTGGAGCCGACACCTCAGCGATGGCGGTCTCCTTCGCGGAGCCGTCACGCTCAGCTTCGCCCCGGCTTGTCGCCGAGCAGTTGAAGCGATTTCTACACTCGGCAGAGGTGCGTATTTATCTTTACTAACGTTTTCTTGGCCTCCCTCTCTTTCTCCCTCTCTCTCTCTCTCGCTCTCTCTCTCTCTCTATCTTCAGACAATCTCCTAAAATTTGCATTCCCTTCCATGCGCATCACTAATCTCTCTCTCACGCCCCTGCCCACTTCCCGGTTAAAAGATTGGCGTCAATCCCCAGGTTATCCGCTTATGCGTAGCGTTGCGTAGCCAAAGCAAGAGGGCACTTTTTATGCAAACATCCACCCCGACTGGGTATTTGCCGGAGCTTCTTGCTGGCCTCCCTTTAAATTTTGCCCCAATGCCTTGGGAGCCGGGGACTGGTTCTGGGTCCCAGGCAGGCCTTGGGACCCACTTGAGGCGTTTATGTATCCGACCCCGGGTTCTGCAGGGGGATCTGGTAGAGCTGCGAGAAATTGAAAAAAATGCAGCAAACAAAGGACCAGCTCGCTGAGAAATAAATAGGGAACGGGACGGACATAAGGACATTTGTCTGATTGAATAGGTCGTAAATGGGAAATTCTGGGTAAAATCACCATGAAATTGGTGCCGAAGGGGTTTGGAACCAGACCCTACCGTAATCGTCACTTGGTTTAAATACTGTGTCCGAAAAATCGTAGCTGACCGAGAATTAAAGGTTATTAATGATTTTACCCGAAAGCTTTTGCAAACGCGATAAAACGTGCCTTAAGTTAGCGTCCGAAAGCATTCGAAAATGCGACAATAACGAACCTTGGTTTCCGTAAAAATTGGATCGAATTTTGGCGTTTTGTAAAAAAGTTTCATGTTATTGGTGCAGCCAATTTTCCACCGACAACAAAGTTGAACTCCCTATTGTTTTGTTTGCCTTTTTGCCTTTGAACGGATGCCGCTCTTCGTGACAACGTTCCCAAAAATTCTCCTGGACATTCATCTCCTGATTATCGTTTCCGATTTTGAGTTCTCGGACGCTTTAATAACCATCTGTGATCTCAAAAAAATCGTAATGAGCCTCCTCGACAAAATTAATCCGATACGCAATCGATGCATTCCAGGCACCCCCCAATGCTCAAGGAGCCAATTTATCTGATGCCGGTTTTGTGCTCCTGACAATAAAGGATCAACTTTTGGCAAACGATTCAAGGTGAAACCAAAGACCGAGCTTGTTGACCTTAAATTCTAGAGCTGCCTACTTCCTGCAAGAATTCGTCAGTCGACCAATAAACGGAGTCGATTTGTTGCTCAAAATCGTGGTCGTGTTACAAGGGATTGTCAATTCCTCTGTCCGAGAGCAGCAGCCTTCAAAACTATCGACATTATTAGCGAGGAACAATACAAATAACACAAATCGAAAACGGAAAGCTGCCGTAAGTTAAAATTGATTAATTCACAAAAGTATGAATTTTCCAGGTAGCAGAGGCAGATTGTATAGAATGTATCAAAATATTGTTAGAGAAGAATGTAAGTTGATGCCATCGATTTTGAGAAACCAAAAATTTTAATTTTTAGCCGGCTGCCTGGAGGACAATCCTCGAACAGCCGTCCGGCCTGGAAGTTATTTTATATTCCGTTAATAGCCCACAGCTTGACTCGAAATGTTATGCATTAGAGGTAAGGATAATGTTATTTTATCTTTCAGTACCCTACGCTAGGCTACAACAGCTTGATTTTACAACACAATTTTTATTTTACCATTTATTCAGATCGTGCTCCTCCTCCTCGATCAGCCCCAGGGCTTCATCGTGCTTTTCCGGGCGCTCTCTGTAATTTCGGCGCGCACGAGGGACTACATCAGGCTACAGATTTTCGTCAGCCAGCTGAAACATGGATTACATACGCAGAAGCTGCATATTCAGGTAAGAACGACCGTTTGCTGATCTTAAAGCGGCTGGGAAGTGAGGAAATCGTCATAATTCGCTTCGAGAAACATAGAATTGACGCGTCGCGTAACTATCGAAACCTAGTCAATGCAGGGGTCGATTTTCGCGTCTAATTACCTCTAAGGTCTCGATTTTTTTCCGGTGTTTGATGATCTTTGAAGATGAATTTTCAAATTCTACCTTCCAGATCCTAGTCTGCCGCCTCTTCAACAAGCTCCTCTCCCGGTCCCCAACCCCGAATCACCGGATGTTGGCACAAATTGAGGCAACTCTGGCCCAGTTCTCGGCTGAATACGTTGAAAAGGTATGTAGCGAAGCGACGCAGTACCTGATATTGTAAAAATCAAGCCATTTCCCATTAAATTAGATGCTTCAGCTCGTGTTGGAAGTGACAAGCCCACTTGGCGGGATGGATACCTTGATGGAGGAGTTGGCACTGTGGAGATCGCAGCTCATCCCGATTTCTCTCACACCAACTCGATTCGCACACCAGGATACCTTGACGAGCGCGAATTCGACAAGTATTTATGGGTAAGTTATTATAATAAAAATTAGCAATATATCCTTTATAACAACTCCTTTTAACCCGTTATTTTTAGCTACAACTACTCCGAAACAGAGTCCGATACCTCCAGATCAGACCGAGGGAAGAGGAGAAGTGTCTTCCAAGCTAATAAATTCCCGGTAAGCCGATTATGATGGATGTTATTGAAACATAATTTTTATTATATCAATTATTTCTCTATCCCACTATATATAAAAATAGTCTTTTTGCCACTCATGCAACTCCTCACGTGTCCCGGATATCTCAAGAGGGAGGGGGAGATGTTGTACATCATTAGATGCTAATGGTCTATAGATGACTGCACACATATCAGATTTGTAAATATGTTATTTTCGACATTAAATTAGATTTTCCTATTCGGCCACCCACTTTGTTAGGAGAATTAGCACCGGAAGTTGCAGTAGCCTATAAAAGGCCCAAAGGAGCATTTTCATTTTTTGCCATCGGAACGGGGCACAATTATGCAATGCACATAGGATTAGAGGTCCAGGGTTGAAAAGTCGCGAAGCGGCTTTTCAACCCTGGTTGAAACAATAAAAAATCTATTTTTCTACACTTTAGAGCCAAGCAGCCGTCGCCAAAAACGTAGAAAGAGCCAGACAAAAGCGACAAGGCCCCGGATCAGGAGGTCGAGCTGCCAACGGTCCGACCGTTGACCACCAACGCTTCTACCCCAATCGATCAGCCCTGACGCTAAATAATCGGGATTGGGAAAGTAGGGACGGTAAGTAGTTGTAGTGATTGCAGAAAAACGATATTTTTTTCAGATGAATATGGAGATTACCACACGACCACTCGACCGGAACGAGTGATTTCACCGGGATGGAAGCCGGAGGGTGGGATGAGGAGGGCTAAGAGTGAGAGTGCGATGTTGATCGATACGGAGTTGGCGGAGAAGTAAGAATCTACCGATTATTCTTACTGTAACCCTCTTATGGTCGAAGTGGAAATTCCGTACGTGAGATAACACAACTTGTGCAGAATTTTTTGCTGATTCCGAATCTGTTTTCCAAAGTTGCGGAACCCCTCAGATAAAAAAGTTACAAGGGTTTTTAATACCCAAAATGCCACAAATCGCCCACTTTAAAACGTTCTAAAAATTCCGTAAAATACTTTTGGGAGAAAAGTAAGACATTTTGCGGCGTAAAAAAACGTGCTCTTTCGAATGGGCTACCTCACGAACCCGTAGCTCAAAATTTTCAAAATTTCGAAAATCGACGAGATTGGGCAAGGGTCCGCCAAAAAAAACTGTTTTGCAAATTTTGAGCTACGGGTTCGTGAGGTAGCCCATTCGAAAGAGCACGTTTTTTTACTCCGGAAAATGTCTTACTTTCCTCCCAAAAGTATTTTACGGAATTTAGAGAATGTTTTAAAGTAGGCGATTTGTGGCATTTTGGGTATTAAAAACCCTTGTAACTTTTTTATCTGAGGGGTTCCGCAACTTTGAAAACAGATTCGGAATCAGCAAAATTCTGCACAAGATGTGTATCTCACGTCGAATTCCATTCGACCATAATTACGTTAGCGGATATCTAGAAATTTTGCTAGCCTACAAGGCAGCTACAAAAGAGCCTCAAATTTTAGTACCAAGGGGCAGATGGCGCATGTAAAAGCGGTGTGTAAACGCCGTGTTGTCCCGGTGTAAATACGCGTTGCTGCTCTGCCCAAATGAGCCTCTTAATCGCCGTTTTTCAGCAACAACACTCTCCGTGGCCTCAAACGAGTGGATCCACTCGCTTCTGAATACCACCCAATCGAGAACGTGAAGCCCTTGTCCCGGTCGACGCATGATTTGAGCAGGATAGCCAGGGACGAGCGAATTATTGATATCCAGAGGCCGGGATCGGCAGCCGCGCATACAAGGAGCTTACAGAGGTGTGTCTTATCTCAATAAGTCGGGGAGAAAGGCGTCCATTACATTATAACAACTACCTTCAGGCCCTTCTCCCCGCAACGAGCCCGTTTCGCGGACCCACCCACTATAGACACCACGCATGAGACGACACAACCACATGCCGGATTTTCGTACTTATTCCCGTCGCAGCCAGTGGTGTCCCAGGTCCCGAAGCGAGGCACGACACCGGAGCCATATTCAAATGTGAGTCATAACATTTTCAAATCTGCATAAACGCTATTTTTCAGCAAATGAGTCCGATAAACGGAACGTTACGCCCACCTTCCTCGGCCTATTCTGGGACTACGATGAGTCCGAAACCGGTGAGTAGCTCTTTTTTTTGTCATTTTGCTCTCGTATCTCGCTCTCACCCTCTCCCTCGCTCTCGCTCCTCTCTCTCTCTCTATCTCATTCTTCTACCTCATAAAATTAAGACATTGAACCCATAGCTTTTCTTTCCAGTCCGAGACTCCAAAGTACATCACCGAGATGAGGGACGGCCAAGTGGTCTACATCCCGATAACACTGGAGAATGAGCGGAGACCGTTGAGCAGGTAGGGTATATGGATTTAATGGGACGAAAGATTACATGATTATGATCTCGTGATGAACGTTAGATGATTGAGACCTAATCCAAATTTTTACAGATTCAGCCGAGAGCCCGACTACGACACTTCCACCGGTGGCTCCCGTTCCCGTATGCGCAGCCCATCGCTTGGCGGTACTATCGGTGTGGCTTCACTAACAAATCCTTGGTTTAATAAGTTGAACCCGATTAGTATAATTTACCCTGTTTAACTAACGAATTTAATGCGGATATATGAACAGCAACACGCTCAATTTTCCAAAATAATCTGGGATTTTACCTTTTTCAGTTTTTCGCTCAATTACACCCCGATATACCCCACACCCAAGTCACCCTTTTGGTTTATTAAAATGCACTTTGATACCGTTGTGGTATTACTTTAGAAAAACCATAATTAACAACCTTTTTCAGGTGAAGACGTCCGAGATGCTCTGTCCCAATTTGACTACCTAAATGACTATGATGCGGCGAGCCTCCGAGGTAAAACAACGGCCACCTACCATTTCTAGAAATTTAAAATTCATTCATTTGCAGATTAAGATTTTTTGAGTTTATTGCGATTTTCTTTGTATATTTTTATTTCCAAATTGATCCAAGACACGTGCTCCCGGCTTTACCTTTTCCTTTTTGAACCCTTTTTTTGCTTTTTTTTGATAATTTTCGGAACCCACTGACCGATGCTAGTACAATTTTCGCATATATTTTTATGTTTTTGATAATTTTCTCATTGTTGTTCCATTATTGCTCAAAAATACCACCATAATCACCTCGGTAGTGCTATTCGACAAAAGGCGAAAAACCCATCCTCGTGTGCCAATATTCAAATTGTGAATTTGAACGGTCCTTGAAAAGGGTCGAGACTCGAGAGAGGAGGCCGCAGAATAAATTATCTTTGTTCTTCGGTAAGTGCACTCGACATTCTTTTTTGAAATGGGAAGCCAAAAAAAGGATTTGGGAAGGGGAAAGGAGAAAGGGGAAAGAAAAGAGGGGGGTTTTTTTTTTCTAACGCTATTGACAATGTTTAAACAAGGTGTTTAAATTGGCCAGAAATCGCAAAGCTACCATCACCACGTAACCTTAAATTTAATTCCATAAAAACTCTAAGGTATAACGCGAAAATTTGTTAGTTTCTCGGAAAAAATAAATTGAGTATTAATTAAAGCATCATTTTATAGAATAAAAATAGGATTACGGATTTACGAATGCTATTAAAACGCAGCTAAAAATTCGGCATTGTATGCGGCAGCCTCGACTGCCCATATTCGCTACCGGCTTTTCCCCCGAAGCTTCTGACCAAACAATGGGCTGACCGGGGCTTAATGTCATTTTGGATGTGGCGCGGCCAAACTCCGGGCTTACTCCGAAAGTCGGTGACTGCTGTGCAAAGCCGTTCGAGAACCGAACATCAGACCTCGAATAAGCGTGAATTAGGAGTGTCAGGAGAAATTTTCGGGCTTGCTGAGCACACATCACATTGAAGGTCAATCGGTCTTCGCGTTCAAAGTAAAGGTTGAGACCGGATGTGTACCAATCAAGGGAAGCTTGCAAAATCGAGCCTGAAAGAAACCACGAGTAAGCTGACATCGAATTAGCGATAAAATCGACGCTCGACACCGCAGGCCACGAGGAGAGTTTGGCGAAAGCGCAGGTAAGACGGAATTTCTTCCAGTTTCTCGAGTTCCGATTTTTTGTTGAAGCAATTTGTTGCTATTAATACATATCGTGCAGTGCTCCGAATCCTAGAATAGGTGGGTTTGGAAAGGTCGAACTTCCACAAGATCCTCCACAAAGTTGTAAGCGAATGGCGTGGAGAAAATAATTGGAAGGCTGCTGCAGCTGCCCGCTTTTCTGACGTCGCTTTTCTGATATCTGGCAGCAGCCATCGGAACGCTGGCGCCACACTTCACACTCCACATTTCACCCTGTCACAAAAAAAAACTCGGCAATTTTGACGCCTCCGACTTTTCACGCCAGCTCATCGTTCAGATGTGCAAATAGGGTAGTGACTGGCACGAAAGTACGGGGCGAACGGAAAAACTCGGATACAGATACTTGGGATAGTAAAGGTCGATTGAATAAAAGGCTTTACCAGCAAGAAAAAAGTTTTATGCGTAGAAAAGTAGCGCATTTTCGCTTTGTCGTAAAGTAGTAGATCAAAACGTAAAAGAAAGCAATTCATGTGAAACAGTAGGTAGCGTAAGGAGCGTTCAAACGTAGTCTGTAAATTGTGTCCTTTATCTAATAACCCTTTGTTTATAACTCTTTGACCCCGGAGCCGCTTTTTACCACCTCCATCAATTTTGCAAGCTCTACACTTCAGCAGCAGGGGAATGGAATGTGCGTGGGGAACGGGGTGGTGGTGGGCCCGGATTTGCGCCGATCTGTAAAAAACGGCGACCCGAATTATTTGCACTTCGACCACACTTATTGCTATAAAAGGATTAGCGAGTCAGGCATCCATATTCACTTCAGTGGCTCAGCATCAACAATGCAGACGGTCTTCTACCTCATCGCGCTCTTCGTCGTGGCTTGCCAGGTTTGTTTGGGAGGCTTTAGAAGTTGTATTCTTGAAATTTTCTTGAAGGATATGGTCTTTAGGCGCAAGTCTCGTCTACCACCGACATGACGACAATGACGACTGGAACCGAAACCACAACTACTGGAGGAACGGACACGACCACCACGGCCAATACGGAAACAACGACGACTGGTGCCGCCACGACAACTACTAATGCGGACAGTTACTCGGGTAGCTGTGTGGATACCAACTCGAAGTAAGCGGAAGTTAAACGATACGTTGGTAGCGAGAGAGAGAGAGATAGAGAGAGAGAGAGAGAGACAGGCCCGTAGCGGAACCGAAATTTCGGGGGGCCCAAAAATTTTGGCGACCTCCCCCGGTCGCAACTTTTAAAACATCCGAAAATCGCGTCAATAATAGCGCCGCAGGCAAAAAAATCGCAAAAAAGCGTTCGCTACACTCAAATTCGTGTGAAAACACGGCAGAAAACGCGCCGCAGGCGAAAATTTTTTATGAACAATTGATTCAGCAATGAAAAACCAGCGCCGCAGGCAAAAAATTTTGAAAAACTAGGCTGCATATAAGTAAAAACTGTTTGAAAAACAGTAATAAACAGCGCCGCAGGCAGAAAAATTTTTGTAACTAAAAATCATAAGGGTCCCCCCTTATGAATTTTTCGGACCTCGACCGATTTCGGGGGGCCCAGGGCCCCCTGCCCCCCCCCCCCCTCCTACGGGCCTGGAGAGAGATAAAGAGAGAGCGAGAGAGAGACGGAGAGAGAGAGAGAGAGAGAGAGAGAGAGAGAGAGAGAGAGAGAGAGAGAGAGAGAGAGAGAGAGAGAGAGAGAGAAAGAGTGAGGTAGCGAGAGCTCACGAGAAAGAGAACGCTTAAAAAGAAAAAAGAGGGACGACGCAAGAAAGAGTCTCAAACCTTACTTTTAGCTGCGCGACCTGGGTGTCGAACGGCTTCTGCACCAACACGGCATACACGATCGAGCAGAGGGGCCAGTACTGCGCCAAGAGCTGCAACCTCCAGCCGGCCTGCAGCGGCTCTGATACTACTTGCACGGATACGAGCAGCAAGTAGGTTCCGGAATATAAGCTGTAGTTAGAAGTTAGGCTACCAGTAGCAAATTAGAAGATACTTTCCACCCAGCAGCAGTGTAGGCAACCCATTTTTCAGCTGCGCCAACTGGGTCGCTAACGGCTTCTGCACCAACACCTTCTACACGAACGCTCAAAAGGCCCAGTACTGCGGTGCTAGCTGTAACTTGTGCTCGTCGAGTGGCGGTGATTCTTCGTCGTCCTGCACGGATGGAAGCACCAAGTAGGTTTTCACGGCAATTTGACGCATAGGTCGACGGTCTGGGTGTAAAACCAGACGATTAACTATCTTTTCTGCATAAATCAGCAGTAGCACTCTGAATTTCAGCTGCGCCAACTGGGTTGCTAACGGCTTCTGCTCTAACACCTTCTACACCAGCGCCCAAAAGACGCAGTACTGCGGCTCGAGCTGCAACCTCTGCTGAGCCGCCCTCAAGACCGAGCCGCCATTATAATAATGATAACAGCTGATTGGCTTCTAATAAATTATTGCAATCATCTTCCTTGCCTACTTGAACGGTGTTTATGGACGAAGGAATAACAAATGCGTAAGCCTGCAAAATCAGGAATCGGCTTACAACGTTTTGTCGATCTCCCCAGACATTATGCATCATAGTCCAGACTCCAGGATAGAAAAACCTGGCGGCGCCCAGTTTTTTGATGTATATCGTGTGTACACAGCCGCCCAATCGAGAAAATTTTTCAGCGGCACCGGCTGAAAAAGTGTGGATTTGTTAGATGACTTGGCTTTGTTTGCGGCTATGTACAGGGCTCGTTCCCTTCGGGATCAATCCTTTTTTGAATTGCACTAGCTTCGGGGGGGTCCAAAACTCAGACGTAGATATTGAAATAAGTTGGAGCCTGGCTTAAGTTGCTGGTCAATGCATCAGTGTGCCAAAAACTTGTAGCGCGCTGTAATGCCGGAAGCGGCTTGTTAACCCGAGCCGGTAGGCTATCAACCTAACCTAGCGCCTAGACGCAATTGATCGTTGGTTTGGATCCTTTATCGGGCTAGGAAGTCCGGTCCACTAGCGTTCACTCCGAGAAAAAAAGCCAGATCCGCCCGCACCACTCCCAATTATCTTGTGCCCCTGCTTCGATCTAGAAACTTGCCAAATTCTCGCACCATTTCCTAACTCCACACGTAATTTTTTTAACCAATCCAGCCGTCTTAATTATTAAAAATAGCCAGGGAAGATGATGTTAGACGTTATGAAAATTCGTCATTATAAAATTCGTCTTTGTAAAAATTCGGAATCATGAAAATAACCCGGATGCATCGAGAATTATGAATTACGAATTATGAATTTCCTGTGTATTACGACATGTAATCGTGCTCAAAAGGTCGATTTGTTTCAGAAAACCATTCAATTCTTCAGTTTTTCATTTTAGTTTCAGATTTTGCGTTTTTCATTAGTAGATCAGTTTTTAGACACCTTACGGGAGTAATCCGAGCGTTTTTGCATTACTGGTTTAGATCTCCGCGTATGCTATTTTGACTTCAAGCCTCCTTAATGAGGCTAGGGAGACGGATAGGAAAAACCGGACCTAGCGGCCCAAAAAGGATAAGTTTATTGCTGCAACACCCAGATCCGATCTATTTTGCACAACATGTTGTGATACCCAGAAGTTGACCTATTCCATCAATTTGGATACGTCGCAGGCCAGTCCCTGGTTTTGCGCCATGGTAGGCATTAGTTTAAACCAAAAAAAAAACGCCTGATCGGGGCTGAATGGGTTTGAAATTGCGCGCAAATGGAGATCATGCCGGCACAAACAAAGCTCGCCTTATTTGCATGCTTTTATACAACTGCAGTTCCCCGACTCGCCTTAACAAGCGTCTGGCTTCTCCTGAAAATTAATGTGTAATGTCGTGATAAATGCTGGCTGAAGTGATAATCTGCGTAATGTGCTAACCTACCAGCCCACGCTCCCAAATCTGAACTAGCCTTTCAGTCCACAAACCATCGGTAGTAGCTTGCGACAACGGGTTTTAGGCCAAAACGACATTTACGGTCGAATAAAACGCTGTCGAGACTGGGCGTTGGCTGTGCAAACCAGCCGCGTAAATGGAAGCTGAAGGTCAATTTTGGCCTCGAAACCCCGATCCTGGCAGAGCCATGTACGACTCGACAACAGGCATACGAGCAATCTGAAAAATTCTGGAACTATGAAGCCCGTTTGTGCTCAACAAAAACCACTAGAGGTCGAAAGTATTCAAGCCAATACAGCTTCTGTCTGCGAGGTGACATTGGTTTTAATAATCTCAAACGGCCTTTTTGATACGTTTTGTTGCAGCATGTTGTAACATCATTTCACTTTTTCACGCGTCTAGAAAAAAACATAAATTTACAGAGCCTGAACCTTTTTTTCACCATCATGGCTCATGTATGCACTTTTTGCTTCTTGGCGTTGCTAAACGACCTGGATACATGGAATTCGGTCCTGATTACGGTAAGTCTACTTAAAATTTAGTTTTTCTCCTTGCCGTGTTCAGTGACGAGTTGCTTAACTTCTTAGTAAAATTCAGATCTTTGGGATTGGGTTGTATCCCTTACAAATCCGTCAAATGGTCTTGGGATGTCGTGCGTTGGATGCGGGCAGTGCGTGGATATATCGAAGTGTTATTGTGAGTCGATTTTTCCGAAACCAGCAGGAAGCTCAACATGTTGGCGCGAAGCCTTTCTGCAGGAATTATTTTAGCACATCTATTCAACATTTAGACAGGAGCGTTTTTCGCTTTTCAGATTAGCCAGCTTGTCGCTGAAGCAGTCTTTTTTCTGTGTTCCATCGAAAAATTGGGGATGAAAGACGACGAATTGTAAGTAATTACACGTTATCCTACAAGGAGACCTCTAGAATTTTCTGCTTCGGAAAACAGGGCCTAATCATGCTTACGAATTTTATTGGCACTGCGGGAATGGTGAATGGTTTGTGATTACAGAAATCGAACCATATGCAACTTAGCCGTTGGCCTCGCGCTGATTCACTTCTCAAAGGGGAAAGTCGAATATGAAACGATCGAAATTACCTTGAGGTTCGCGGCAAACACTTTGAAATAAGCAACTCTAGCCACACTAAACACTACCTGGCAGCAGTGGCAGCAGAGGAGACGTCGCATCCATTGGTTCATCAGATTTCAGGCAAAACGATGAATAAATGAATCCATCTAAATAACGAAATACTAGACACAATTACGCAAAAGTCCATGGCTTTTAACAATTTAACACGATGAATAAATTTCTGAATTCGAGGCTTTTTAAGGACAAGGTGAAAGCTTCTTTCGATATCTGGCTCGGCACGAAAGAGTAGCTAGCAAAGTAGAAGAACGGCTTGTCGAGCTATGGTTTTCCACATGAACCACTGGCCTTGCAGCTAGCATCGGAAGTTCTACAGTCTAAAGGGTCCGGATTGCCCGGCCAAATTACCAGCGCGCAAAAAAAATAACTGGCACCTGAAAATTACGTAACTTTCGACCTTAATCTGAGCGCGTTGAATTTTTCCATGGATGAGTCCAGTCGACGCCGCAGGGCTAAAATATATAGCGTTAGAAGTAAACAAATAGGGTAACCTGAATGCTGACTTTTGGGTGAAAAGCAAGATTTTGGTGAGAGCTTTTCCGAAATTATTAATTTGTTCCTGGACCATTAGATTAGGCTGGGTTTTCGAAGTAATAGTGGCCGTTCGGGATAAATCGGACAATCGTTTGGAGTACAAAGTAAAACTAACGCCAAGAGCGTTCCCGGGCTGGCCGCCGAATGGGTCCGGCAGGCTGCGCAAAGAAGCGCTATGGGCGCTGCAAAAATGTCACCTTTTCTCGGGTTGCGTGTATTGTTAGGTGTTACACGGTCGACAAGATCGGACCGAACATCGAATCACTGATGGCAATGGAAGACAATAGCTCTCTGCTAAAGACCGGAAGCACTGACGCATCCTCATCGTTTTGGGAAGTAAGTTTTAACATGGTAGACCCATTGAAGACCCCCTGATTTATTAAATCTTGTCGTTAATAGTGCTAGACGTAAAACGAATGTCATTATCTCGAAAATCACCATCTCGAAAATCAACATCTCGGAAGTTCAATATCTCGAAATTTCATTACCTCGGTGTTAAATTTCAGCCGAAATCAAAAAATTCACGAAAAAACCAGTATGCAATTTTTGCGATAATGACTTTCGAGATAATGAACTTTCGACGTAATAAACTTTCGAGAGATTGAACGTTCAAGATAATGAACTTTCGAGATTTTGATTTTCGAGATATTGGTTTTCGAGATAATAATAGGTAATCCGTAAAATTATCACACGTTTCAGCGTGCACAGCTGTTTTCAACAATCCTTACCCACTTGGTGGTTTTCTGTTGTCTCGCCATGCTTGACGATTTCTCGACATGGAACACGCTTCTGATAACGGTAACAAATTTTACCAATACTTAATCGAAATTTTCAAACTTAATCGATCAATGCGAAACGTACCTTTTTGCCTTTTGACTTTCAGTGGATCGGCCTCGGAATCTATCCTTTCCAAATCCGCCGGATGCTTGTGGATTGTCAGGATCTCAATACGATAACTGCCTGGGTCTACCCGGGTTTTGTTGTAAGTCCATAACGGCAACCCACTGTCTATGTGGTTTGATTCATGATTGCTTTAGATTGGACAAATCGTTGCCGAAACCATAGTTTTTATCCTATTCATCGTAGAACTTGGCACCAGAGGTGAAGAAATGTGAGTTACACGGGATTTTAATAGTGCGGGATATTTACTTATAGAATCTTCTCATTCCAAAAGCAGGGTCTCGTTTTGATCATCAATCTTATCGGCAAGGCTGGAATTGTGAATGGTTTGTTATGCCACAACCTTAAAAATCAAACTCTTCAGCGATCGGTCTTGTAACTATTCATTTTTCCAAAGAAGCCGGTGGCTACGAAAAGCTCGAAACGGCCAAGAGGTAAACGGACGCGTGAAAAAAAATATACGAATTTCAGCGTCTCTACAATTTCCGACGCGGAAGCCGGCAAATCAAAGCCACTGGTTGAGGAGATTTGCTGTAAAATTAAAATGTGAACTGTGACTTACCGCAATACTCTGCATGTAACTTGAAAAATAAAAGATTTTAAGCAAAAATAAACGTAGTATACAAGCTAGCACATTATATTCATATCCAATATCTGTCAAAAACTTTTGTGAAAGCCTAATGTGGAGCTAACTCCAACAAGAAAATATATTGGGCTGTATCTTGGCGTCCACCAAGCTTTGGGCTCGGGCTGGGTCTTCCCGAGGTGGAGCACCCCAAGACCTATCAAACCATGTATAAATACTCTGAATTGGATGTGTCCGCGCCCTTTTAGAGCGAATCTAAGAATTTGTGTCATTACTTTCTTTCCAACCTGATACAAACTTGATAAGCCTACAAAATAAAAACTTTAAAGAAGGGACGCGGGAAATCAAAATTTTCCTCTCCATTTTTCCCATTTTTTAAATACCGACCCCCTGCTTTCTTGTCGAATGTATATCGGCGAGGCGTTCAACCTTTAGCCGAAAATGTCACCTTTTTGATGTTTGCATTGCAGTTTTCCTGGTACGGCAGAGGCCTGGTATGTCTTTTACACGACATGGCGACTATTCAAACAATTTGCTACAGGTTTTGGGGGCAAAAATCAGTTTGAACCTCGGAGCCGCTACAGTACCCCCGGCAGCATTTGATCGAGACTTGGCTTTTGATGCTTTTCTGACGGGGTGTCAAAACCATCCTCGTCTTTATGGTTTATCAGCAACGAGATGAATTATACACTTGCCTTTTTTAGGCGAACACCGGCGCCTTTGCGAGGGTGTTTTACCAGATATGGCTTCATATGAAAGCCGTGAGATGCCTTACATGGTGATCCAACAGAATTAATTTGGTAAGTTTTTATGCAATAACGGTATTTTTATACGCGGAACTCTGACAGTTTCTGGTGATTATTGAAAATAACACACTATAAGGGTCAAGCAATTTTTACGGTTTTTTTCAGTGCTTCGAAAAACGAGGCCTGATCATGCTCACGACTTGGAGTGGTGCGAGCGCCAAGCCGGGTTCGCTCGATGTAGAAGAAAAAGCATGAAAGTTTTTAGAAGCTGCTGGCAACACCGCATAAAGTGAAGTGGCTGGTGAAGCCAAGCTGACGCACAAATCAACCCTGGAGAATGAATGATTTCGTAACCCGAAAACTCGACTTGAATAAATTTTAATATACCTAGTCACAGTCTCTGTTTATCCAATTTCCATACAGTGCTCAATTTTCACTATTTAGTTTAATGTAGTTTTTACTTCCTTTCTAAGTTTATTTTTCTTTATTTCGCTTCTGAATTTGCAATGAGATGTGTAGCACCACTGTAAACGTCACAAAATCGCTGCGTTTCGGAAGAAAACGTGAAAGCCGAACGAACGTAGAAATGTAAAAGGTTCCCATGATACGCGTATGGTTTTTGATGGGCCGGTGAGGCAGGAAACAAGCGAAACGGCCAGTAGTGTTGCAATGGATCGGTGGAGTGGATGTCTGGCTTCTCGGACGCTTGACTGTGTGGATGCTGACGCCGTGGCCTGCCCGGGAGACGCGCCATATCACCGGAACGAACTTCTGAAAAGGGGTTTGATAGTACTCACTTGACTATGACTCTTATTGCTATTTAAAGCTACCAACTTTCCATTTGTAGGCCAGCATCTATACACTTTTGCCATCTACACAACCGGCAGTAGGATCCGGAAGGGCTGGAATAAAAAATTATTCAGTAATTTAAGAAAATAAAATGAACTATTTACAAATTTACTCGTGAATACAGAATTCTTTTGAATTCAAGCAACCGACCTGCGCCCGAATTCACATTTGCCGCGACGACGGCATTGATAGCAACGCCATGCTTTGGTTTGCACCGACCTCTGAAACAAAGGAACGTTTGTCTAACACCAGGAAATACCTTGAAGAAGCTCTTGCAGCCTGGACAGGTCCATTCTCCATAGTGTACGCCGGTGGCCGCCAAACCGCAAACGACACAGAGCTGTTCCTGCAAAAATAAAGTTTTTGCAAAGTGCTTGCGAAAGCCTGGAAAAAAGTGCTCACCTTCTTTACTTTTGTTCTCAATTCTCCGCGAAGGTTGTGAAAAATCTCTGGGGTGATTGGGTTTTGGGGTGTGGAAGACGTACTAAAAACTGATGCTTGCATTCACATGCAATCTCCGTTCCTGAATGACAAAACCTGCCACTTTGTAAAGCGTTTTTGGCGCTAAAGTCAACCCAAAATCTACAGAAGATAACAATTCCATCCCTCCTCGGATTACGAGTACATAAATCAATCAATCAGCCAATCAGCAACTCACCGCGGATTCCCCAAATCTTCCCCATCGACTTCCGATAAATCTTCTAATTCTTTCTCTGGGCTGTGAAAATTCGGACATGCAGCGATGTAAGGATTTGGCAATAAAACGTACATAGTCATACCTAAACTTCCATAATAAATTCTTATTAAAAACCAGAAAAAAGTTTAATGGCAGAAAAAGCTACAAGCAGCCAGATTGCGACTCTGGACATTTGCCTACAACCCCGTCGGGATCCGGTGCGAAATGGTCATGTAAACAATACAGACCACCATTCGACGCTCTTGCACTGTTTGGGAAGCTGCCGGCCCAAATATAGGGTTTGAGATCGCACCAAAATTCTCAAACGCGACCTTTGGGCGCCAGTTATCGTAGCTCGGCGAGCGAAGGTGGCGGTTTATGTGCGTCTCTCCTAGCGCCGGCAAATCGGGTTTCTCCATTATCTCAGTGTTTTGCCCAGTTTAGATTGACAATTGGCAAGACACCAATGGATCCCATATAACAATCGTCTGGTTTCCCGGATTAGAGGAAACGTATGGCGCGTAGGTTATTGCTCGCATATGAAGTGCTTTCAACGCCGGGATCGCAGCGCTAAAATTAAAAGTGTATTAAAAGTTATTGCAAAGTTTTCCGTATAATCAACTTTCGCCATCTTGATGAGTTCGCCTCAGAGGACGCCAAATAGGCAAGCGGTCAGTCCCTAACAAGGGAACCTTCTGAACTCAAAATGAGATTCCTAAATCGGACCCGGCCTATCTTGTGCAGAATTTTTTGCTGATGGACGACTATGGATGGAAAACGTCATGCTATGACCTCTTTACCCCTTAAATAAAACAAGGAAAAGAAGGAATGTGATATATTTGAGCGACTGATTTAATAAAGCTGAGTGGAAAATGTTTCTGTAAAGGAATGTATTAATGTCCGCCTCTCAAGCATTTTCTGCCATTGACGGAGGTCATATCGGGGATCGATATTGATTGTGACAAATGGTGAAAAATTGTGACATTACTCCTGCTGTGGTCTTGTAGCTGCAAGCACCGAGGATGTGCAGACCGATTCGCCACCCCCGTCACGCAGCTGAAAATGCAAAATCCGGAGTGGTTGGCGAGCGCGTAGCCCACGCCCGCATCTTCTCTGCAACAAAAGCCTTCTTATAAACACTTCTTAAAATCGTCCGGAAATTTGCATGCACCACATTAAATGTAACCTCCTTTCTCAGCAAATTTTCTAGTTTGTGGGCCCCGTCCCTGTTTGTCCAACTGTGCATTGTCGTTGGCGGGGATGGGAGTGCAAGGGGTAGTTCAAGTTTGGATCTCTGCAAGTGAAACTCTCTATCGATTTGAAGCTTTAGGCAGCGATGCGGTCGTTCGGCACCTGCAAAAAATAAGATACATTTTTGTTTAACGATGAATAGTTTGTTTTGAATTCAATATGAGTTGCGCCGTTATACGTGGATTTGGGGAATGCTGCGCTGCAAAAGATGACATCGATCGTCTGTTACGGAGTATCCTGTTCGAGCCGTCATTGGAGCTGAAATACATATACTGTACATATCTCTTCCTCCTTCCCCTTCTCTTTCTCTCTCTCCCTTTCTCTCTCTCTCTCTCTCTCTCTCTCTCTCTCTCTCTCCCTTCGCGTCCAAGCCGCCGATTGGTGACCCGATTACGGTGCCCCACCACATTCTCCCAAAATTTCGGTTCCTTGATATTGGGCGCCCTACGTTCCCTTGGATGGTTCCAACAAAAGGTCTTAATGGGATTAAAAGTTGTAGGAGTACCACCTTTTTCTAATTTTCTAACTCTTCTAATGCAGAGCATAACTAGAAGAGGCAGCTTGCAAAAAACTTAGCAAGCTTTTAGAGGTGAGTAACACAACTGGTTGTAACTGTAACCCAACTAAAAATATGGAGATCGCTATGGTGGTGGCTACGCAGGGGCCGTTGACATTCGGCCAAAGCCGTCAAGAAAGCAACTTCCTGTGTGTGGCTTTTTATTTTAGAAAATTTTATAAATGCTTAATCGAGTCTCTTGAAATAAACCTCCCAGGCGGGCAAACGGCTTCAGGATTCGCTCCGTTCCCTCCGAGACCTAGACGGCCTTCGAATCTAACATTTGGGAATCCCAGTAATCATTGCCCTTCAGTCCGGTTTGCGTTTCCTGCGTTCGGGAGCAGTTTGACTTTTACCGAAAATGTCACATTTTCCTTGTTTACCCTGTAATGCGCTCACCCGACCGAACAGGAATAAATTTTCAATAGAACTGGAGATGGCTGTGCAAACAGGTCCTTCCAGTTCAGGGAACAAAAAATGCGATGGGATCTCTCCGGGGGCGATACGGTACATCCGTACAACAATGATCTATTTGCGCAACGTGGAGATGTGAATTGTAGCAACCGAAAATCTGTATGAATTGACCTTTAATTCGATGATGGGGGTTTCTCAAAGCACGCTCCGCTCGAGACTTACCTACTGCATTCAACAGCATTTTTAATTTGCCTTTACCTTAAACGTTTTCCGTGAATTATCGGTGTTGCACGCTTCTTTCAGGCGTATATCCGCACCATGGCTTGGCAATTTCACCTGATGGCTTCATAAACAAGTCGTCAAAGCCAAACACATGAAACTAAGTATGGGTTGACTTTCTCCGAACAATATTAAATGGTATAGATACGATTCTCGACCGCACCGACAAGCCCCCCTCTACACCGCTGCGCAGCAGAGCAGAATGATTGTCCCCGAACTAAATGCACTTATTGAAATAATTTTTTGAAGATCGATTTCCGAATAAAGGAACGATACGGCATTTGCACGCAACCACAGGACTTGCATTAGATGGGAAGGCGCCTTAGCCTTCCAACTGGATTAACCATCGAAATTAAGGGAAATCGGTCGATAACTCCTCCACTTGGCCTGATCCACAAAGACCGTCTGGGCCCTTTTAAATGGATGGAAAAAGCAGGATTATGGGTTTCCCCGACCCTGGATTCTCCCTGGATATTTAAGTCAGCCCTTAGCGCCAACCGATTTCGTTCAGCGTCTTTCCTTTCCTCGATTTGTCTCGCCGGGTTGTATGTTCCGGGGATTCGAATCCTGTGCTTCTGTTTTTGAGGAGAAAAATAGTTTGCTCATTTCTTTAAAGGGATAGCGCCAACAGAAACCAAATGGACTCGCGGAATGAGTGGCAGATGTTCAGAACGTCGCGTAAAAGGGACTGGGGACCTTGGGGACCGGGCCCCAGCAACGGGCCTGTTAGTGAGAATGGTCAGGTAAGTGCTACTCTACGCTCCTAGATAAGCGGTGATGACCATGCGGCACATGCAACCACAACTCATAAAATTTACACCGGCCGATTTATAACCCCTTTTAATCTGGGTCTTTTTCAGGCAGTCGTTATCGAGATATTACTCCACAAATCACACGAGGATGGCCCTGTTTTAAAATCGCTGCCTACATGTGGTTTTGGACCCGCGTGTGTGTATTCAGCCCCCGAGGTACCAATGCTGTGCGCAAAAGCCCGGATACAGCTTTTTAGGAAACGTTTATTTGCTTGCATGTACGGGTGCCGTGGTGGGGGGGGGAGGGGTTGCAAGGCTTACAAGGAGACGTTTTTAGGTGGGCACGGAGTTTCGGAACGGGACCTAGCCTATCTTGTGCAGAATTTTTTGCTGATTAAAACGTACTTTGTAGAATTTGCGAAACGACCGGAAAACCAAAGTTATGAGGGTTTAAAGTGTGAAAAAGGCCCAAAATGGCCTACTTTCGGCACCTATAAAATATAGCAGAATAAGTTTCCACGAAAACTAAATAGTGCATCTTGCTCATAAAATTACGCTCTTTCGAATCAGCCATCTCATGAAACAAGTTCGAACATTTTTTCAAAAAGATTAATTTAGACGACATGGTCCCCCATGTGAAATTTCAGCAATTTGACGAAATTTTGAAATTTCCGCGTGACATGGCTCATTCGAAAGAGCGTAATTTTCTGAGCAAGATGCACTAATTAGTTTTCGTGAAAAGTTATTCTGCTATATTTTATAGGTGCCGAAAGTAGGCCATTTTGGGCCTTTTTCACACTTTAAACCCTCATAACTTTGGTTTTCCGGTCGTTTCGCAAATTCTACAAAGTACGTTTTAATCAGCAAAAAATTCTGCACAAGATAGGCTAGGTCCCGTTCCGAAACTCCGTGCCCACCTAAAAACGTCTCCTTGTTAGATCGATAACCGCACTGATCCGATTCCAAATATTGCATTTAACTGCGGAAGCTCTAAACGAAGAGATTAATTGGGAATTTGGGAAGATGCTACACATTTTAAATGGTGATTTACAGAGAATCGCATTTGGAAAGGCGATAATTTGCGGCGGTGGCGTCGGCGAGATACGGTCACGTCGAGGAAATAAAGAAGTTCCTCAACATCTGCTGTTTTCACGCTTCTGCTTACTATTAGAATTCGTCTTCTAGCTTCTAGCTTCGCCAGCTAGATCCTCTCGAAGACGCCATTAACAGCCAAAAACAGGTCCTTGTTACCGAATTTATAGTTCTTTGCTCACTGACCCGCTGTTGGAACTGCACACTCTGGGCCATCCGTGAGCCTTCAACGGGCCGAGCATGTCCAGTTTTTTAGAGGCTGCTAACCAAACAGCGCCTTTTGAATGTCGGCTTGGGCGGGGCTCTCCTCGGTCAAGAAAATCACGCAAAATAGCTTCTCGCACCCAACGGTCGATGAACGGGATTTTCGTGCCGGGCGGTGGTGGTTCGGGCTGATTTGAGCGAACCGATGATTCCCCAAAAAGATAGGTGCCTGAAGAGTGGAGCAAGGACTGTATCTACTATTGTTCGGTGATACCAATAAAGCCTCCATCAGTTCTCAATTTTATAAAATCGGTACGCGCCATAGCATCATTAGGAATTTCTTAATACGTGCCACTCGCAGCCGCCCTTTAGGGAGATTGCGCGATTGCGCTAAAGCGGATGTATTTTGGAGTAAAACTAAAAAAAAAAAGAAGAAAATGGACAAGGAAAACCTTGCATCCTGAGCAGGACGCGCCGGCAACCAAATCGTATAGCGTCGATCGTTTTCTAAAAAATGAGATCCTCAACTTTAAAAAATGAAATGTCTAGACGGCTTTGACCGGTTGCTGTGTGAAACAAAAACAGCTCGATTGAAGCCGACGTTGAGATGGATTTTTAAGCGCCTGACCTTCTAGATACCGTTATCAGATCAAATCATAAGGCCCGTTTCCGTAGCTCTCATTAGTGCGCCAGGTGCTGATAGGTCTAATAGCCTGATAGGTGTCCTGCGGCGGCGATGCAGCAAAATGCCAGGAATTAACGTACGTTTTAGCGTGTGGTTTTTAAAAGGTGCCGCGTACTCCGCGCACGCAGACTTTTCTCTTGCCCATATGAATCCTTTGACTGGGGATAGAATTTGATCTGAAAATTTTTGGGCGCAGCCTCGCCCCCGGACTTTTGCCGGGCTGGCCGGCCAAAGAACAGCGGGGATTGGATCGGAGTGGTCGGATTCGGCTTTGGTTGCGCAAACAGGACTGCAATATGGACTTAAAGGCTAATTGGGGGGAGGGAGGGCTGGCTCTACCTCGTGATCCACTTCCCCAAGTCGGGCCGAAATAGGGAAAAGTTTTCCGAGACCGAAGATCCCGGGCATTAGGCCAAAAAAAACGGTAAAACTAAACCTGCCTTCGACTATGCAAAAGCTCTAAAGCCCTATGTAATCTTCGAATGCTGTGGCAAGGATCCATATTTTTTTCATTCTTACACGTAACTGAAAAACATCAACCCCATTCATTTTCAAATCAAAGTAGATCTTCAAATTCCCACAGCGACGGCATCTCATAGGCAGCACATGGCGGCTTCCGGTTGTCTGGGTAAATCGCACTATCGGACTATCGGTGCATTTGCAGGGGATTAATCGTAGCTTTTCAAAATGAAATTGCTCGAAAAAGGTAAGGGCGGAAAAGGCGGTGTAGAGATTACATTGTAGAGGGCCCTCGCTTCTCCTTTAAAAACCCAAGCATTTCCGTATCAGATTCTCAGATTACCACGGTAAGGTCGTTTTTAGAGGATAACTCCTTTCCAGTTATTGTATGCCCAGCGATTTGCACAACAAGTCCCATTCTACCCGAAATGTCACCTTTCACGGTAGGGGACGACGGTTGCCTGACTGGCCATTCCACCCTGACATTTTCCGCATTTCCATTTCCATTGCCACTAATTTTCACATTGATAAAGATTGCCTCTTAATAAGTTTCAAACACTGTGATTAAAAGTTATTTTTGGAGCCAAAGTTCCATAGACATCACACATAGCGTTTTTTCTATATCAACTGGAGCGTTCTATTTTCAATAACTCTCTATGAATCAAGCTTATTTACAAAGCTTAAACGGATAATAAAACTACCTATATTGCATTATTCGCCGCCCTGAAAAAATAATAAAGATGCGCTGACCCCGAGGACGGGAGGGACTCTACTTTGGAAGAAGATATCGTCTTTGATCAGCTTATTATTAGCACCTTTTGACTTCCAAGTCTACTGAGGTTTCAAAACCAGCCAATAAATCGCACTAAAAATCGTCGGCTTCCAGAATTTTTACCACGCTGAATTAACGAACACGAAGTTTTCCCACTCAAGTGCGAGGGCCGCAAAGCTTTAGAAAAATATCCGAAGCCTCCGAGACTACTAACAAAGCCGTCTTCAGAATAAACAACGTGGACGGCAGTAAAGTCCGTAAGAAATTGTTGGTCCATGCAAACTCTATGTGCCCGCACGTATAAGCAAAATTAAAAAGGCAACTTCCTTTCGGCGCGAATCTTCATTCACAAATGGCTTCAATGCGAAAAAACGTCACCAAAATCGTGAAATGTTTCCACGCTGATCCGTAGTTGCCGGTTTCCCTAACACACGTCAAGATACGAATCCGCAAACAGTCCACAGGCGGTCCAACTGCCAGAAATACGCATCAATACGCTCACTATGTTACTGTGGAAATTACTACATCCTTCAAGATCTTGATCCTCACAAGTCTGAATGTGCTGAATAAGGCTCTTGAAAATTCTCCTCAAATTTGTAATACTTCCCGCTTGGCCCAAAATGGCGAGCTTCGATCTTCGATCTCTTCTATGAGATTCGCCAATTCAGGCGGTACACCACGTCTCCCCGGTCAAATACCGCCGATGGATGGCCAGTGAAAGCCCGAAGCCTTACGCCGGAATATTCAACCACACGGTGAGCCTCTCTATCTGACCGACCACAGTTATTTTAGGACACTAGCGATGCTGGTGTAACCCTCGTCTATACCGCTGTACAGCAGGCCACCGCAACGGGCTGCTAAACACAAATAAAACATTACTGCTAAGAAGGAAATCTTACAAACCTTTCCGTACTTGTGCGGGCGCAAGTACCAAACTGGCCGGGCGCCCCCATCCCAGCCAGTGTTCTTTCCGGCCGGTAGCGCCGGCCGGGCCTGTACATACAACGCAGGGAGCCTATCGGACAGGGGCCAGGACACGCATTTTTGATTTTCAAACCCGTCGGCACAGTACTCTTTGTTTCAGCCTCAAAATTTTGATCATCATCAAATTTTCGCAATTAAGGCGTGAAATTAGAAAGCAACTTGTAGCAACCTATGTCACATTGCATCTGATATTTCTATTTTCATATTATCGTTAACACTCGATGAAACCGGTGTAAAAAAGTTTCGTTTACTCTTGATTTTTGGTTATTTTTTTTAGAGGCGACTGATGAAAAAAAGCTTTAGAATAAGAATGAACTACTTTCCCGAGCTTCATTCATTTCAACCCCCTACAACAAATTATGGACGAGATGCATATCCGCTGGCGATGCCCTGTATGTCTATGCAAGAAATTTCTCTAGATGAGGACTTTGTCAGGTATGCTCAAGGGTTTCTTTCTTCTTAAACATAACTTCAGAAATGATATGCCTCGATTGACGGATTCGCTATCGGACTGGTTCACCGAAGACTCATGCTGCTACACCGCTAAAGATGCTATCAAAGATTTGAATGCTGCGACGACTTGGAGCCCATCATCGCCGTTGAAAAATACCAAGCAAAAATCGGAGACGCCAGAGGTATGAAAAATTTATTAAGGTCGAGACGACCGTGGGTGAGACTGTACTTTACTTCCCGCCCCCCGCCCCCAGCCGGAAGCTCCTAAAAATTTTTCTCGTTAACTTTTTTATACTACAGTATTTTGAGCTGTGACTAAAACTCCTAGGATATTTTTAATGCGCTATCCAATGGCGAAACAAAAATCCCAACAAAATATCGGAAATGTCGAAAAATTTTGGAACCCTTGGGCAGGCGGAGGAGGGGATAAAGTAAAGCCTAGCCGCGGTAACTTGGTGACGCTCGCGAAGAAACCTCGCTAATTAGAGATTTCGTGTTTAGCGTGGCGCCTGCGCGGTGTGCGGGATGAAGGCGTCCGGGGTGCACTACGGCGGACGGAGCTGTGAGGGTTGCAAGAGTTTTTTCAAGGTACGGCTGGACACATATTGCAGAGCCATTCTGATTTAGCGTGCCGTGCAGACACAGACGTTTCGCAACTTCTTCTGCCGAGGGGAAGGGACTTGTTCGTTGTTGCGTTGGTGAGGTCTGGGTAGAAATACATCCTCATGTTTCTAGCCACGCGCACTACTGTCGGAGATGTCGGTGGAACAAATGCTTGAGCGCCGGGCTGCAAATAAATGGTAAGGGCAAGGTCCTCCTTGTAGCGAATTAAAGGGCTCAGACGCGCCGTGTCTACGACGTTCGCGCCTGGAGTCGCCGACAGTTTAGTTAATAATTTATTTTTCGCACTTAGGTTTACAAGTAAACACTTATTAGTGGAGGTAAGGTTGGAAGTTTGTTGAAGAAAAAGAAAAAGGGGGGGGGGGTAAGGAAGCATTAAGGCGTTAAATGGACATGATTAATTAAAGAATGGATGAAATAGGTACTAATCGGGAAACCTGCTTTTTAAATATCTTAGATGAAGAACTATCGAAGGCAGATTGGGGCAAAGAATTCCAAAGAGCACATACACGCAATGAAAAGAACGACTCTTGTACAGAGGTTTTTTGACCGAGAATAGGCTTGAGCTTAGCGAGCAGACCACGAGTTCGGAAGGCTTAGTTGGAAGTCAAGGCGTTCGTATTCAAATAAGATAATGACTCAAATACGGCTATTTGCATACGATTTTCTGGGACATAATTTCCGTTTTTCTGAACTTTACGAATCGAAGCGAAAACTTTTTTTAGGAGTTCGCCGTGGCGCGATGGCTGGCCGAGCAGGACGACCAAAGCAGAAGCAAAAGTCTACGTCCTGACGAATTCAGGATATCAAGGTTACCACGTACCTTTTTTTATTGTATCCCCCACTCAATAAAGATGTATTCGTGGTTTTTATTATGCAAATAATTCGTATAAAAGACAGAAATCCATGCAGCGAGAACCTGCTGTGGCCTGCTACGTCCTGCGGTGCTCTAACGTACAAAATGCAAAACTAAAAAGTGTTGATATGCTTACTGTCTTTACTGTTCTGCGCAATCAGAACAATAGGACAAAATGTCCCAGGAGAACTATGCCCGCGACGTACACAGACAAAATTATTAGCGGCCTGAAAAGTACCTCCACGTGTGCTGCGCCTCGCGCAGACCTATGCTCCAAGAACGTAATATAATTCATGCATCATATGCATCAGTACGAATCGCAGTCCTAGACGATATCGTCTTTTAAAGACAGCTAGCAAGCCATCGGCTGTATTCTCTTTTGCTCTTTAAAAATGCAACTCGGAAAACGACTCGCGCCACGAAGCCATATTGCTTACTCCGCTTCCCTACTGACTATTTTTCGTATCATTCTGGGGAAGCTGATGCCCAACTCCACATTGTCGAGCACACACTATACTCTGCAAAACGTGGCGAACGGCAGAACGGATAGTTCTCTCCAGGCACATATTGCTGCGCGCAGAATTATGGTGCCATAATTCAGGTGGCCAAATACGGTAGCGAGAAAGCTTGTAACGCTGCGGGCGGAAAAAGCTCGAAAGATATATTTGCGCAGCGGTGATGCGGATGTGCTTTTTTTGGGTAATAAATGTTTTTATTCGTTTCCCAGGAAAATGTGACATTTTACGAACAAAGCCAACCGCAGCCACCTTGACGATGGTGGAAACGACTCCGTTTAATGCCCTGCTTGAATATATCCGAGGAAAAGCAAATAGGGAAAATTACATGCATTTGTCTTGGAATGAAATAAAATCGAGCAGTCATTTTGTCGAAAACCGGGTTTTGGGAAGCAGTGAATCAAAAATCAGGCCAAAATAGTCTAACAATCGCAAAGATCTAAATGAAGAAGGAATTCATTCTACCGCATCGGAATAATTTTACTGCTTGGTGATAACGATACATGGAAACTCTCAGACTCCAGACGACCAGAATCTTTAAATCAGATCCCGAGAATCGGCATCTCGAAAACCAGAATTTTGATGGTTCAGTATCCCGATAGTCCAAAACAAGTCAGGTCTCGAAAACAGAATCTCCAAGACTGAAAATTTGATCTTTATGATCTTTACCCCGAACATTTTTCGGCATCTTGTCTGTGGCACAACTTTTTAGATAAATGTATCGAACAATTGCAGGAGAAGTTGTACTTTCTGAAATTTACGTGCTTTTGGAGGGGTTTTGTGCCGCTTAATTAGAGTTGGAAAACCCCCCGAAAAACCCCCCGGGGGGTTTTATAAATACCCCCGGGGAGGTTGAAAACCCCCCCAAAAAAAGCCCCCGTGGGGAGGTCCTAGAAACCCCCCCGCGGGGGGGTTTCCAAAACCCCCCCGAAAAAGCCCCCCGGGGGCGTTTCAAAACCCCCCGAGGGGATGGGAAAATCCCCCCGGGGGGTTTTTTAAAACACCCCCGCGGGGGGGTTTTGGGAACCCCCCCGGAGAAACCCCCCGCCACGACATGGAAGTGATATGTTCGGACTTACATCAATATTTACGTGTTACTCATTTTCGTTTTAAAGCTTTTGGTTAATTTTCAAGGGCTGTAAAAGACCAATTGTTCGAATACATAAAGTAACAGTTATTTAGAACAAGTATTGGCAAGAGCGGCCTATCTTGCAGTCCGTTTGTGCATAGGAAATTTATTTAGCTGTCACGCTTGCGCTCTGTTAGTTTTGAACCCGGAAAAATGCGGCGGTTTTTTCTTACATTATTCTTTTGTTCTTTCTAACCTCTATGATTTCTGTTATCTGTTAACCTACCGTGATGTCGGTTTGATGTTCAGTTTTTGTTTTCAAAATTTTGCTGTTCGTTTCGTTTGCTAAACTTGGCGCGTCCTGGAATGTGAATAAATCTTTTATCGAATAATCTTTACTATCCTTGTTTGCGAGATATTTAAATAAACTGCAGTGAGTAAGTGTGCTTCCTCGATTTTATTGGTCTTTCCGATAAAGGAGGGGCATTTGAAAAACCCCCCCTTAGGGGGGTTTAAAAAACCCCCCGGGGGCTTTTTGGAATCCCCCGGGGGCGTCTCACGGGGGTCAAAAGCCCCCGCGGGGTTTTCAGTCCCCGCGGGGGTATTTATAAACACCCCCGGGGGTTTTTTTCCGGGGGTTTTCCAACTCTACGCTTAATCAAGAAGTTCATCCACAAATTTTGGAGTTGTCCCCTTTCCGTTACACCCCTGGCTTAAAACTAATGAGTTTATGAGCAACCAAGTTATGAGTCATGGTGTTTTGCTGTGCTATTGAGTATTACGAGAACCATTGCTTTCGGCCATCACATCTCAATATTTTGAATTCAGCAGTATCTCCTCAGGAGTGGGTAGCCCGAGCTTGGTCCGTACATCAGACGCCCGATTTGCTCAGCCCTGCCACTATTATAGGACGAAGAACTGCGAGCTCTTTTTTTACGAAGCCCACAGCAGCGACGATTGTTTGCTTGTCGCAGCCTCGATTTTGTATAAAAGGCGGGGCGGTGCAAACCAGAACATTCACTTCGGCGGCTCAGCTCGAAACATGCAGAAGGTCGTCTGCCTCGTCGTCGTCCTCGGCTTCGTCTCACAGGTTGGTGCTAAACCAAAGAGGAGTTGTTCAAGGAGGCTCATCAACTTACTCTTACTGAACTTACAGTCATAATGTTGGTAAATTTAGGCAAATGCGCAATGTGACCCGGTTCCTTCCCCGGCTCCTGCTGCCGGTACTGGTACGTAAGATCCATTTACTCCTTACTGGCTCTGCAAGGAGATCCATTTCTAGAAGCGCTTCGTCTAATATTATATGGTATTGTAACTCCATAGCCACCAGGGCACCCGGCAAAAAATGCTCTTCAAATAGGATAACGGCTGCAAAAGTAATCGGTGACGTGAGGGAAAGAAAATTTCTCTGCGTCTCGCCCACGGAGCGCGTTCTCGGTCCTGTTGTCGATTTGCCAAAAAAATTTAAGCCCCCATATGGAGTTTCAACAGATGCGGTCCTCTCAGGGTTGGTCATGAAAAGACCGGGACCCCGGCACCGGGTCCCGAAATGATCATCCCTGGTCCTTAAACATTTAAGCAATTCTTAAAGCGGCTATAGATTTGCTCACTAACTATGAATTTTATCATCCTTGGTAATTTAGGGACAGCCCCGGCCTGCCTACCTGGTGAGGTTTGCTACAATGACGGTACGGACGATGCATGCTACGTTGTGGGTTTTTGGAAAATTTTCCCTACGAACAGCCGAAAGCACACAAAATTTGTCAAAAGTTCATACTCGCACCCGACTCAGATTTGTATGACGGGTTGGGATACATATCGCATCTCGGACCTTACAAGGAGATGGTCTCAGCTGGTAATCGAATTAGGATTTGAAAATTTGCACACTTATAGAGCTCGGCGAGACAAATCGATTGGTGTAACTTTCAGCTGCTGATACAATAACCACGCCGAGTTATAAGCATTTTAAGTGTTTGCATACATTTTGCAAAGTTATCGCCGTTGCTTCATAGGCCTTCCCCGCCTACCCCATCACCGTGGTCTGGTGGCCTAGTGGTGAAGTAGGCGGCCTCCGGGGAATCTAACGAGGGTTCGAACCCGCTCACGATTTTTATTTTTTGCTTTTTCGTCCGAAGGTTCCTCTTTGCTTTCTGAAGGCCTTGAATAGCTTTTTACGCATTATTTTAAATCCTCTGGTGAGAAATGGCTGAAAAAATCTCTTTGAAAAAAACTGAGATTTTTTACCCGAAAGGACTATGCAGATTCCAAAATAAATTGAAAATTTAAAGTATATGAAAAATCGAGGAGTAAACGTAATTTATTGTGAATGGTGTGTTATCCGAACAAAAATTTTCATAAGCGAAAATTTTTTTGGGAATGATAGTCATAGGTTGTTGGACAAGGGCTCCATGCCCAGTAAGAAAAATTTTTTACGGTGAAGTTATGTTGTCTGCGCATCAGATGAGTTAAAATAATGCGTAAAAAGCTATTCAAGGCCTTCAGAAAGCAAAGAGGAACCTTCGGACGAAAAAGCAAAAAATAAAAATCGTGAGCGGGTTCGAACCCTCGTTAGATTCCCCGGAGGCCGCCTACTACACCACTAGGCCACCAGACCACGGTGATGGGGTAGGCGGGGAAGGCCTATGAAGCTACGGCGATAACTTTGCAAAATGTATGCAAACACTTAAAATGCTTATAACTCGGCGTGGTTATTGTATCAGCAGCTGAAAGTTACACCAATCGATTTGTCTCGCCGAGCTCTATAAGTGTGCAAATTTTCAAATCCGAATTCGATTCCCAGCTGAGACCATCTCCTTGTTAGACGCATAAGCCCAAAAGTTTGCTCCTCCGGACCCATGATTTACAGGATGACGCGACCACAACTACTCCCTTGGTGACCACGACCGCCGGTGGTGCCACCACCACAACAGTGGACTCGGCAACAACGACGACGGTTGCCGATTCCGCCACCACTACCACGGTTAGCAGCGAGAGCTACTCTGGCAGCTGCGTCGATACGAACAGCAAGTTGGTTTTTTTAGTTTCTGGCTTTAGTTCCTTGTTAGTTTTCCGTTATGCGCCGATTGTAGGTCGCAAGCGATCTTGGAAACCGAGGACAACAAAACCGTCAGGACATTACCTCTTTTTTCAGCTGCGCGACCTGGGTGTCGAACGGCTTCTGCACCAACACGGCCTACACCATCGAGCAGAGGGGCCAGTACTGCGCCAAGAGCTGCAATCTCAAGCCGGCTTGCAGTGGATCAAGCACCACCTGCACTGACTCGAGCAGCAAGTAGGTTTAGGATGAAAGGCACGGTACCGAGAATGCCACGGACCGAGCTCGATACGTGATGCTCACCATCAAATATATTTTCCTCCCTATGTCATACATTACAGCTGCGCCAACTGGGTCGCCAACGGCTTCTGCAACAGCGCCTTCTACACGACCGCCCAAAAGTCTCAATACTGCGGATCCAGCTGCAATCTGTGCTCGTCGAACGGCGGCGGCTCCTCCTCCACCTGCACCGACGGAAGCACCAAGTAGGGCTCGAATGGCATAGTTCCGTCTGGAACCACATTAATTATACCTTGGCCGAATAATACGAAAATTGTTTTGCAATGCCTATTTCAGCTGCGCCAACTGGGTGTCGAACGGCTTCTGCAGCAGCTCGTTCTACACGACCGCCCAAAAGAGGCAGTACTGCGGCTCCAGCTGCAGCGTTTGCTGAGCCCCGCGCCCCACGTTAGCCCTCTACCAAGAGCGTGGCTTCGAATAAATCTCTCTGCATATTCGTTGGTCAGCCATTGGAGGAATTCAGCACACCATAAAAAGACTACCTACTACAGGAGGGCACAGTTACTGCTCAAATCAGGGACCAGATAGTTGTAAGGTTGCCGAGGAAATTCTAACTTTAAAGCTTATGGAGTTTATCCAACGTGAAGACTAAAAGTACCATCCATTTAATCCGGCAGGAGATCCAGATATTGTGTTGTTTTAAAGTATTTGTGATTGTTTTAGGATGCCGCGATGCGGAGAAAGGTATGAAAAGGCTGAGAACATCTCTATTAACAGCACCAGATACTTTATCGGAATTGGAGAGACTCCAAAGCCCGTTTTCCCTTGCTTCCGACAGAGTTTGCAATATCAACTATAATAATTTTGTTGTGGTCTCTATGTGTTGTGGTCTGAAGCTGAATTCCACTCGAATGAGAAAGGAGCTGGGGCTTCGGTCTGTTCGGATTCGGATAGAGCGCGGTCAGAAACCCCTCAAACTGAAGAAAATCAGAATCCAGAAACTCATTTCCATTTTTAAAAATCGACGCTTGCACATAATTAGTTATTGGGTTGGAACGTAAGTCTCTGCGCTTTTTTTAAAGCTCGCTGCTTGTCTTAATCGTAGACTTTGGACCAAGTGTGTTTTTGCACGATTTTGGATATAGTGAGCCAGGTCGCGCACGTTTCGTGGCGCACAGGGCTGAAACTTTGGGGCTGACTTTTACGGGAGGGCTTGTATGGGATCGCAAACTCTACCTCTATAAGCTCAGCAATTTTCAAGTTGAAACACCGTGGTAAGTTGGGTGACGTCCGTAATTGCAATATTAGTGAGGTTGTACAAATAATAAGAAAATATGATTCAGAATCCCCGTCGCCGGCTCTCTCAGCCCCGTATTTTTTGCTAGATTACTACTTACGGAACTGTGGTGCGAAAATTCAGGTGCGAAGGATGGAACTTGAGAACCCCGAAGGGCATATTTGCGCAGTGGTAAAACGGAGGTTTTTTTTTCAAGCAACAAAGGTTTTCATTCGCTCTCCAGAATATGTGACATTTTCCAACAGGGGCACTGACCGCGGCCTGGCACGCGTATGCCTGCCCGCAGGTGGATTAAGATGATCGGCCCTAGGCCTTCGACCAATCGCTGTGGTATAAAAGTCCTGCGAAATACCCGACCAAATTGACTTCGGCAGCTGAGCTCCAAGTATGCAAAAAGCCATCCGCCTGGTCGTTCTCCTCGGCTTCGCATCGCAGGTTAGTGCAAGTTAAAATAGTGTTTTGCCTCTGATCAGGTTGTACACCAATGTGCATCAAGTGGCTTCAATAGTTTTTTGCTAATTATGAAACTCTAGGTGATGGCACAAACCTGCCCTACACTTCCCGATCCATCACTCACCGTCGGCACTGGTCAGTTTCTAAAGGCTTTATCTATGGGCTGTACGGTTGACCAAGTGTATACACGTTTAGTGTACTGCGCTAAAAAAGCCGGTTTGTTACCCTAACCGGTGGTATAGAAAAATTGCGCAGATATGCCATATTGGGGGGACCGGCTTCTGAGGCTATACTTCAGGTTACCGCCCGATCTTCCAAATCCTGAAAGGCGATTCGACCCCATTACTCATAAATCCGTTACTCTATGAATCTATGCATGCATGAACGAAGTGTCAAAGCAATAGCGCGTTGGTTAGCTTTTAGTGTTGATATATACAGGGTGTCCCAAAAAAAACGACCCATCTGGCATTTCGCCGTGCTACATCCAACCGGCCCCAAATTTGGACGAGAGGTGTATCACACCCTAAATAACAACAATCCTGACTTTTAGCCCCGTAGCTACAGTGGTTCTCGAGTTATAACGAAAATACTGTTTTTGACGCAATTCTAAACAGTTTTTTTCGGCTATCTTTTTGGACTTTGCATCGATTTGCATCGACTTCCGGCTGCGAATCCCTAATTTCGCTTAAGAACTTGGGTAATTTTGTGTTGCAAAAATCGCTTAATTCAACGATTATTTGATTAATTCTGGTCCGAAAAAATTCTTCGAGTAAAGAAGGCCTACCGAATCATTTTCACTTAATGTCTAGGGGGTCTAACTCCACGGAAACCCTATGAAAAATGGAAAATAAAGTTTATTTTCGTTATAACTTTAAAACTACTGTAGCTATGGGGCTAAAAGTCAGGATTGTTGTTATTTAGGGTATGATACACCCCTGGTCCAAATTTGGGGCCGATTGGATGTAATACGGCGAAACACCAGATGGGTCGTTTTTTTTGGGACACCCTGTATGTACTTCACTTCAATCCGTTTTTAGGAACTGCGCCTGCGGCTTGCGCGACTGACGAGACTTGCTACCAGGACGCTGGTGCCGTCGACACATGTTACCTAGTCGGTTTTGGGTAGTTCGTTGAAGCGCAAGAAATGGAAGATCAAGACAATCCTTGGATGGGCTTGAAAACTAATTGAGCAAATCCGATAGTTAAGGCCCCTTGGGCCTAGACCTAGAAACTGCCGAAAACGTTTTCGAAGTACAGACTTCCGGTTTTCCGGGAATAGATTAATTTTGACTGTTTCTTTAACGTAACGCAATGTACGCAGCTAACGCAGTAGCTCATTAACGTTTTGAAGTATCCCACCTTATATAATTTGGTCGCGTATGTGTGTGTGTGTGTGTGTGTGTGGATGTCACTTTCGAGGCCCGATTTGAGGGCGTTCCCGTGTCCAAAATGCCCTAATTCTCCGTCACCCGGGGGAATCGACCCTTCTGTTTCCGATGGCGTTCTCAGAATTTCGATAAAATACAAGTTTACAAAGTTAAGGCCGGTTTTATCCATTTTTGGGGGTCCGGGAGGGCTAATTTGCATCTGCGAGAAAATACAAATTTCCTCATTCTTGCCAGTTGCACTCGCGAGTTTGGCTGCCTCATTGGAGCTGCCTCCGATTGCCTTTGCTCCCCTTTCCCGGCAGTCACCTCGGGGGATACAAGGGCTGTTGCGCGCGCTCTCAAGCATTTCATGGTAAAGCGGTTAGAGCGTCAGCCTGCCAATCTTGCTATCGGGGGTTCGATCCCCGGCCATCGTATTTTTTTTTGCTTTATGCTCGGAATGCATGTTTCGAAGTGTATTTTCCTGTAGGGAGGCGCTATTCTGAAGTCAGTCGCTCTAAACTGCGTCGCAGGCTAACGAATCCAGCTAGGCACTGAAACTAGCGCCGCAGACTAAAGATTCAGGCTAATACCTCAAGCTAGCGCCGCAGGCTTTAGAACGAAGCTAGCCGTACAAGCCAGCGCCGCAGGCTTCAGAACGAAGCTAGCCGCACAAGCTAGCGCCGCAGGCTTCAGAACGAAGCTAGCCGCACAAGCTAGCGCCGCAGGCTTCAGAACGAAGCTAGCCGCACAAGCTAGCGCCGCAGGCTTCAGAACGAAGCTAGCCGCACAAGCTAGCGCCGCAGGCTTCAGAACGAAGCTAGCCGCACAAGCTAGCGCCGCAGGCTAAGGAATAAAGCCAACCATTGAAGCTAGCGCCGAAGGCTTCAGAACGAAGCTAGCCGCACAAGCTAGCGCCGCAGGCTTTAGAATGAAGCTAGCCGCACAAGCTAGCGCCGCAGGCTTCAGAACGAAGCTAGCCGCACAAGCTAGCGCCTCAGGCTTCAGAACGAAGCTAGCCGCACAAGCTAGCGCCGCAGGCTTTAGAATGAAGCTAGCCGCACAAGCTAGCGCCGCAGGCTTCGAACGAAGCTAGCCGCACAAGCTAGCGCCGCAGGCTTCAGAACGAAGCTAGCCGCACAAGCTAGCGCCGCAGGCTTTAGAATGAAGCTAGCCGCACAAGCTAACGCCGCAGGCTTTAGAATGAAGCTAGCCGCACAAGCTAGCGCCGCAGGCTTCGAACGAAGCTAGCCGCACAAGCTAGCGCCGCAGGCTTCAGAACGAAGCTAGCCGCACAAGCTAGCGCCGCAGGCTTTAGAATGAAGCTAGCCGCACAAGCTAGCGCCACAGGCTTTAGAATGAAGCCAGCCGCACAAGCTAGCGCCACAGGCTTTAGAATGAAGCCAGCCGCACAAGCTAGCGCCGCAGGCTTTAGAATGAAGCTAGCCGCACAAGCTAGCGCCGCAGGCTAAGGAATAAAGCCAACCATTGAAGCTAGCGCCGCAGGCTTAAAGAAGGAGGTAACCGTTCAAATTGCGCGGCAGGCTTAATCTTAATCTTAATCAGGCCAAAAAAGGAGGCTAATCCCTCAAGCTTGGGCCACAGGATGAGGTAGCGACCTAGCCGATCAAACATGCGCCGCAGGCCTAATAACGAGACTAGCATTTCAAGCTTGCGCCGCATGCCAATACAAAGAGGTTTGCATGAAAGCTGGGTTTTTCTTTCTTCAAGGCAACTTTATGTGGAAGGGCGCTCGATTAATAGGGCCTAGACGGGATCCAGCGGGGGAGAGTCGCGAAGCGGCTCCTCCCCCGCTGGTCTGAAAATAATAGAATTTAGCGAAATTTCTTTAAACCCAAGACTGTTGTTCTATTGGTCTGCCAGTCTCATCGCATATTTGTTTTAGAACTGGATTACTACCACGACAACAGCCCGAGTAAGTGTTTCATGGTCATCTTTCGTTCGAGCCTTTTTACTGTTCTATACTTTTTACGTCGGAACCGTAATTTTTTTCCTTTTAGACCCCATCGCAGGATTGTGTCCGTGCCTTCTGGCCGATGACTCCCGCTTCTATAATCGCCGGTAAATTCTTTAATCTCTTCTAGGATTCCGATGCACCAATGTTTTATGCGCTTTTTCCAGAAGAATCAACCGGTGCTTGCCCTGAAAACACGCATTGTGAGGAGGGCAGAACCACGGCTGGGCAGCATGGACGTTTCTGCATCGCCGACGGATATGTCGACCCGAACCGCCTGACCGTGCCGTGGTACTTCGTCTAATGAACCTGAACAATGGGATAAATTTTCTAATAAATTTCCTGCAGCATTGATTTTGCAAAAAGAGCTGCAACTCCCAGCCAGTTTGCAGCGGATCGAACACCACCTCGAGAGGCAAGCGACAGCCACGTACTGAGCTATATACGTGATGCTCACTATAAAATATTTGCCTCCCTTACCCCCGAGCATGACAGCTCTAGTGAGAGGACGCAGTTACGACCCAAACTAGGGAAGCGAATTTATAAAGTTGCCGAGAAATTCCAACTTTTAAGGATATAGAGTTTATTGGGTCGCGGACACTCAATGCACTCCCCGAGTAGCAGATTCAACATTTTCAGATTTTATATTGCGGTCAACCGATCGATCCAGCCGTTGGTCTTCAAAATTTTTAGCCTATTCGGAGCTCTCCATATCCATCGATATTCGAAACAACTATTTGGACAGCAGGTTGGAAATATCAATACCGCGCTGCAAGAGCACTGAGCGGCAGAGCATGCTAGTTGACTTTTCAAGCATGTTTTAAAGCATCCCTTTTCCTGGTTGCCCTTGAATGACAAGCATTCGTGCTCATTCATTCTCAGAAGCATGCTATTTTTAAGATTCCGACGATTTCAATATTCGTTTCTTCCATCTTGTCGGCTAAGTCATCGTATCGACCACTGGAAAATATTCACGCTCTTAATGAATGCAAGAATTTTTCTTTTTTAAATTTCATGCGGGTCGATATCTTGCATTTCGTAAATAGAAACTATTAAGCGAATTTAGGGTCTCTTTCAACCCTAGTAATTTTACTAAAATTACTACCAGTCCTGCCCGCCTTCTATTCAGCTGTAATCGTAGTGTGCTGACGCGGGCTGCTATCAAACACCCAATCTGACTAACTTTGTCGGAATTATGAGTTATAAATGCATTCGGTCCCGAAGCGCTGCGCACACAAGCCAACAAGTGAAAAAATCCATGCGGGCTTCGGCATGATCGCCTGCACTATTTGGCTACGAGAAAGATCACCTTTTAATAGCTGCAAATCAATGAATTTTTGTTTTTTTATAAATTTTCGGACTACCGCCAAAGCCGTTGCCACAACGAAACCCGGTAGGAGTTGCGGTACTGATAATGCCAAGTATGCTATTGTTCTATCTTTCTATGCTTAGGAGTATAGTTTACTAAACATACTTGCTTGTGTCGTGGTGCCGAGAACTTCTATTTGTTTCAGCTGCGCCACGTGGGTCTCGAATGGCTTCTGTACATCAACCGCCTACACCGCCGCGCAAAAGTGCGAATACTGCCCGAACTATTGCGGTCAATGTGTGGTAACGACGGTCGGTTATGACGCCACAAAAAAGGCGTATTAAGTTTCCAGGCCAACATCTCCTCAAAGAAATAATATCCAAGTTTTGTTTTTCAGAAAACAACTGCCAAAGTAACCGTCAAGGCGACGACCACGAAAGCCACAGTGAAGACCACAGTCAAGGCCAAAGTGTGCCCCGCTGATAACAATGCCAAGTACGCCTTGGCTTTAAAATCATATCGGGCTTTTTTAGCTGCGTGACTTGGGCAGTCAACCGCGTCTGCACCAACCCGGGATACACTGCCGCTCAAATAGCCTCGTATTGCTCATCGACTTGCAAAACTTGCTAAAAAGCGCTGGCAGTTGACTAATAAATCATACACAGTGAAAATATCTAAAGAATCACGCGCATAACTTGGAAAATTGATACATTTGAATGCTTGAACAGTAAGCAAACCGCAGCTCGCTACTACAATCAATTCCCGCCTGGTAGATTTGGGGCGCAATAAATTTTCGTTTTGAAGCGAACATGACTCACGACTCCTTCAAGCCCGAGCGATCAGACTGCTCCACAAATGTACATTTGGACGTTTTTATTTATCGTCTTATTAATCAACAACGAGAATCGGTGAATGCGTAGCCACGTGCTGGCGGCGCCGGGATGGTGGATACATAATTTAACTAACAAAAACGTAAAACTAACTGGGGGATAGAGAGACTGGGGAAAAGGGGGAATGTGAATTTAGAAATGGTCAGTACCATATTGGCCACGGGGAATGCATGGGGAGGAAAAGACAGCCTGTTTCGAGAAATTAGGAAACCCGAGGTCGAGGGGAAGGGTAGGGGAATGGGGCAAAGGTGGGGGAATTAATAAAAGGGCATGCAAGTCGTAAATTTTGATAGACCAGGGCTAGGCGAGGGAGTTACCATTCCGCTTTTCCTGTTGTTCCTTGGCCACTTAGCTGAGAACGTCGAGGCTAAACAAAAAAATGTTAGAGTTCGGAGAAAAACGGCTTACCCGGCGCCAGCGTGATTATCATGCAGCATGGGCGGTTTCTTCTGCCCTGATCCAAGACGTAATGGCTGACCAAATAGACGCCGGACAACGGCAGCATCGTGTTTCGGCCTGTTCACCTGGAAAGAACACTTTCCATAAACGGGGGCAAGTTATTACCTGTAATGCTTGGTTCGTCGATTTCTTGGCGGATCCGTTTTCCGAGCGACGGCGTTTGGGCGGCCCCTAAAAACAATTATAACCAAAAGCATCGTTTTTCGCACCGTCTTCTCCTCCTCTTTGGTCGACGAGCCACCGCGGCCAATTTGAGCGTTTGTTGGCGGGTCCTAAATCAAGGTTGCGTGAACCTATTAAAATCCCACCTGGCCCTTATCAGTGTCCTTCTTGCCGCGCTTGGCCGAACTGTTTTTCTTTGTAATCTTGGCCGTCGACAAGTTATGCGCGAGCTCGTTTTCATCAGACTTCATCTCCTCCCGCTTTGAGGAAAGTTTCTTTGGCGACGGCTCATCAGATTCCGACTGGGCACGCTTGGCGGAAGCCGTCTTCGGGGACTTGGGCGGCGCGTCGTTGAACTTGAATAACTCCAATGAATTTAAAAAAGTAGCTCACCACAGATTTCTTGGCCCCCTTGAGATGAAGAGCAGCCAAGGCCCAAGCCTGCAACAACACATCACCGCCGTTGTCTTTGTTGAAGAAATCTTCTGGAATCTGGTCTGTGGTGCAAAGACGATGGATTGTCTAAAATGAATATGATAACATTTTCCTGAGCTAATATACCGAGTGTTTCGTACTGAAGACGCGGCCCTTCTTGCCGTCTGTCTGGAGCGGGAAGAAGACGTAACTGATCTTTAGCGGATAGACACCGGTCACCTAAGGACAAGATAAAGTGTATTAAATGTTATCTGACCTTCGACGACGCCATCGTCTTGCCGCGCCACGGAGCCCATACAATGTCCTCTTTTGCCGTCTAAATTTGATTTTTGCTGAAATACATGAAAACCTTACTGGGCATGCTTCCGGCTAGACACGCCAAATCGCTGGAGACCCTATAAGTCCGGATATAGTATCAATTCAATCAATTGAGAGAAAAGCAAATGAAAAAAAGAAAAGCGAAGAAAAGCGAAGCTATAACCCTTCTCTACGACTAAAAGACATAGAAGAACGTTTTATTGGCTACCATACCCCTGCAACGCCGCTATAAATCTTCCTTGAAACTGAAAAAGCAGATAAGTACCGCGGAATGGGCTAGAATCCCCTGAATGAAAGTTCTATCTAATTTCTGATGCTAAAAAAGCATATAAAGACTGCGGAATTGCTAGAATACCCTTGAAAAAAAATTCTATCCCTTCTTTGAGGCTAAAAAAGCATATAAGAACGGCGGATTGCTAGAATACCCTTGAATGAAAGTTCCACCCCTTCTTTGAGACTAAAAAAACATCTAACTGTAAAGTGTGTTTGCTCAGGCTGGCGTTTTGGGATGGGACCAGGTCTACCTTGTGAAGAATCTTTCGCTGATTCCGAATATGGCTTCCAAATCGACTGCCGACTTTTATTTAAAAAGTTATTCGACATTTATAGTAAAAAATTGCGAAAAATTGGATTTCTTGGCGTTATTTTTAAGCTGTCGCCATCATCAACATTAAAACTGGCTCGATAACGGTTTTAGAGGTTAAAGCATGATTTTATGCAAAAAATTCCGTGTTTTTGTGCAAAAAAAGCAAAGGGAATTGTGCAGGGCGGGGTTCGAAACGCCGCCCTGTGCTTGGCAAGCGAACACCTTGCCAATGCACCAGGATGCCAACTGGGCAGGGGGCTTCCGGAGGATAGATAAGGGGCACGGCAACGCCTGGACCCACGCCGGGACTAGTGGGCCAGCATCCGAATTGCGTCGTTTTTCAGCTTAATTTCGATCTCAAATGACTTTTTAACGCAAAGTCCGCAGCAAATTTGGAAAACGGAATCGGAGTCAGCAAAAAATTCTGCAGAAGATAAGCTTCGTCCCATTCTAAAACGCCAGCCTGAGTAAAAACACTTTACAGTAAGAACCACCGCGGAATGGCTAGAATACCCTGAAAGAAGAGAAGCGAGCAGAAGAGAAGGAAAGAAGCTGGAGCAATGAAATTCGGTGCGAAGACTTTTACGTCGAGACGAAACGGGCATAGAACTTTCTGCTCTGACGTATAATAAAGGTGCTAGGGTAAAAAGAATTATCCAGTCTTTTTTGCAAATTGGCTTACGCGCAGCAATGGTTGACAAAAACCCAAAAGACAGAAATTCAGTGGGGCTAGGGCGCACAAATGGACCGGTAGTACTTTGTGGGGTATTGTATCTTTCTGCCGGATCCAAGCTTTAGGCATCTAAAAATCACGCCACTTCAATTCCCTCCATAGCTCCCTCCCGTTCGCCGCGATTTGGGGTTTTCAGCGCTAGCTCCTCCAAAACACTTTTAGCACTTTTCAACACGGGCGGGTTTCTAGCCCTCGGACGTAACGAGTCACGAACGCGTCACACCACTTTACACCGCGTAATTGATTTCACAAACCCAGTTATTTGCGACAAATAATCTTGTAAAGGCTATTCTAACGCTAGAAACGAAAGAAATATAGTTGTAAAACAGATTTGGACGGGAAAGGGGCATAACTCTGCCTGTTTCGAGAAGATTGACAGTTTTGCTGGTTCATCACACACGACTACCTAGTAATGTAAGTAATCCCTATAACAATAATGCTTCAATCACGAGTTCACTTTATCACTGCCGTTATAAATAAGTGTTACGCAAGGCCAGGCACTTTGCTGATTGAACCTCTACAAAACCAGCCGAGCTTCGTCGAGATAATTTAAACATTGAGGATGAAACCTAATGATGTAACGTTCGAGCATGCGTGAAAGGCTGGTGATGATATGGGCATTGTAAAGCGCTTGTTTGGTTTTGCTTTTTACCGCTACCATTGCTCCTTCAAGTTCGGGCCATCTTAGCCTACGGCTCGCAGTTGTAATGTGTGATTTGGGTAATTCAGAAGATTCTTGAATTGAGAACATTGTGTGTACAATGTTTGCAAACGATAATTGCTCGCGAAAATGGAGAACGACGTGTTGGTGCCTATAGAAGAAGCTTCTTCGTGTTAGAACAGGCTTTCTTATTCGTACTGCTGTGCAAAGAACCAGCGAAACTATCAATCTGCTCGAAACAGGCAGAGTTATGCCCCTTTCACGTCCAAATATGTTTTACAACTATATTTCTTTTGTTTCTAGCGTTAGAATAGCCTTTACAAGATTATTTGTCGCAAATAACTGGGTTTGTGAAATCAATTACGCGGTGTAAAGTGGTGTGACGCGTTCGTGACTCGTTACGTCCGAGGGCTAGAAACCCGCCCGTCTTTTCAACTTTGTACTGTCGTTGGAATTACCGTTGTAAGCGTGATAGTAGGCGTAATAAGCGCATAGAATGTTCAAACCAAGAGAGAATGCGCTCTTTATATTTTCTTCCTCTTTCATTAACCCTAACTCTTTCTATCTACTCACTCAATCGCTACCTCCCCCTCGCGGCGATTTCTGGTTTTAAGCTCTAGCTCTTCCAAAGCACTTTTAGCGCTCTGTAGAATCGTTGAAGGCTAAATTGTCGTATCCGGTCACTAAACCGATTTCGGTCTGTTATATGTCAAAATGCTCCGCAAGTCGAGCTGATTCAGGATCAGTCGAAAAAACTTTTCGGAAACACTTCTGTCCCGAGATATGACAATTTGAAGTTTGACTTCAACCCGTTCCTTATATAACCTGTTCTCGCCCCTAGAAGTCCGTTTTCAGTGCGGAAAAAGATGGATAAGTGCTCGATAAAAGCTTAGCTTTACTCACCACACCAAGTTTGAGCCTAAAAATAAGGCTTCGTGCCACCCGGGGCCTAGTCGCTTCGGATGGGTGCGAGCTCGTACAGGGTTTCGAAATCGGGGCGCCCGAGGGCGCGCGTAGCGGCCAGGCGCCCCGATTTCGAAAGAGTGGAGCGGCAGCCCATCCGAAGCGACGGCCCACCTTGCCTGACAATGTTTTTTACCCAAGAAACAGCAATTCCCTACCATTCCGTTCTTTCCGATTTACAGTTGGCGTATATAGGTGTATTGCGTACTACGTCTCGGCCTGTTTTGAGACCTTGTAAGCTACATATCTCACGATAGCGATTTTTCCGAAAAGTTTTTTCAACGGATCTTGGATCAGCTCAGCTTACTGCGCATTTTGACATAACAAACTCCGATTTTCGCTTAGTGACCGGATACTTCAGTAGCCAACTTTGAAGTGTCATATCTCGAGACAGAAGTGTTTCCGAAAAGTTTTTTCAATTGATCCTGAATCAGCTCGACCTGCTGAGCATTTTGACATATAAAAATCCAAAATCGGTTTAGTGACCGGATACGACAATTTTCCCTCGTTGAAATTACCGGCGGACCTATTGCCTTCATAACGCGCCCACATCGACCATAGATGAGATTCAGCTTGGCAGAGTTAAATCCGGAAAATATGGTTTAATCGTTTTGGTACTCCGCTAGATAGGTACGCGCTGATGAGCCTGACCCAAAGATTATTCAGGAGGTGGGCATCGCCGCACATACCACTGCCATTTTAGCTTTTGAAATCTGAGAACATCGTAGGGAACTGCTTATGAGAGGCTGCCCTTATCACCGTCAGGTTGAAAACTATAATTGACTCTATACCGATCACAAATCATTCCGCCCACTTTTCTGATCTGTGATGCCATAAACCCCTTTTTCAAACATACGTTTAAAGGTCAATCAGGCTGGAGCCGAACTCCGATGCACACATCCTTGCGCTCACCTGGACAAATATGCGACTATACTTGACGGACACGTAGGAAGGAACACCCCAACTGGACTTATAAAGGGGAAACCCCGACGGTTTCTGCTCACATTTGGCAATGGCTAAACTACTATTGGCGCTGCTTGCCCTCGTCGCGGTTGCATTAGCGAGTAAGGCGTTCCTAAATTCTAACGATTATCCTACTTTTTTCAGCCGACGACTGCCCGGCAGGTTGGTTATACACGAACACGTTCTTCTGCCCCCTTTCAGTTCTTTTGTTCCTGTTTTTTTTGCGTACCCTCTATTTCTTTATTATCTAATTTTTAGTGTATGGCGGCACTTGCAGCTCCGGACGTAAGTCATTTCGAGACCTTCGAGACTTTATAGATTTGTTTTTTCAAAAGCAAACCTATTTCAATTATAGTTAGGTTCGTAAAAAATCTAAAAGTTTTCTGCGCTGCAAATTAAAACAAGATACACGAACTCTGCGAAATTGCGAGTCTAATAAAAAATCACAGCGGCCAGCGGAGCCAATGGTGATGAGTGTGATGTTGGTGAATGCAGGCATCTTGATGAGGTATGGCCAATTTGTTAAAGAAATATCTAGCTTCTCAGGGCGGTTTCCTGTACGAATGCTTCTGCTCCAACTGCGATGCCGACACCAACACCTGCAAGACTACTGCAGCGCCCGTAAGTTGTGCGATACGCTAATCAACGCGCATATATTAATGTTGTATTGTTTTCTTACTGATTTTTTAGAAATATAGAATCTATTGTAAGTATCGTAAAGATGTAAAGGAGTTTAGACAGCAGCTGCTGGTGCCACAACAAAGGCTGGCGCTACAGCGGCAACAACAAAAGCTGCTGCTGCGACGACGAAAGCTGTCGTGACAGTTAAGGTGGGCTCGTAGCAAGAAAAACAATTAAAACAATATCTCCATCTTTCAATAATCCTACTAAATTATCTTCTCTGTGCGTAAGGATTATACCTCGGAATCACGTAAGCAGTGATTTTCGAGATTTTCAGACCACCGCCAAAGCCGTTGCCACAACCAAGCGCCGAACTAGCTGCGGCACTGATAATGCGAAGTAAGTTTTTGTCAGTTAATGAGGTTGGCCTCTCTATCCATACCTAACACGCTGGCAGGCATTTATTGCGTGGCAGCCAGTGATGATTATTTCCAGCTGCGCCACGTGGGTCTCGAACGGCTTCTGCTCCTCCACCGGATACACAGCCGCGCAGAAGTTCGAATACTGCCCGAACTATTGTGGACAGTGCGGAGTTACGACGGTGGGTGAAGTTTTAGATTTTAAGCTAACGTAAAACTTGATCTTTGCGCATCTTTGCTGCAAATGAAACCCCTTTCATTCCAGAAAACAACCGCGAAAGTAACCGTCAAGCCCACGACCAAAAAAGTCACCGTGAAAGCAACCGTGAAGACCACGGCCAAGCCAACAACGGCGAAGGCTAAAGTGTGCCCCGCTGACAGCAATGCAAAGTATTTTACTTTAATATCATATCAATCTTTTCCAGCTGCGTGACGTGGGCTGCCAACGGTTTCTGCACCAACCCGGGCTACACTGCTGCTCAAATCGCCTCCTATTGCTCGACGACCTGCAAGACCTGCTAGCCGATACCGGGCAGCCAATTAATAAATTATACTCAGTGAAAAATACATAGAAAAAGCAAACTGAATAGCTAATCAATAATTCATTCAATTCTTGCCTGGTCAATTTGGGGCGACATAAATTTTCGATTTTGAAGCGAACATGACCCTCGTATTTGCGCAGCAGCGGCGAATAGCGTTTAAAAACCCGGTCCGCGTCCCTTCAACGCTTGCCCCTGCAAGGGAAAAATCCTCAAAATGTGACCCTTGCGAAGTGGAAGTCGTTTCGAAACTGATCCGGAAGTTTGTGAGTTGAGGACAGGGGAACAAGACATACAATCAATAGTAGTTTTGGAACCCCAGTTATTATCGAAAAAATATTATGCTGAAGATCCACCGGAAATTGCTTTATCAGAAAAACTAAATGGCAAAATGTGGCCGCAGAAAATGTCGCATCGTCGCAGAAAAAGTTCAAGACAAGAGGTAAGACGAAGCCGATGCTCCATAAAATTCACGTATTGCAGCGCTGGATCCTAAGAAGAAGCCCAATCGAATGTTGCTATCAGAAAATCATATAAATGCAAAGCAGGTACTCGATCTCGTTGGATCCGTTGCAACAAGACTTTTTATGTGCAACCCCCGCTGCATCCGCACCCAGAACTTCCACAGCGCTGACCCCATAAGCCTGCACAAACACGTGTTGAACAGGACGACCCGAAAAATGACTTCGTAAGAGGGACTGGATTTAAGCCGATGGCTCCCAATTTCCGGCTACATTTTAGCAATGGTTAGGCATCTGTTGTTAGTAATTTTCCTCGTCCAGGTCGCTTTGGCAAGTAAGGGGAATTTTGTGCCGATTTGAATAATAAATTTCTTTTAGCTGACGGCTGTCCGGGAAGTAAGTTTTGCTTCCACCTCCACTTATTTTAATTTTGGTTTTTTTTTGTTTATCCCTGACTAACGTCATAAGGCCGTTTTTTCAGATTTCGGAAGCGGCTGCAGCTACGGACGTAAGTTACAATATGCCTTATGGCGTATGAAGATTCTTGTGTCACTCTTTTATTTTTTAGCTGCCGGTGGCTCAAACGCTGATCAATGTGATACTAATCAGTGCAAGCAGCTCGATGGGGTACTACCAAAAGCTGATTCGTTTAATTATACGTTTAGGGCGGCATCATGTACGAGTGCTTCTGCAGTAACTGTGATAACACCACCAACACTTGCACGGCTACGACAAAAACTGTAGGAACAGCTCGGTTCTCGAAATATCGATCATTTCAGACAACGATAGCTACCACCACTACCAACAAGGCCACCACTACCGAGAGCACGACAGCTAGCACTGCGGCAAGTACCACAGCAAGTACAACGGCTAGTACCACAGCAGTACTACAGCCAGTACCACGGTCAGTACCACCGCTAGTACCACTGCCAGCACAGCAGCTGCCAGTACCTCCACTACGGCGACCACCAAGGTATCTAACTACGGATTATCGCCAAACTAGCCCTCCGTTTTCAGACAACTGCTAATGCAGCTACAACGGTATCGAGCTGTGGAACGGATGATGCAAATTAAGCACTAATCATGTTTCGAATTTGATATTTTTAGTTGCGCTGTCTGGGTATCGAATGGCTTCTGCACCTCAACCGGGTACACTGCCGCACAGAAGCAACAATACTGCCCGAATTACTGCGGCCAATGTGGCGCGACAACGGTAAGGGGAAGATCATTTTCAGCTAACCATGAAAGGCAACAACGCCATATTCTACCTATTAAATGACATTTCTCGATATGAACCTTTAGATTGCGGGTACAACGGCCAGCACCACTGCGAGTAAAGCTACAACTAAGGTACCGGAATACAAGACTAGTCATCTGGTTTGTAGACAACCGCCACCACTGCCACCACGGCTACAACAAAAGCGAGCTGCGGGACGGATGATGTTAAGTAAGTTGTGTGTAATGTCCTCCACCCAACCGAAAAAAATCAAAATGCGTCTTCAGTTGCGCAACATGGGTAGCGAACGGCTTCTGCACGTCATCCGGGTACACAGCCGCTCAGCGTCAGCAGTATTGCCCGAATTACTGCGGTCAATGTGGACCGACGACGGTAAGCCTGATTACTTCATTGAACTTCCAAAAAAGCAAGAATTGGATCTAATTGCACTCAATCGCTCCTTTTCCTCGTTTCAGACCGTGGCCACCACGAAAACAACCGCTGCCGCAACTACCAAGACCACCACCAAGGCCACCACAAAGAAGACGTGCCCGGCCGATGCTAGTGCCAAATAAGTGGCTTTTCTATACCCTATACTAGCATAGATAAGCGGTAAATTAATCATTTCTTTCAGCTGTGCGAGCTGGGCGGCCAGCGGCTTTTGCACCAACTCGGCATACACCCAGGCCCAGATCGCCTCGTATTGCTCTACGACATGCAATATCTGCTAACCGGGATCGTGCATTTCCAATAATAAATCATGTAAATTGAATCAATAATAGAACACAACCTTATTTCCGAAAACACCGCGCTCAAACAAAATATCGCGCTCGAATACAGAAGGAATTAAATTAAATGCAGTGGGATGCAATTTTTTAACTTTCTATCCTACTATATATGAAAAATAGTGTTTGTGTGTGCCACTTTGCATACAACTTCCGTCAGGGTATCCGTAGGATATCTCGATGGGGGATGAATGTTAAGGTATGTATGAGTGTCTAACTTCAGCTGGACTAGCTGGCCTGGGTGCGTAATGGCCTGGAGATGACTGCACGCACATCAGATTTATCAAAATTGCTTATTTTCGACATTAAATTCAGGGTTTTGTTAAAAAATCGGCGGCCTTCTTTGTTAGGAAAAAATTAGCATATGCCGGAAAATTAGATAGCTACCATTATGCAATCCCCCAGAGTCCAGAATCCCCAGAAACTTGTGTTTTAAATTCGAGTGAGTGTCAAACTTCAGCTGGACTAGCTGGCCTGGGTACGACCAGCGTAACGCACAAATGGTAAAATTGTATTTGATAGACGGTAGACCTAAGGTCCAGGATAAAGTTCAAAACGAGTAATTGTGGGCGAAATCCCAGAGAGGTCTTCTTCTGCGTTACTCTCTGCCAGTTCCAACCTTTAACCTCCGATCAATACTCCATTGCAACAAGACTTTCAATGTATGTACAACCCCAGCTATAGCTGCACCCAGCCGATGGCCAGGATGACCTCGAACGGCTGCCCAAACACGTGTTGAACTGGACGGCCCGAAAAATGGGCTCGGAAAAAGGAACATAGATTTAAGCCGGCGGTCCCGAATTTCCGGCTACATTTTAGCAATGGTTAGGCGGCTTTTGGTGGTGCTTTTCCTGATTCAGGTTGCTTTGGCAAGTAAGCGATGTTTCGGATATAGTTAATAACTTTTACTATTTTTAGCCGATGACTGCACGGGAAGTAAGTCACATTGCATTTCCGATTTTTCGTTGGCTTCCTTGCATTTTATTGTTTTAATCGGTTTGTTTGAGCTTGCGATACATTAAAAAGTGCGCTCACTCCATTAAAAACGTTTTTCAGATTTCGGAAGCGGTTGCAGCCAAGGACGTAGGCCATATTTCGATCTGATAAACCCTTAGTTTTCAGCCGCCGGCGGTGCCAATGCAGATCAATGTGCTGCCGGCCAGTGCAAGCAGTTGGATGGGGTTTGTGAATTGTCTTTGGCCCATGTTTCTATCCAGGGCGGCATCATGTACGAATGTTTCTGCTCGAGCTGCAACAACGTCACAAATGCCTGTGCTACTACGACAAAGGCGGTATTTTAGGCTTTCGAAACTCTCACTAATTCATTCTAGACAACCGTCAAAACCACCACTACCAAAGCTACAACCACCAAAGCTACGACCAAGGCCAGCACTACACCCAGCACGGCCGCTAGCACGACAGAGAGCACAACCGAGAGCACGACGGAGAGTACAACGCCTAGCACAACGGAGAGTACGACCGTTTCCACGACTGCTAGCACAACAACGGAAAGTACGACAGTGAGCACAACTGTGACCACTACGGCGAGTACGACAGTTAGCACCACTGTTAGCACGACAGCAAGTACGACTGCTAGTGCGACTGCTAGTACGACCGCTAGTACCACGGTCAGTACGACGGTTAGCACAACAGCCAGCACGACAGCCAGCACGACAGCCAGCACGACAGCAAGTACGACTGCTAGTACGACCGCCATTACCACGGCCAGTACGACGGTTAGCACAACTACCAGTACAACTGCTAGCACTACCGCTGCCTTTGCAACTAATGCCACAACGGTTACAGGAGCTACCACGAAGGTACTAGGACTTGAACGCGCTGTAAATTTTCTATCAATTCAGGCAGCAGCAGCCAATGCTACAACGACTGCAGCGACGGCTCGTTGTGGAACTGATGATCCAAAGTAGGTTTATCCTCATTTTGACCACCATCCTGCGACCAGGGATGGCTTTATCATAGCTTATCGCGAAGCAGTTACATTATAAGCGTTCAGCTGCGCGGTCTGGGTATCCAATGGCTTCTGCACCTCATCAGGATACACTGCCGCGCAGCGACAACAATACTGCCCGAACTATTGTGGCCAATGTGGCGCAACTTCGGTAAGCCAGCTAAAGGCGGGCTCCAGAACCCACTCCTACGTTACAGACGCAAAGCGCTACTACAAGCCGCGCAGCCAGCACCGCCAGTACTGTTGTAATTACCACGGCGAAGGCAACAGCTGCCCCAGCTGCGACCACTACGATGAAGAAGGCTAGCTGCGGAACTGATGATCCTAAGTTAGTTTTTGCTTCCTGACTTCGTGCTGCTATACAAACCCTTAACGCCAAAATCCACAACCTTTCAGTTGTGCCACTTGGGTGGCCAACGGCTTCTGCACTTCGTCCGGTTACACAGCTGCCCAGCGAAAGCAATACTGCCCGAACTATTGCAATCAATGTGTGGCGACGACGACGGTGAGGCGTTTATGAAAGGGATCTAAACAGCTCCATCATTAAACCAAGCATGAAAATGATTATCAATTCAAAAACTTTCATAATGTACGTAGAAGACTGCGAATTTTAGACGTCAAAACCCACTACCGTCGTGACTACCAAGACCACTACCAAACTCGTCACAACCACCGTCAAGGCGACGACAACAACACTCAAGCCCACGACTGCCAAGACGACACTTAAGACTACGACAAAGAAGAAATAATACTAAAAAATAAATATTGTGAATTGAATGGGGCAACAACTAATAAAAAAAGCCCATGTTTGACTTTTTTGGCACAAAAGAAGAAATAATACAAAGTCATCCTCGGAAGATCGCTTGAATCTTATTCTTGGAAGCTAAGCGAGACCTGTGGCTCTGTCGACTAAAATTTGGGGTAATGGCTCATCGTTCTGCAAAATATAGTTTTTGATTAAGTGTCGTGTTTATAGTTTGTGATTCTGTGACTCCATGCCAATTACTTCCCCTTAAGAAAAATCCATGTAGCAGGCTCGAAGTCGTAAGCTCTTCGAATCGGCACCAAACTCCACTATTCTGATTTTTCGGTACGGTTAAGCGAATTCGAGAAACGCCGAAGCGGCGACGCTTCCGTTGATTTTACTGAATCCCAAATCTAGAATGAGAAAGCCCTGCCCCAATATCCCTTTTAAAGCCGCTAAGCAAACAATGTTTTGAGAGGCGCTTGAATGTCAATTATGGGCGTGACCTGGGCTTGATGTTCTGCTGGTCAAACAGCGGATAGCAGATGTTTGTTGCCGTTCAAAAAACTTATTAAATGTTTTCAGAATTGTAAAAAAGTACAGAGACGGTCAGATTTGCATAAAAATCGTGTCGATCCAGCCTCTACCAAATTTTTTTCGGCACTAGCCTAAGTTTTTTATAAATAGCGGATGCGTTTTTAAATTGTTTTTAAGCATTCCTAATCATAAAAACTACACAAACTTTAATTCAAAAATTTAATTTTGGTCGAAGAATCATATAGAATCTTTAGGATCGGCGGGGGGGGGTGAAGGACCCCAAATGACCAAATTTTCGACTTTTTCTAACTTTTTTTTAAAGTTTTCTACTTTAAATATTGTCAAATTTTATCAAAAACTATTTGAAAACACTTCATATTTGATTATTAGGTAAACCGGGACCGCCAGGAAAAATTGGCTCCCCCGGAATACTCCCTGAATCCTAAAAAACCACAACTTCTTCAAGATGTTTTTGAAAGTAAGCTGTTGTAAAAACCCGCAGGTGCTGACCGAATGATGCAGGAAGTTGAGCTCCGTATACTTTCAAAACCAGGCCACTAACAGAAAAAAACCTGCTCCCCGATTTGAACTTATCCGTGGACCCTGTCTTTCGGAGCTGTGCACACAAAGGCGCCAGCGGTGGTATGCATCGTCGGATATCAGACAGACAGACACGGTTGTACATCCTCTGCTGCTGTTCAGAACACCACCGCCCCCTACAAGCGTCGATCGTTTCTGTACAGACGTTATACAGACAGCCCCAGAAGGATGAACCACTTTCAAGAAGCTCCCGTGCCTACCAGTAATCATACGTACGCTAAATCCCCTTGAAACCTCCTGATGCTTTAGGATCTGCATGCCCAGCCTCGTTGATTCGCTTGCGGAATGGTTCACCGACTACCCGTTTATCTTTGGGGTGGAAAACCTGCTGTATATTTAAAGACCCCGGTGGCTTCGACTTCATCCGCCTCGAAAAGCGCCAAAGGCAAACCGCAAAAGAAAAAGGATGTAAGAGAGCTAGTTTTGAGCCTCATACAGCTTTTCACATTAAAAAACAACGTACACCACCGGATACATCAAATCTCATGGAAATATATTTTGCTGATGCATTACATGCACTGCGAGATACCTTTTAGCACCTACAACTTTTTCTTCGACATTCGTAGATTTCAAGAGACTCTTTCGACAATTGCAAAAATGCTACGGGCCTCGTCAAAATTCATACGCTTCTAAACCCTCCACTACGTGTTTCAGCACGGTCTCTGTGCTGTTTGCGGCATGAAAGCTTCCGGGGTGCATTACGGTAGCCGAACCTGCGAGGGCTGCAAAAGCTTTTTTAAGGTAAAACCTACCATGCCCAATTCTATCTTATTTTAGCGCACCGTCCAAACTCAGATCTATCGCCGGTTTCGCTGTGCGAGAGATGGAAATTGTTCTTTACTGCGCAGGTGAGACTGCTTTTTGAGGCCCAGATTTTTACGTTCAGTAATGGTGAATACTGTAGAAGCTGTCGCTGGAATAAGTGTTTGAAAGCTGGGCTTAAGATAGAAGGTGAATTGATCCCTTTAATTTATTAGACACGTCAAAATACCTTGTACCAAATGCAGTTTAGCGGTGCGCCGGGGTGCTCTGGCTGGTCGGGCTGGAAGGATCAAGCAGACGCAAAACTCGGCTTAACTGAGCCTGAATGTCATAAATTCTTGTTTCATTGCAACCTCCTTTGTTGTGTTTGGTAGAACATTTTTATTTTAGTCGTTTTCTTTTTGTTCTGTGTATGTAAAGTTGCCCATCTTAGCGTGAGGTACCGTCAATTCATCCATGCCATACCGCTTATGATGTTTACCTTGACCTGATTTATGCTTATTTCCAGTAATTTTTACAGTAAACGGCAGCAAGGTTTTCCCGGCTATCCCCGCCCTCTGTTGCCATTGGTCCTTTTACCAGCCCTTCACGGCGCCGCTTACAGTATTTGGCTTACGGCTACCACACACTTATCCCATAACAGCTGTGAACTGGCCAAAACCCGTTGCAGAGATTTATGTGTAGTGTACTGTTCCTTCTTTCCATCTAGCTCTTACTTGGTGGCAATCAGTTAGTACATGAATAAATAGTGAATAAATCAGTACAATAAAATCAAAAAAGTCCTGTAACAATAAATCCTGTGAGATATATTTGCACTTCAAAAGCTCAGATTCATTCGCGAAGCTCGGTTTGTTTCCATTACAATCATCACGAAGGGCTGCTCCAGAGCGCCTGGACGCGTTCAACCGATAAATTCGAAGATTACACAACGCTCGGCACGACGATCTCGTCATAGCCTTACTAGCCTAGCTTGATCTATCATATAATTGTCGGTGCAACCAACATCAGCACCATGCACTATTAATGTCAAACCACTTTGAAAACCGCTGACCAAATATGCGACATGGCTAGCCACGCACTCGGGCGTAAAGGTTAACTTGGGCGGAGCTTTCGATTAAGTTTTCGACTAGCTTTCAAGTCCAATTTAGCATGCGGCTAAACGTTTTTAGGGAGAGAAAGCTGGTAAAAAGGATGCAATACCTTTTCTGGAACATAATATTGGTAGTACTACACCCAGGGACGTAGCGTAATACCGGCCCCGGGGGCCCGGGGCCCTCCCGAAATCGGCCGGGGCGAAAATTTCATAGGGGGACCCTTATGATTTTATTTTCTCAAAAATTTTGGCTGCCTGCGGCGCTATTTTTTCACGTTTTTACTTCGATTTATAGAGCTATTTGACGTTTTTTTCAAAAATTTTTGCCTGCGGCGCTTTTCTCGTTAATGTTTTGAGTTTGGAAAAATTTTTGGGGCCCCGAAATTTTCTGGCTACGCCCCTGACTACACCGTAAGCTATTTATTAACAACCTTCTACAATTTTTCAAAGATTTGCAAAATCGCACGAACAATTCCGGCTCCAAAAATCACTGTCTCGTTTTTTACAATCCGGGATAGATCTGGTACATATCGGACAAAGCCCTAAAACCGCGTTAAAAATTGACATTCAATCCCGAAAATTATTTGCCCATCCAACCCCGGTTTGGCGCCAAATACGCGGCAAAACGCATGTAACTGTAGGATCAAAATTGGGGAAAAATTGTCAATGTGGATTTTTGTTTAATCAGCCGCAGGGCTGGGAGCGAACAGTATTTGTCAAAAAACGTTCGGAAAATTGACATTTATGGGCCGCGGATTTGTGGTAGCAAAATTTTAAAGGTCAATCCGAATATAGAGGAAACAACTAACGATTTTCCAAGGAAATACAGAAAGAAAACCGTTACGAGATAAACAAAAAAACTTTGCCACTTTTGTGAGCATCGGCTAGATTCTCGCCCGGTTACGCCGCGTATGGCAAGAGGCCGAAACGGCGCTGAATGCCGCACTGGAGGCGCGATACTAATGATGCGTCTTTCTGCCAAAACATAATTCCTATTGGAAAGAGCACGTTTTTCACCCTCGGGAAATGTCCTACGTTCCCCTCAAAAGTATTCACGGAATTTTGGAATGATTTAAAGTCAAGAATTTTTGGCATTTTTTGCGTGCCAAGAAGGCTGGTGGCGGTTTAACCGGAGGCATTCCACAACTTTTGAAAATGAAATTGGAATCAGCGAAAAATTCGGCACAAGCTGTGCTACGTGCCCAAATTCGACTTCGACCATAAGGGGGGTGTCAGTAAGGTCGCACGTTATAGCATCTGCGTGCCTCGCAATTTCCTATTAGTGCGCTGGGTTGGTGAGCAGGGCAGGCAAAACCAACAAGGGCAAGACCAGCAAAATCATCGCAATTAGGTTTGGAGCCTGCGAGCGTATGCAATCGAATTTGCGCATGCTTAATCGTTTTAAGGCGATTTTCCAGAAGCTGGACACTATCAGACGAGCTGCGAGTTGAACAAACTATAGCTTGCAATTGCATGACTTCATGCTCGCTTTCTTTCAGGAGGCTATGGTAATTTTTTATCTCCAGGCTTTCTTCAAGTTCCGATGAAACCTCGGGACGGTTGTAAAAGTAGAGGGCAACACATAGACCATCCTAGCTCAATCCTGCGTCTTTGCTAGAATAAACTTTCGAGCAATGGTAAAACGGGGTGTTGCGCACGGCGGGAGTCGAACCCGCGACCCCCTGTTTTCCGTACAGGTGCTCTTCCGCTGAGCTACACGCGTCCCGAACACCACGTCGAGACCGAGGTAGGAAGGTGGGCATTCACGCCATGGCACTCTGCCGTTTCCGGGGCTTTTCCCCCCCTCTTGCCAATCCTTTACACTAGGGAGCACTTGAGCTCAAGAGGTCATCTTCCCTGTCCGTTGCTTATTACGTAACTCTCTAGAACCACTATACTCTCGAGCGGTACATCTATTCACCTTTAAAACGCTCTACTGTATCCGGCCAAACCACCAAAAATTTGGAGGCGGGCGAACACCATGGTTTTACAAGCGGAAATACACGTTTTGCAGCAAGCCCCCGGACCGTTGCCTTGGGCTGGGCAAATACGGCAAACCGGGAGAGTTCTATAAAAGACGATCGGCTTGTTACATTACCATCATCCTGAGCTTGCCCAGCTCTACCCCTCCAGCCATGAACACTGTGGTCGCGGTGTTGTTCGTCTTCGTTGGTGAGTAAACTCGAAAAATTGCGTTCGAAACACGAATTTCTAGGCCTCGCCACCTCGTGCTCGGACTCGTCGTCTAACTGCGCCAACTGGAGCGCCAACGGCTTCTGCTCGTCCACCTTCTACACCACCGCACAGAAGACGTCGTACTGTGGAACGACATGTACGCTTAATTTCTATGGATTGAGGGGTTCTAATTTTAGGCGGACTCTGCAGCGGAGGCGGTAGCTCGAGTACGACGTGTTCGGATACGTCCGCTAGGTAAGGATTGTGACACTATCTCTCTCTCCCTTGCTCCCTCTCTTTCTCTCTCTCTCTCTCTCCCTCTCTCTATCTTTCTCTCGCTCTCTCGCTCTCTCTCACTGGCTTTCTCTCTCTCACTGGCTTTCTCGCTCTCTCAATCTCCCCACATACTCTCTCCCTCCCCCCCCCCCCTCTCTCTCTCTCTCTCTCTCTCCCTCTCTCTCGCTCTCGCGCTCTCCACCATTTGGATTGCGTAACCCATTGGCCTTTTTCCAATTGCAAATAAGACCTAGCCACTGTTCTAAGCTTTCGTCATCCATTTAAAAATTTTCTAGCTGCGCCAACTGGAAGGCCAACGGCTTCTGCACAAGCACTTTCTACACCGATGCTCAGAAAAAGTCGTACTGCTGTTCCAGCTGTAAGTTTCATTGTGAGATTTGGTGCCAATCCTTAGTTATCAAAATTAAGCGCTTCTAACTCGGCAAAAATAGGTGGCAAAAACCCGTTTACCTCAGTTAAAACAGCATGGCGAGTTCGATAGGCATCCCGATCTCGAAATTTCAAAAGTTGTGTCCAAGCTGAGAGCTTCTCCTTGTGAACGGGGCTGATTACAGGGGATTATGCGGATTCATTCATCTAGCAATCGAGTTTTTTACAGGCAACCTCGGCGGAGGCTCCTCCTCGACTTGCGTGGACACCAACTCGAACTGCGCCACCTGGGCCGCCAACGGCTTCTGCACCAACAGCGTCTACACCGCCCAGCAGCGATCTGATTATTGCGGCGGAACTTGTAAGAGCTGCACTTACTTGGAACTCTCTCTCGCTCTCTCTCTCTCTCACTCTCTCTTCCTCTCTATCTCACTCTCTCCCCTCAAAAACAACGAACATTTAGGCGGATGCGTAACGACGACAACGACAACGACCACAGCGGCCGGCACAACCACAACCACCGATGGTGCCACAACGACCACAGGTGCCACCACGACTACTGGAGCCGCTACCACCACCACGACCCCACCGGTGAATGGCTAAAGGGCACCCTTCAGCACTTCAGCCTCCAAAGATACATACTCACGCTGTTTATTGGAGTGCTTGTACTTGCCTGACCTTTTGTGCAATTGTGCTTGGGCTTCAATAAATTTCTGCATAGAAACATTGATAATGAATTAAAATCTATCAGGTGCAAGCCTTGCATCAGCAAATTCAAGCATCATGGCTTTGGATTGTCCAGAGATTGACAGGTCGTCCAAGCCAAACTTTCACTATCTAACCCATTTTCTTATCAACTTGCGAGCCTTTTCCACGATCCAGTTTCCGGAATTTCCGAAACTACTTTAAAATTCGTTTGTGATATTTTGTGTCCGCACCGCTGGGCATAGACGACATGAAGATCGATACGCCCTCTAGATAATGGTCTGTCTGTGTCGGTGTCCGGAAAAAATCTAATTGAGCACTGTCAATCGACAAAACGAGCTGTTCATTCATACGATCCAGTTAAAAATATGTTATTGAAAGTAGTAGCATAGTAAAAAATGTATGCACACAAGCATAGACATACAAATACAGAGAAAACAACACAAAAGTCCTACCATCTATGCAGTTCGGGCTGTACGAAGGTCGGTCGGTCGCTGTTCGGGCTTGCTGCCAGAGAAAATCGGCTGTGTGAGCAGCTCAAGCTCAGCCGCGACACACAGCGCGACATGCACCGGGCGTTGCGTATCGCGGATGTGGCCAGCTTTCAACAAATTTCATGGCCAATCAAATCAGCTGTCATATGCCTACAAATTTACATGCCTGTTTTTATCAAAACATTGTAGTCTTTCGCATCTTTATTTACCGCGAAGAAAAGCAAGAAATCCAAGGCTAATTCTAAAGATTAAAATATCGATGAATTTTAGATACGTACCATTAATCATACCATCGACACAGAAAAAGTTGATGTGCAGCTAGGCAATCTGTCGGCGAAAGTGGGCAAAGCTGAAACTGGCAAACTCGGAAAATAGAATTTACTACAACATTCCGTCTTCAGCCTGGACTATTCGAATCGTGAAAAGCGGCAACAGCAACAGGCAATGGCAAGCTGATAAATCCTAGAACTCGAAAAATCGTCATTCGATGGCTCGAAACGTCTTACAACTAAATTCATGTAGCTGGATCCTGAACGGGCAACAGGCCCTGACCTTGCCTCAGCCACCGACATAGACCAAGTAGGGCTAGGACGAAAATGAGGAGCTGAAAATCTAACTGATGCTTCTGGGTGAAAACTCGGGAAGAAGATTTAACGGAACCTACGACAAAGGGTACCGTCGCCCCAGGCACCGACATCTCATCAAATACGGTAGCGCATACGTAGAGCATCAGATAGGCAAAAAGTCTTGCCAATAACGGAAATACCTGAAAATTTTGGGTAAAGTTTGGTTCGTAATTTGCTAAATGCTTGGTCCGTTTTTAAGAGGAATTTTCTAAGAACTGGCTATTCTATTCTAACAAAAGATTCCGACTACAACGAATTGCACCTGGGTTGGGCTTTTCGGACTTTTTTTATGTACAGGCAACAGCCCAAAATCTCAGCCTCCGACGTAAAAGCAAAGTTTCTAGACAGACCGGAATAGTTGAATAGGATAAATTCTCATCAGGCTTGGCTTCTGCGTGGTCGATGGGATACATTGAGCAAAAGCGCTAACTTGGATCTGGCTCTGATACATCCATCCCTATTGGCCCACAGCGACGCCGGCTGAACAACCGAAAATACCGCCCCTAAAGCGATTTTTAGCCAGAAACCGAAAGCCCAAATTTGTTCAGCCACCAAAAGGCGCCTCTTTCCGCATGATTGTCAGTTAATGTCATCTCCAGCCAAGTACCATCACCTTCCATCGCGAAGGGAGTTCAAAGGTGGGCACTCATATTTTCGAAACTCATATTTTCGAAACCCACATTTTCGAAACTCATAGTTTCGAAAACTCATATTTTCGAAACCCATATTTTTGAAAACTCATATTTTCGAAACTCATATTTTCGAAAACTCATATTTTGGAAACTCATATTTCCGAAAACTCATATTTTCGAAACTCATATTTCCGAAAACGGTCCTTGCGTGGGGGGGGGGGACTGAACTTTTTTCGGCCCAAGCTTAGATTTTTTATATAAATGGTGGAATTGTTTCTAAACTGTTCATAGCTATTCCTAAGCATAAAACTGACAAAATTTAATAAAAAAAATTAATTTTAGGTAGAAAAATTAATTTTTTCGACCAAAAACGACCAAATTTTCGACTTTTCAAGCGTTTTTCTAACCTTTTAAAAAAAATTTTCCTATTAAAATAAGTCCACCATTTATATAAAAAATCTAGGCTTGGGCCAAAAAAAGTTCAGTCCCCCCCCCCCACGCAAGGACCGTTTTCGGAAATATGAGTTTCGAAAATATGAGTTTTCGGAAATATGAGTTTCGAAAATATGAGTTTTCGAAAATATGAGTTTCGAAAATCTGAGTTTCGAAAATATGAGTTTCGAAAATATGCACGCAAATCGAGTTCAAAACGAAGTAAAGTTGCTGGAAGTTTACTCCGCTTCCGAATTTCCGAAAAAATTCTACGTGAACGCCTAGCTATTTAAAAGGAAACAGACAAAAAACTTTCTAAGAATTTCAAAATTTTGGAACGTTTCCCTTGCTGTGCCTGGTCAAGTTATTAGAAGTTAATAGACAATCGTCGTCCTGACATTGCTGCTTTAGAAAAAAATCGAATCGATGTCCGAACATGGCAGTCAACTGGAAATGTTTGAACAGCAGAACACGGGCAGTATACCTCACTAGGCTCTGGCGAAGCGATGCAGGCTTTCGGAAGGCTGATTTTTCGTTTATTTATTTTGCACTGAACGCGATGTCTGATACCTCATTGCCCTACGCTGTAGCATTTATTTACACTTATTAGCAGCATTTATTAATTATTACAATTGTTAAGCGGGTCGTTCACAATTTCGATTTTGTCGGCACCGATCCAGCTGATTCAGCAAAGTCCGCACGTCTTCTTACACTTGATGGGCTAAAATGGATATGTTTTTGAGAATCAAAATTCTTTGGGGTCGCTTAGAGAAACACAGCATAAAAAACAGACCATGATCAGGCTATAGTTTGCGTTTTTGCAGAGTCCCTTATTTGTGGCGCAGGTGGCCAAGACATCGGCACATCCGGACACGGTGGTGGCGGCGTTAGCTCCTGTAATGTGAGGTTATCAGAAACGTGTCTCAAAATCTCAAAATCTCAGAGGGCTTCAGAAAGGCAACCCGGCGTCCGTTGGCTAACAAACCGACGAGGCGCTACTATAGACGCTTTCCATGGCGCAAGCGCGCCCAAAACCGTGACTAGGTTTCAAGAAATATCTTTCTTTAAACGATAATTTTTTATTTGGCGTGATTTTAAGCCAAATATTTCCGACCATATAGTTTTTGCTCACCCCGTTCGATGGTAAAAATTTGAACGTGAATGCGTAATAGGCTGCCAAAAGCAGAGAGGTCCGGGTTTTGGGTCTGATCGACCTCGAGTCCGATGCCTGCGTCACCCCTTTGCGCTTTTACCGATGATGCCTTTATGGAGCCCTTTAAAACTTTTAATGAATAATAGGAGAGGAGATAAAGAGAACGTTATTCCTGTAAGCATCCAGCCAGTCCCAGGGTTTTCCAAGATCTTACCTATCGGGCGGTTTCCACACTGCTTGCACGTCACCGGGCATTGTGTGGCCATCAAGGACCTAAACTTTTCATGGCTTTAGAAACAGTGGCGGCTTCAGATAGCGAGAACACAACTCCTCAGCGCTCAAAGTTGTTTCGCCAACGTTGCAAAAAATGTACCTGTACTCGGCAAGGTTGCTGGTGCAAAGCGCGGATTGGCTGGTGCAGTAGGTGGCCTGGTCTTGGCAGAGGCCCTAGAAAGTTTGCATTGCAAAATGTCACCTTGAAGTAGTGTTGTCCGGCCTAAATAACAATTTAGGTAAACTTACCAAGGTTGTAGCCGCCTTGGTGGTAGCTTTGGCCGTCGTAGGTTTGGCGGTGGTTTCCGGCATCGGGCCTAAAAAAGCTTCCGCTCTCTATCCAAGGTTTTCCATTTTTGGACTTTCAGTATGGTTGAGACCTACAGCAATAAAGCGACCCATCCTCCACAGTCTCACAGCCAAGCGATGGATCCTGGAGACATTTCTTGGACGCGGTGTCACACACTAAAAGGCATGGAACCATAGAAAGTGCTGATTTGGAATATTTGGCAGCATGTGTATGGCGAAACTAGACCCTAAAAACCTACAGACAAGCCCAGGGAATCCGGAGGTCGGGCATGTTTGCGCGAGAACGAATTCGACGTGGATCGCCAACACGTACGCGACGGCGATCGCGATGAAGGTGCGGAGGTGACTGAAAATGTAGTGAATGTTGCGGATTGCCAAAGTATCCATGTTTGTCTCAGGAAACGACGAATTCCGTATTTTCGAGTAGCTTACTGCGGGACGGACCGACACATTGTTTAAAGTTCATTACGCTCATCGAGTCAAATCGTTTTCGCTCCTAGTTTTTAAGCGATCAACTAGTAGCAAAAGGTTGTTACAGTGCAACGTTCTAAAATACGTAGTGAGTGTCACAGGAATCGGAAGCATCGGTCACTTTACAAGAAAACCTACGGAACTGCTTGTGAAAAGAGAAATACGTTCACTCAGGCTGGCAGACATTACGCGGCTGAAACGTTTTCATAATAAGCCTAATACTGCCAAATACCGCGCATTTTTGCTGCATAAAAGTCAGAAAAATCAAATTAAGCCAGATCGTGCATGCTTTCTGAAACGCTAAAGCCCACCTCATGGCGTAGGAGGTCCGTTCGAAATCCAACGCATCAAATATCCCCCCTCCCCGGTCGGCGTGGCTTATATTGAAACTGCAGGCAACTTTTTCGCTGCGACAACCAGTTGGCAACGTGCGGAGGGCCGATATTTATGGAACACGCTGTATTTAAGCAGCCGACATGACTCGACGGGGGGCCAAGGGGCCCCGCGTGGCCCCGACATGGTTTGTGAACAGAAATGAGGGCTGAACATTGACACATTCGACTTCGATTTTGGTTTAGCTTCGGGCGAGGGGAAGGCTTGCAGAAACTACACTCGGCTTCCGGCTTCTAGAAGAATAGAATAAAATAGAAGAATAGCATAGGTTTTGAAAGTCATGTCATGTCAGTCAGTCTCAAGTTACCCTCGTTAATGAAACATATCGTTCGTCATTTATCACCCGCCATTGCGATATTTTCGTCAATTTTAAGAATAATTTTTGTTTTGGGGCAACTTTTTGGCGCTTTCTAGCTACCTTCTTTCGGCAGGCCCCTCTATTCAGTGCCCTTGTGACTGTATGGCCGCGCATCGCGCACCGCGTGCAGCGGAGCGGCTTCCCCAGGAGTGCTCCCCATTTAAATTTGTTCGCTAGTTCGGGGTCGAATTTAACTCCCTTCTTGCCGTCATGATGCTTTTTTAATAAACAGTTTCATAACTGTTTCACTACTAACAACACTTTTCAAGGACCTTGCTGGATTTGACCCGCTTCATCGTTTTACATGATAAAGAAGATCCTGCCTTCTCGATAGGTTATTTATTGGTTTCGCCTTCTTCAGATACCGAAAAGTGTGCCTTCACTTCCGCTTTTCGCAAAAAAATAATTGACAAGTTTGCATGGCCCAGACAATAAAGCCTATGAAGTCCATTCAGATAGTGTATTTGCTTTTCTGTTTTTTTTTTCAAATAAGACAACTTGGATACGTGTCCGGCTCAAAGTGTGCTCATTCCTTCTATGAATCTTTGAATGACCGTACGTTTATTCCGGAATTGGCGCCTAATCGGTAACGAGATCCGGAGACGGAGAGCAGAGCGCTCAGCAGAGGTTGCACGACTTCCTGCACGTCTGCACTTGGCTGGCGTAAAAGGAGCTCGTGCAGAAGCCGTTCTTTGTCCAGGTGGGGCAGCTAGCAATTTTTTGAATTACGATTATGCAAGCTTACTTGGCGCTATCGTCGCTGCATCCGGTGACAACACCACCACCGCCGCCACCTCCAGCGCAAGCCGGCTGCAGGTTGCAAGACTTAGCACAGTACTGTCCCTTTTGGAGCGTCGTGTAGGCGTTGTTGTTGCAGAAACCGTTCTTGATCCAAGTCGCGCAGCTGAAAGGTGAGGGAATAAAATAGCTCTTTTTTAATGCAATTTCTTCGTCGATCCGAATCATTGAGATGGATCGCTTACTTGGTGTTGGAATCCACACAGCTTCCGGTGTACTCGCCGGACGCGGTGGTCGATCCGGTGGCGGTGGTCGATCCGGTGGCGGCGGTGCTGCCAGTCGCCTCGGATGTGGCAGCGGTGGTCAACATTGTCGTCGTGGGCGGCTACAATGGATTCACCGAAATTTCATGCTCAGATTTTTCTACATTCTCACGATTTATAGGCGCTGGGTGCAGCAGAAAAATGTCTGGGTTTTTTTTCATACCGCGTAGCAACCATCGGCGGTTCCGTCGTTATAGCACTTCTCTCCATCGGTGGTACAGTTGGCTGGGTCGGTGGTCTTGTCGGGGGTGCTCGCTGTAAAAGTGATTTCAGGTTTTCCTCTGGTCTCGCTTGCGCCTTTAAATGGCAGGGTATTAGGCAGTAAGTTTTTTGCACACGTAATTTTTTACACCATCGCTCTTCAGCCGAATTTGAACTGGCCTAAACAAGTATCACGTACCCGCTATTTTGACCAGTCCGGCTGCAGGGTCCAGCGTGGGGCATCGGGCAGGCTAGAAATCATGTTTGTTATGGCAGCCGCCTAAAGCATGTTCGGTGTGTATGGCAGACACTCACGCGTTAACTTATTCTAAATATTACGCCGAAATCTGTATATTATTCCGGTAACCGCCACCCGAGAATGGATGCAGGTTAATTAGGTTCAGTTGAAAATGCTTACAAAAAAGCACAATGCGATGCCGACGTCGTAGCAGAATTCCCCGGCAGTGGTGCACTTTGGCGGGTCGAAGTTGACGGAGTCGGGTGCGCCTAAAATGCAGGTACTTCACCCGGGCCTTCATGAGTACAATTTTATTGTGCAGATGAATATCGACATACCTAGTGCTATACGGTCTGGATCGGCTAGCGGTGGGCAAGTAGCGGCTTCGATCTAAACATATCTGTCTAAATTCAATTTCCCTGTAGATAAAGAGTTAGATTCCAGTAATTTCCAGAACCGCATGGTGCACGCCTAGAGCACTTGAAACTTTACTGACTTGCTGGATGGCGAGACCGCAAGCGGCGATGAGGAGGGCAGCTCGGTGCATCTTGGTGCTGCTGGGCTGTGGTGCCGAATTGAATACTGTCTGCGGGATGCCGTGCCCTTTTATACGGACAATTTTACGTCTCCCTGGACAGCTGATACAACGCACGAACGGCGAAAAAGCCGGAAAACCCCTTGGGATCGACACCGTTCCAGGCTGGCACCGCTGTGTCAATTTTCTGACCATCGGAATTTGCACCTCTCATCCCCGTTGCTTAATTGTCAAAATTCCGCAGCCGTCCGGATTTTCACGGCTCTATTTGCGTTATGGGCCATTGCGAATTGTCGTACGGGTTCTTTAGACTCTTGAATAGCCTTTGTTCTTGACGATTTGCTACAATCCGTACTTTCAGGATCGAGGCTTCAATGTTAGATGTCTAATTCCTTAAATGATATATTGGTAAGATGTTCAAAGATTATTAAAATAGGAGCTTGCAATTCTGTGTTATTTCGGACTGAACTCTTTTCACAGTCTCCTTTCTTCTCTTCCTTTCGATTTGGTGCGTCCCAGAGATTAAAAACGAGAACGAGGCAAAAATTCTTGGTTTTTTTTTGTTTGGATGTCTTAAACACGCCTGCCAGGAAAAAGTTAAGGTCTTCTTCTGCTTCTTCTCGAAGGGTATCTTCGAAGTTCGGATGCCTCAAAAATCTCCCTTCTGCCCCCCATGACCTAAAGCCGCTTCGCAACCTCAACTCATCTTCCCCATCCTCAATTTCCAAAGCGACCGAAGCGCACCTACTATTATTGTTTGAGATCAGCAGCAGGCGAGAAGCCCATTTTTTTGTTTCTCGAAAATTTCGCACCAGCGCCCCGCGAGCCCCAGCTGTACAAACTCTTCCGAATTCCGCGCGCCCGTTCCGCCGCCTGGTGGCCTCCGCTGTTCGCACCTGGAAATTCTGGTTAAAGATTGGTTCTTAATTTGCAAAAGGCATGGTTCGTTTTAAGGGGAATTTTCTAAGAACTAGCTATTCTATTCTAACAAAAATTCCGACTACCCCCTGTTGCACCTGGGTTTCTCTTTTCTCCTTTTCGCGTCTTCTCGCCTAACCTAGGAGATGCGAACACCAAAAAAATCGAGCGATCAACTATAATAAAAAAGTAGCGGTGTCCGTCTGTCTGTCCGTCCGTCGTGTCCCGGATTCAACTCGAAGGGTAAAGGAGCTAGAGCTTAGCTCTCTTCGGATTCGGATAGAGCGCCATTAGAAACCCCCAAACTGATAAAAAAGATTATGAAAAAGTTTTAGTTTAAATTATTAAAATTAACTTTGAAAGTGGCGCCTTAATAAAACGAGTGGGGCCCCTCTCCCGGCTGGCCACGCCCCCTTTCCCTTCGCGCCTCTTCCCCAGGCCCTTTCCCGCGCCCAAATAGCTTTTTAAGTTACTTTAATACTTTTAATACTTTTTAATTAAGTTAATTTATTATTTAAATCATTTAAAGTATCGGGATGGAATCTAAGTAGTTTTTGAAGGGGGTTTCGGCTATGGGGGGTATCTGAAGCCATCAGGAAGGTAGCTATGTTTTTGTGTGGGGGGGGTTGGCTAGAGGAGGTATCTGAAGCCATCAGTGTAGGTATTGCCATGAAGGCATCAGCCTAAGGTGGGGATGAAATTTGGTGGTGTAGAATATGGAGGGTAGCCCGAAGTCCAGCCGATTGCAGTCGCGAAGCGGCTGTAATCGGCTGGTTACTATAGAGAAAGTCTCGGGAAAATACCATACCCAGGTCAGAAGACAGCGCTCCAAAATCTCAGCGCGTTGCGTAAAAGCAATTTAATGACCAACCGGCATAGTTAAATGGCATAAATTCGCATCAGGCTTGGCTTCGGCGCGGTCGATGGGGTGCATTCTGCAAAAACGCTATCTTAGATCTGGCTTTGATGCATCCATCCCTATTCGTCCGTAGCGACACGGGCTGAACAACCGATATGACCGCCCCTAAAGCGTTTTTTAGCTAAAAGCGAAAGCCCAAATTTGTTCAGCCACGAAAAGGCGCGTCTGGTCGTTGACCGGGCTCCATTCGCATGGACTAGCAGAGACCCGAAATGTTTTTTCGTCAGGGTTAGTCTATGCACTGCTGGACCGGACATTAACTTGCAGTTTGTGACAAATATTTCGTAAATCCCGAAAAAATAACTTTGAGACGTATCTGGCGTGGCCTCTCTCGGATGATATGCTGGCAATGTCATCTACAGCCAAATGCGACCATCGTACATCGCGGAGTAGTCCATCAATGTTTCAATGCTCATGACAATAAGATAAACAATCTTTCACCAAACACGTGCAAACGCTAGCACTCCACCCTTGTCCGGTGAACAGTAAACATGACCGTGCTCTTCGTGAGCGCTTACAAATTTCCTCAAAAATTAAGTTAGTTTTCCGCAAAAATCCGTAAAGTTAAAAATGGAAATAGATTTCCCGGGCTCGGGCTTTTTATGGATTTACCGCAATAGCGACAGACACCTGTATCTCTATCGCGGTTGCATCTGAATCTCCACCTGACTTCAGGGTTCGATACCTGTCAGTTTATTTTTCATAGGAAAAACACTACTTCCCATTTTAAAGCGTAAATTGAGAAATGCGCTACGTGAATGCCTGATTACGCAAAGGGTACGAGACAAAAACCTTTTAAGAATTTGAAATTTCTCCTTGCAGTGCCTGGTCAAGTTGAGTCGTAGTTAATAGATGTCGCCCTGGCCTTGCCGATTTAGAAAAATTCGAATCAATGTTCGGGCATGGCGGTCAGTTGAAAATGTTTGAACAGCAGAACACGGGCAGTATACCTCGCTAGGCTCTGGCGAAACCATGCATGCTTTTGGAAGGCTGATTTTTCGCTTATTTATGTTGCACTAAACGCGATGTCTGATACCTCATTTCCCTACGCTGTAGTATTCATTTACACTTATTAGCAGCCTTTACTAATAATTACAATTGTGAAGCGGGTCGTTCACAATTTCGGTTTTGTCGGCACCGATCCAGCTGATTCAGCAAAGTCCGCACGTCTTCTTACACTTGATGGGCTAAAATGGATATGTTTTTGAGAATCAAAATTTTTTGGGGTTGCTTAGAGAAAAACAGCATCTTATCTTCTTCTTCTACTATAATAATTTACTTGAGGTGTCTGTCCGTGTGTGTGTGTCTGAAACCGAATTCAACTCGAAGGGGAAAGGAGCTAGAGCTTAGCTCTCTTCGGATTCGGATAGAGCGTGGTCAGAAACCCCCAAACTGATAAAAAAATTATGAAAAAGTTTTAGTTTAAATTATTAAAATTAACTTTGAAAGTTGTTTCCTTAGTAAAAGGCATGGGGGACGGAGGTCGGGGTGATTTTGGACATAGTGAGCCAGGTGGCGCGCGTTTCGGCGAGGGGGAGGTAGCGCATGTCGCCCGAGCCCGAAGCCCAGCCGCTTGCCGCGGCGAAGTCGCTGCAAGCGGCTGGTAAAAAACAGACCATGATCAGGCTGTAGTTTGCGTTTTTGCAGAGTCCCTTATTTGTGGCACAGGTGGCTAGCACATCGGCGCATCCGGACACGGTAGTCGCTGCGTTAGCTCCTATAATATAAGGTTATCTTAAAGCCTTCTTAAAATCTCAAAATATAACTATAAGAGGGCTCCAGAAAGGCAACCGGGCGTCCGTTGGCTAACAAACCGACGGGGCGCTACTACAGACGCTTTCCATGGTGCAAGCGCGCCCAAAACCGCGACTAGGTTTCAAGAAAAACGATAACTTTTTTGTTTGGCGTGATTTTAAGCCAAATATTTCCGAGCATATAGTTTTTGCTCATCCCGTTCGATGGTAAAAATTGGAACCTGAATGCGTAATAGGCTGCCAAAAGCAGAGAGCCCCGGGTTTTGGGTCTGATCGACCTCGAGTCCGATGCCTGCGTCACCCCTTTGCGCTTTTACCGATTATGCCTTTATGGAGCCCTTTAAGACTTTTAATCAATAAAAGGAGAGGAGATAAAGAGAACGTTATTCCTGTAAGCATCCAGCCAGTCCCAGGGTTTTGCAAGATCTCACCTATCGGGCGGTTTCCGCACTGCTTGCACGTCACCGGGCATTGTGTGGCCATCAATGACCTAAACTTTTCATGGCTTTAGAAACAGTGGCGGCTTCAGATAGCGAGAACACAACTCCTCAGCGCTCAAAGTTGGTTCGCGAACATTGCAAAAAATGTACCTGTACTCGGTAAGGCTGCTGGTGCAAAGCGCGGACTGGCTGGTGCAGTAGGTCCTAGAAAGTTTGCATTGCAAAATGTAACTTTGAAGTATCGTTATCCGCTGAGATTAACAGCTCATGGAACCTACCAAGGTTGTAGCCGCCTTGGTGGTAGCTTTGGTCGTCGTAGGTTTGGCGGTGGTTTCCGGCATCGGACCTAAAACATTTTTTGTGCGTTGTTGCAATTTTGCAGTCTAGTTTTTATTGGAAAACCTACAGCAATAAAGTGACCCATCCTCCACCGTCTCACAGCCCAGCTATGGATCCTGGAGACATTTTTTGGACGCGGTGTCGCACACTGAAATATATGGAACGATGGAAAGGGCTGATTTGGAATAGTTGTCGTCATGAGTATGGCAAAACTAGACACTGAAAAACCTACAGACAAGCCCGGGGAATCCGGAGGTCGGGCATGTTTGCGCGAGAACGAATTCAACGTGGATCGCCAACACGTACGCGACGGCGATCGCGATGAAGGTGCGGAGGTGACTGAAAATGTAGTGAAGTTGCGGATTGAGAAGTATGCGTGTTTGTCTTAGGAAACGTCGAATTGCGTATCCTAGAGTAGCTTACTGACCCACAGACAAATTCGTTAAAGTTCATTACGCTCATCACGTTACAGGAGAAAAATACGGAACTGCTTGTGAAAAGAGAAATACGCTAACTCAGGCTGACAGATCTTACGCGGCTGAAATGCCATCATGCTTCCCCTAAAAATGACCAATACCGCGTACTTCTACGGCATAAACTTCAGAAAAATCAAAGCAAGCCAGTCGTTCATGATTTCTGAAACGTTAAAGCCCACCTCATGGCATAGGAGGCCCGTTCGAAATCCAACGCATCAAATATCCCCCTCACCGGTCGGCGTGGCTTATATTGAAACCGCAGGCAACTTTTTCGCGGCGACAACCACTTGGCAACGTGCAGACGGCCGATATTTATGGAACACGCTGTATTTAGGCAGCCGACACGACGACACGACTGGACAGGGCCAAGGGGCCCCGCGTGGCCCGACATGATTTGTGAACAGAAATGCGGGCTGAACATTGACACATTCGACTTCGATTTTGTCTAGATCCGGGGGAGTGGAAAGCTTGCAGAAACTACAACCGACTTCCGGCTTTTAAAACGAACACCAAGTGTCACAAGCATAACTTTTGAAAGTCATTCATGCCATAGATTCTCAACCTACTCTTATTAACCAAGATAACGTTTCCGTCAATTTTAAGAATAATTTTTGTTGTAGGGCTACCTTTTAGTAGCATCGCCTTTTTTCCGAGGCTCCGCTGTCCCCTCTATCCAGTGCCCCTATGACTTACTGCCGCGCATCATGTGCTGCGGCGCGGCCTCCCTACGAACGCCGCATTTGAAAGGTTTGTAGCTTTTCGTACTCTTTCAAGACACAACAGTTTTTGATAATACAGCACTGGACATCTTCTTCATCGGTTTATAAGAAAGCAAGAAGGAGGCTTCGCGCTCGATTGTTTTCCGGTCGCGCTGTCGCGCGCGCGCCAGATTGCGATAAAGGGCACTTGCACTTCCGGTTTTCAAAGCAAGCATTGGCAAAATTTAGGAAATTATATAATTTGGTCGCGTATCTTTGTGTGTGTGTGTGGATGTCACTTTCGAGGCCCGATTTAAGGGCCTTCCCGTGTCCAAAATGCCCTAATTCTCCGTCACCCGGGGGAATCGACCCTCCTCTTTCCGATCGCGTTTTCAGAATCTCGATAAAATACAAGCTTACAAAGTTAAAGCCGGTTTTATTGTTTTTGGGGTCCGGGAGGGCTAATTTGCATAAAGTGAAAAAAATACAAATTTCCTCATTCTTGCCAGTTGCACGCGCGTGTGTGGTCTGCGGGGGAAAGGGGTCCGAAGGGCCCGAGCTATCGGAAAGTCAAATTTTTCATGCAAAGGCACAATTCCAGCGCCCAAGGCCCGCGAAGCGGGTTTTGGGCGCTGGTTTAGGAAATAAATTTTTTTAAATCACATCAATGCTTTAGTGTTTTACTCTTTGACTTTTTAGCATAGGAAATTAGGTTCTGTGCACTGTGGCTATGTTTCTTGCTCAGGGGTTGCGGTGTGCTTTCCTTCTACGAATCTTTGAATGACCGTACGTTTATTCCGGAATTGGCGCCTAATCGGCAATGAGCTCCGGAGACGGAGAGCAGAGCGCTCAGCAGAGGTTGCACGACTTCCTGCACGTCTGCACTTGGCTGGCGTAGAAGGAGCTCGTGCAGAAGCCGTTCTTCGTCCAGGTTGGGCAGCTAAAAAAATGATGTGCACATCCTGCTGCATGCTTACTTGGCGCTATCGTCGCTGCATCCGGTGACAACACCACCGCCACCACCACCTCCAGCGCAAGCCGGCTGCAGGTTGCACGACTTAGCACAGTACTGTCCCTTTTGGAGCGTCGTGTAGGCATTGTTATTGCAGAAGCCGTTCTTCGTCCAGGTCGCGCAGCTGGAACGTGGTTAAAATAGAAAGTTTTTGTTTACTTAGTGTTAGAATCCACACAGCTTCCCGTGTACTCGCTGGACGCGGTGGTCGATCCGGTGGCGGCCGTGCTGCCCGTCGCCTCGGATGAGGCAGCGGTGGTCAACATTGTCGTCGTGGGCGGCTGAACTCAAAGTTATCGAATGAAGTCGGGAAACCTCTGGGAGAGGCCCCTTTACAGTATGCATGTGCGGAAGTATGCGAAAATGCACAATATTGATGATGCAAGCAAAATAGTCCCTTTAGCATCAAACCTCGCCACAACCCGCTCGAGGTGTGGCATTTTTCCTAAACGGGGCCTTACCGCGTAGCATGCATCAGTAGTTCCGTCGTTAAAGCACTTCTCATCGGCTGTGGTGCAGTTAGCCGGATCGGTGGTTTTGATCGGGGCCGCTGAAAAATTTTTGAAATTTAACAGGCCCACTCTATGTGTGCCCAAGGGCCTTGCGATTTATGCGACAAGACCTTCCGCTTGTCGGAAAACTTCGTGGTTACTGGACACAAAATCATTCCCGACTTACTTTGGCTCTTTACGAGGCCGGCTGAAGTGTCCAGCGCCGCGCACTTCACGGCCTAAAAAATATGGGTGGTTTTGAATGTCGCACTGAGATAATCCCGCTTAGAATTTGAGTTTAGAAGTCCTGTTTTGAATTGTAGTTCCTGTTTTCTTAAAATTACCGTATAGCAATCGTCGTTCATTCCGTCGCTATAGCAGAATTCGCCCGTTACGCAGGTTTTTGGGGTACCGCTGGGCGTATCTAAAATTGTTCGGTCGAAAAGTTGCTTCATGTGCCATAATTCGGATGGCGAAGGAATTCTTACTTGATGTACGGGTACGGCTCGGATCGGCCGATGCGGATAGCAAAGGGCATTCAGCTGTTGCTGTCACCTAATCAGAAAAAAATTGTTGTTAATCGTTGTACAAGTGCAACGGTTTTAGCTAAACCCATTCTGGGACTTCTGCGTCGTTATCACCTGGTGGATGGCGGCGAAACCGCACACGGCGATGAAGAGGAGGGCTCGTTGCATCTTGCTGCTGCTGGGCTGATGTGCCGAATTGAATACTGTCTCCAGGTTACCGTGCCCTTTTATACAGAAAATCCTGCGCCTCCCAGAACAGCTGAGACGACGCACGAACGGCGAAAAACGGCCAAAATCCCTGCGGATCGGCACCGTCCCAGCCTGGCGCTGCTGTGTCAATTTTCGAGCCTCCAGCGTACCATCAGAATTCGCACCCCTCATCCCCGTTGTTGGAATGTCAAAAAACTGCAGCGCGCCGGATTTTCGCGGCTCTATTTGCGCCAAGGCTCATTGTGAATTGTGGTACGATTTTTTTAGTTTAATGAATGGTCTTTGTCTCTAGCCATTTGCTACACAATCCGCACTTTGGGATGCCGGTTTTCCAGGATATTCCTGTTTTCCGTATATACGGAGTCTGCCTCCGTCTTCCGAGCGAAAAATCTTGCGACAAGAAACACTGCCAAATTGTTGGGAGCTAGGTGATTAGTTGGCTTTTAGCGTAGGGATTAGTTTGATCAGTTAGCGCCCGTTCTCTTTTGGTTAGCCGGCAAAAACAGGTTTTCTTCATACAAATTCTGATATTCGAAAATATATTTGTTTTGTAGAAATTGTAATTTGTGTCGGTAAAAAAATAGCGAAACGTTGTATTTCACCAGGTCACAATTTCCGCAAACAGGCTCTGATAATTTTGTGAGGCCTCTCCAGCTTTTGTGCATCTTCGGTGGTGCCTTGCAGATCTAATCAAATTTTATGATACCTTCAGTCGACTTGTTTACGCATATTTTCCTCGCTGCTCAAAGCGCACGTATCATTTGGTGCAGATCACCTTCCGGCGAAAAGCCCGTTTTTTGATTCACAAAAATTCCGCGCGAGAAGCGCGCGCCCCAGGTGTGTAAACCGTTTCGGAATTCCGTTCGCCCATCCGACCGCCGCTGTTGCTCCACATTTCCCCATGACTATATTTCAGGCTTGGGGGGGGGTATACGGTAGGGTCCAAGTGGCAAAGAAAAGTTATGCAAATGCCCATTTGTTCGTGGTGGAAATGTCATTGCTTTCTTGTTTTCCCTTTGTTACCTTTATTAAATTAGGTACATAATTTTTTAGAAGAAATGAATGGCTACGGCTACCCAGCCTTGTCGGTGCCACACGCTGCCACATTTTGGATTGACGAAACTCAATTCTATTGGAGGCCCCTCCAGCCGATCTGCGAAATTCAAGAACCTTACCCGTGGGTCTGCCGCTTGATAATGAAAAACCGCCGCTTGAAAGGCCGCGAATTTTTCAACCTTGGTCCAGCTACCAATTTAGATCTGGTGTCCCAGGTCTCAGCGAAGCTTTGGCAGAATGGTTCTCCCATGACCCATACGCCGACGAGGCACAAATGATAAAAGCAGCGCCAGATGACTTGCAACCAACTTCTTCACCAGGTGCAGGACAGCCGCTTTCCGGCCAGGTTGGAACGACCTTGTTGCTATGACACATCGGGCTTCGACTGCATTCGTAAAATAACGTAGTCGATTTTCAGTACGGAAACTGCCTTGTTTGTGGGCTTGAGGCCAACGGAATCCACTACGGACGTAGGACCTGCGAGGGCTGCAAAAGCTTCTTCAAGGTAACCTCACCTATTTTTCTCTTTTTCACCTCTAGTAGTGCTTCCTGCAACTGTATCGCTGTTTGTATTTTAGCGCGCCGTGCAGACTCAGACATGTGATCAATTTAAGTGCAAGGAGGCCGCGAAATGTTCCGTGATCAGCAGGTTGAATTTTATAAAGCTTAAAAAAGCCACGATCTGCAGCCAGCGATCCTATTGCAGACGATGCCGATGGGACAAATGCGTTTCTGCTGGGCTTCAAATAGAGAGTAAGAAAATTTGCTTGTTTGGACGTGGCCAAGGTGGTGAAGAAAACCGAGAAAATGAACAATTCGGCTTATTGCGTGGCTATTTCGATCAATTATCAGGTGTACGAAGAGGGACGATGGCAGGTCGCGCGGGTCGTCCGAGACGAAAAACGTCGTAAACACGGTGCAACCGCGATAAAGTATGTTTCGATGTCCCAGCGACTTGAAGCTATAATTTTCTGCGGTTACGCAAAAGAGACAGAAAGATTTCAAGCCAGATACAGGGTGTCTCATCAAAAAAGTACCCCCCTAGCGGCGCGCATTCATGGCCGATTGGCACGATTTAGGTATCTATCGAAGGCTCTGGAAAAGGCGAGAAAACAAAGAAGACCATTTTCTCATTATATATTTTTATTCGCACATTTTAAGTCCAACCACGAAAAACCGCTGATTTATTCCAGCTCTGCATGCTAATTGCAAAATGTCTCTTGAAAATATACCTGTTTTTTTCCGAAAAACGTTCAGTATCCATCGAATGAGGTTAGACAAAACGCCGACACGAGAGTTCAAGTGGGCTGCTACCGTATACCCTCATCAATCAGCACCGGAGTGCCGTGGAGAATTTGCCAAACGGCAGCCGTGATGTTTGGATAGATGGCACCGCGTGGCAAGCGATTTACGAAAACGATATAAGCAAGCGTTCACCAAATTTCGCTTCTAACGCTGTGATTGTCGCACTGATTCTTTCAAAAGTTGCGCTTTTGGAGCATTTCTTTAGGCGTGCGGCATTTCTTTTCGAGGGTTTGAAATCCTAGTGGATGCCAAAAATGTATCTTGCAGCCAATTTATTAACAATGGTTTCTTACTGTCATTCAACGTAATCGTAGTACATGGATACGGTAAGGCGGGCTGGATCGATGTAGCCGTCAGGGATGCAGAATCGGCCGTGCTGTCTGTTCGGTTTTTTCGTTGTCCCCTCCTCACAATGCGTCCTTGGAGGGCAAGCACCCGTTACGGGATCGGCTTCTGAAAAATTTGATGTAAAAAGTCGTGATCTGGTTAAAGCGAAAACACCAAGATATTCCTACCGGCGATCACCGACATAGGCATTATTTCCCAGGTGGTACGTGGACAGTTTACCGAAGGAGCCTGGAAAATGGAATCAAATTTTTATAATCAAAAAATGTTTGGACATAGTTTTTGTGGGCTGTACAAAAAATTTCTTAGTATATTTTTCCGTCCTTTATGGAATGGCATTCTTAAAATATAGAAATTAGTGAAAACTCGAAAAAATATTCACCATTATCCTATGTGCTGCCATAGTGTTCAACAAACGTTTTTATGCTATAAAGCTTTTATATTACATCTCTCTTACAGGTAAAAAATACCTTCGTACTAGTGTCGACGTTCTATCAATTATCGTTTTGAAAATCTTGAAATTCTCAAGAATTTGGCTCCCGTTATTCTAAGAAACTAAGAGAACCTAAGAAAACACCGGACTTGTGGTGTAGTACTAAAATGGATTTTATGCGAAAGCACCTACCGGGTAGCAGGCATCGAAGGCACCATCGTTCAAGCAGACTTCGCCGCTGGGACAGGTCGGTGGGTCCCTGGTCACGTCCGGTGTGGCTAAAAAAAAGTTTTTATTCCAATCGTCTCCCAAATCTTCTGGTAATCTACTGAAAATCCGAAGAACACTAGAAAATCAGTGTTTGTAAGATTCTGAGAAAAAGGCATAGACCCACATGTTGTCCTGGTGCGCGTCGGATCCGCCGAAGCGCTGAGAAGAGGGCAAGCCGTGGCCGAAACCTGAAAAACTGATTCAAGGGTCTTCCAACTTTAAAAAGTCTGTTCATGTTAAGCATAGGGTACAAACCGAGGATATCCCGGAATTATCAGCCTGGATATGCCCACCGACCTGATAGTTTAAGGCGAACAAGCCGACTAGCACAAAGAGCAGCTTCATCTTGAGGAACTGGCCAAACTGACGAAGTTGATGCTTCGACCCCCAGATCCACACTTTTTATGTCGGTATTCCGACCCGTCGATCTGCTGTACAAATACGCATCGACGCCCACGGGGTGGCACTCGACTAAAAAAGGTGTGAATTTGAAGGTCAACGCCGGTGAGGAATTTGAAGCAGAGCGGACGTTTTAAATGTCAGTGAGCAGCGGTGGCGGGGTGGAGTTTTGTTTTGCGCAATTCGTAAAGTTCAAATATCCGGTCGGAACTGCCGTCCGATGAGGCCGAAATAAATTTGATACTGTTTTTCGGTTTTCAATGGCAATATCACGTTCAGCTTGGGTGCCCTTGGCTGTGTCGAAAAACTAAAAATGTTAGTGATTGTGTTCCTAGGCAGTAGGAAGCTACTATACTTCGTAAATAGCTGTGATTTGTACAGTTGCTGCTGATCACTATTCGTAGGGTCAGCATCTTACAACGCTAATCATGACAGTGATGCCTCCTCCAAAAGTTTGCCGAGTAAATCGAAAAATTTGACATTTGTTGTGCATGGATTGGTGATCTATAACATTCCGACGAAAAAAGTCACGCTGGCATTTTGCCATTTCAAATCCGATCGACTTGAAATTTTGAACAAGGGTGCGGAAGGTAATTTAAAATGTTCACAAAAAAACTTACCGCCCGCTAGCTGCGGTGTTTTTTGAGTTACAACAAAAATAAACTTTATTTTTAGGTTTTAAACCGGGATTTCGCCGGAATTGATCCTTGGAATATATGACGAAAATGAAGCGCCACTTTATTATTTTTAGACAATTTTTTACTTTACAAATTTTTCTGGAAAATAGGCTGTTTACGGGGCGTGATCGACGGATGTTGAAGGAATAAAGGATTTAAAGCCGGAAAATTGATTTTAATTGCTGCAAAGTCCAGAAAGTTAATCGAAATATCAAGCAAAGAAGTGGAAAAACAGCATTTTTGCAATAAACCAAAAACGCAGGAGCTAGCACGCTGTAAGTTTCTAAGATTTAAAATTGCCTTACGCACCTCTATTCAAAATTTGAAGGATTAAATCTGTTCAAATAAAAAAGGCATGCCGCTGGCAAAATTCCAGTGTACCTTTTTTTATTGCGACACTTTTATAATTTGCTTTTTCGCAAAGGATCAATTTCCTGATACTTTTTGCCACCGTAACCCTTCCATTTTTTGATCAGTGGGTCAATCCCCGCACACACGAGTTTCGGCTTCCGAGGCCCTTGAGGTTGCAGACTATTTATTAACAGTTATCTGTCGTTTGTTCAGAGTCATTAAACGAAATACCACGGGACGGTAAGACGGTTAGGGTCGACGTATCCGTTGCCGATGCAGAAACGGCCCTGCTGTCCATTTGTGGTTCTTCCCTCCTCACAGTGGGTGTTTTGCGGGCAAGCGCCAGTTGAAGGATTGGCTTCTAAAAATGTATTGAAATCGGTACTCCAAAGCTTCCAAAAAACTCCAAAATCCTAGATTCTCACCGGCGATGACGGAAGCGGGGGTCATCGGCCAAAAGACACGAACGCAGTCCCTGGACGGGGCCTAAAATGGAAAAATTGCTTCGAAATCTCTTATTGGTGCGAGAACGGGGCAGCAAAAAATAATGTACTAGGAAACATACCTGGGTATGCGGCCGATCGGTTGTGGTGTAGTACTACAATTGATTTTATAAGCAAATATTCTAGACATATTTTACGAAAATGTTCTGCTATGTCAAAACCGTAAGCACAATACCGTATAGCAGCTATCCACGGTCCCGTCGTTGTAGCACGTCTCCTCGCTGTTGGCACAATATGCGGGATCGGCGGTGGCGACGGGTGAATCTGTAATATAGCTTCCACGGTCGTCATCAAGGAACTTACTAGCTGTCCTCACCACCCACCAGTCGTACGGCAGCTTGGGGCAGTTCATGGCCTGACAATTTTGCGTTATAGATAGGCAACGAAAAATGTAAAGCCATAGGGCATATACTTTCTCGCCTGGCAAAAACTACCTACCACGTAGCAGTCGTCGTTGGTGCCGTCGTTGTAGCAGAATTCGCCGCTGGGGCAACGTGGCGGGCTCGAGTTCGTGTCTGGTGTGGCTGCAAAAGGTTATGTAGGGCCATCGTAGAAAGGTCAGATATCGATTAAGAAGTTTATTAATTCAGAGCTGTCTGGACTAAAATTGAAAAGTCAAATGGGCCTACATGTGGTCCTGGTCCGGGTCGGATCTGCTGTAGCACTAAGTGATGGGCAAGAAGCCGTGGCCGAAACCTGAAAATTATAAGTATAAAAATTGTAAACTTAAAATTCTAAAAGTCTAAATTTTGAAAAAAACATTGGGTTTAAATCTTAAAGTTACGCTCGGACACTTAGGATCTATTTAATTTTTCATTGCTTAAATTGACCTGGTGTGTGAAGGCGATTAACCCGAAGAGCGCGAGGAACAGCTTCATCTTGACGAACTGGCCAAGCTGGCGAAGTTGATACCTCGACCCCAGAGCAACACCTTTTATGCCGACGTTCCGATCGGTCGATCTGCTGAACAAATACGCATCGACGCCCACGAGGTGGCACCTGGCTAAAAAAGAAACGAATTTGAAGGTCGAAGCGGGTGAGGAATTTAAAGTACGCCGGAGGCTTAAATGTCAGTGTTCGGCATCGGGGGTCAGAAATTTGTTATTGAAATTCACCATCGTGAGAAAAAGCGGCTTTATCGGCAGGAGATGACGGAGTTGGCGATGTTGCTCCTTTCACGCCCAGCCCTGCACCTTTAATGCGAACCACTTGATCGACTGCTCAAACGGTGAATCGGCGCTTATGAATGTTCGGAATGCTCCGGCTGACGGCTGGTTAAACCTTTTGATATTCTTTACCACTCTATCGATAGCTCACGCCGTCGATAGCTTTTGCTAATTTTCATGTCTTCCTAGTCATTAAGTCTCATATTTTATCGCGTCAAGGTTTTTTAGTTTAAAAAAACAATGTTCAAGGTTTCTTGACGAGTGGGGTTCGTAAAAGAACACGTTAAAAAACAACTTGTGTTATTTTTTCATGCCCGGCACATTTAAGCATCCTGACAAGGTACGGATGTTCCGATTCGGTTCCATCAGCGAGATATTTTGTTTCGACTCCGATCCTTTTTCGTCCACCCTGAAAGCTTACAAGGGAACCTCGGGGAGACAGGGTGGAATTTCGGAAAACGCTCGCGGCTACCCCCGGGTAATCGACCATTGCGATCACGATGCGCTTATCAGATTTTTCTAAATAGACTTGTGGACAGAGATACAGCACTTCCGGAAAATGCTGATTTACATGCAAAAAATTTGCATAGAAGGATGGTTTATGAGGCTTTCCCATCACTATGGAATCACCAGTTGAATGGCCGAGTCGTATGCGACTCATTTGGTAGGATGCTGACGAGGGTTCGAATCCGCTCATGATTTTTTGTTTTTGCTTTTTGCCAGAGATTTTTATAAGTCCAGAATGTTACTAGTATTAGCCCGAAATCCCTAATGTTTAGCCATTAAAGGCAAAAAAAAAATCAAAAAACGAAAATTAGTTCTGCCAGCTAGAGTTCCTACACCTGACCATTTGCAAAAAAATGAAGTAATTTCACAAGAAGAATTTTCGGCCCACGTAACGTCGACAACTGTCATAAAATTTATAAGTAATTTAGCACGTATTATTTTGGACTTGTACAAAAATCTCTGGCCAGAGAGCAAAAACAAAAAATCATGAGCGGATTCGAACCCTCGTCAGCATCCTACCAAATGAGTCGCATACGACCCGGCATTCAACTGGTGATTCCATAGTGATGGGAGAGCCTCATAAACCATCCTTCTGTGCAAATTTTTTGCATGTAAATCAGCATTTTCCGGAAGTGCTGTATCTCTGTCCACAGGGTATTTAGAAAAATCTGACAAGCGCATCGTGATCGCAATGGTCGATTACCCGGGGGTAGCCGCAAGCGTTTTCTGAAATTCCACCATGTCTCTGCGAGATTCCCTTGTTGGGCTTAGGCTTAGGCTGCAGTTTTGGTGGTTTGAGCAGCAGTGATTGCAAACATTGAATTACTACGCGACAGCCAGACCTCGTGAGGATTTCGCCCTGGGCTCATTCGAAGCGGCTTGAAACGCTAATTCCGATGTGCTAACTAGCATAGCTGTAGCGTCGCGTATGTGATTTTTACGATTTACTTGAAGTGACAACTAAACTCCGGGCACAGCACTTCTATACGGGAAAGTCACCAAATTTTGGCAAGAGTAGCTTTCGTTCCTATCTTATGATCTACAACTCTTTGTGTTATTGTCAAGGCAATGTACATTTTCCGCTTATGAGATGCCGGTCGGAAATTTTGAAGAATTGTACATTTATTTCCGGAATCGTGGCCTAATCGGCGAGGTGGGTATCCAGAAATGCTCAGCAAATGTTGCACGTCTTCTTGCACGTCGACAGCTGGCTGGCGTAGAAGGAGCTCGTGCAGAAGCCGTTCCTGGCCCAGGTGGGGCAGCTAAATAAATGAGATTACTCAATACGTCGTCTGAGCCTCACTTTGCGCTGCTGTCGACACATCCAGTAACGACACCGCCGCCGCCTCCAGCGCAGGCCGGCTGTAGGTTGCACGACTTGGCGCAGTACGATCCCTTTTGCTCGGTGGTGTAGGCGGTGCTCGTGCAGAAGCCATTCTTAACCCAGGTGGCGCAGCTGGAAATGGGGCATTACAGGGTTGTAGTAAACCATGCGCTTTATAATCCCTTGGCCGAGCCGACAGAGCGAGTAGGGAGGGAGAGAGCGAGAATGAGAGAGAGCCAGATAGAGAGAGAGAGAGAGAGCGAGCGAGATTGAGGGCGTTGCACCCAAGTGACCACGACTACCACCTCGTAGGTTCCAAGTCTTTGCGCTAAACTGCGACGTAACTTACTTGGTGTTGGAGTCAACGCAGGTTCCGGAATAATTGCCAGAAGCGGTGGTCGAGCCAGTCGCGGCGGTGCTTCCGGTGGCCACCGTCGAACCGGCGGTGGTGGCCATGGTGGTTGTCGCAGCCTGAAACGAGCTTGAGGTTATTAGCACTGGGAATGGAGGCGCTTTGACACTAGCAGCGATATTGCAGACAAAATCAAGGCAAGACCAACCGTGTAGCACGCATCAGTCGTTCCGTCGTTGTAGCACGTCTCCGGGGCGGTGCAGGTGGCAGGGTCGGTGGTGGTGACGGCGGGGGCTGTAAGGTAATGGAAATATAAGAAATCGATTGATTTCACTTACTTGCACTCTTGGTGAAGCCGGCGGTGGCGTTCAGCGTGGGGCATTTGGCGGCCTGCAAATTGCGAAGTTTTTCTTAGAGTTAGGCTTCATTACCGCGTAGCAATTGTCCGAGGTGCCGTCATTGTAGCAGAATTCGCCGGTGGGGCAAGTCGCCGGATTTGCTGACGTGTTCGGGGTTGCTAAATAAGATTGGTAAGATGAAAATCGCCAAGCTTCTCACATGTGGTGCGCGTGCGCGTCGGGTCCTTAGAGGCAGAGAGCAGCGCGCAGGCGGTGGCCGAGACCTAGAAAAATAATGATTACGGATTCAAGAAGTATGCACGTAGAAGATTTTCGCTGCTTGTTTGAACTTTCCGATGCGCAAAAAACGAATCGAGGGCGTTAAGTCTAAACCAATTTTTCGCTAGCAGCGCGTTTTAGTGCTATAATTTTCGATGCACTGGAGCAGTTGTTACTATAAATTGGCTAACCTTGCACTGGCATAAAATTGATTTTTAAATTTGCTTCCAGTTCCTATAGACGTTTTTAGGGGTCACTTTAGGCATGCATTCGAAAACGTAGAGTAGTTATCAGATCACAGTGGGATTCCTAAGTAAAACCACGAAATTGCTGTAATTTTTGAGCATTAATGGCGCAAATTTCTTTAGTTTTTAAAGAGCTTTCGATTGGCTTAAAAATCGTTACTATACGATACCACTACCCATTTGCATGAGGTTTTGAAAGCAATTCATGCGCTTCGATCTAAGAATTTCGAAAATTAAGGGCAATTATATACTCTTTTTAAAAGGTTATACTTAATTTAGTTAATCTAACTCTATTTATAGTCAATTTATGCTCAGCTCCTCGCTAAAGTGTCGTGTGCTACAGTACCTGGTGGACGGCTAGGCCACAGAGGGCGACGATGATGAGGGTGCGGGACATGTTGCTGCTGCTGGGGCTGGCTGAGCTGTGAGCCGAATTGAATAATTTCCCCAAATTACCGGCGCCTTTTATGCAAAAAACTGGCGGTGCCACGCGGAACAGGTGTGCCCACCGGCGAACGGCGAATATCCGTAAAATTCAACAAAATTTGGGAGGTGTTGGGCCTGGCCACCGGCTGTGTCAATCCTCGCGCCTGATCGTTCGAAGCTCGGGAATTCGACTCTATTGTTTCAATTGTTGGAGAATGGGGGTGAATGTGGGATTTGAACGCGGCCTCTATTTGCCTGGTATATCATTATTCAAAGCGGCCGGGGCGAATTCCAGAATTCACGAAATTCGGCGCCCCGCTTCAGTCTAGACTTGCACTAGTTGTGGAGACGTGCGTTTACGAAATTTTCTCTTTTGTATTCTGGAATTGATCTCCAACCACTTATAAATTTTATTAAGACAATGAATTTCTAACAAACCATAAGATTTATTGAAGTTGACTATTTTATACTCAGAATTTTGAAATTTTGACAATTCTGGAAGCTTTTTTGGTTATTGTCAATGTTCTAATTATCGGGACATTTCATATGAGTTTTTTCTCTAATATTGTGTTAGCTCAAAATGATAATATAATACAAAATTATGGCACCTTGAAGTAAAAAAAAAACAACCTATTAAAAACCACCCTGATGTTCAAACCCTGACACCAAACCCCAGCCGGAAATATTTTCGAATCCCTGTAGATCCGCAGCTCGTGCAAAACCGACCCAAACGTTCCAAGTTTTCCAAAAAATTCCACGTCCCACCGCCCAGTGGCCAACTATGCAAACTTGGTGCGAATCCCCGTTCGACGCTTCCAGAGCTTGGAGCTTGCCGGTCCTGCTACGATTGGCTCTGGCATACGGTAGTGGCAATTTCTTCAACTTTTAGGCCGAATTTTATTATAGCTACCTTTGTTTGTAAACGACAGTCCTCAATTTCATGTGATTTCCAAATATGGTATAGCTAATCGTTAATGTAGTTTAAAGATTTCTCGATTTACGTGCACAAAAATAAGATATTTAAAACCTGAGGATCATAATTCGGAAATGCCAATAAATTAACAACAAATATTTCGCCATAAATAGCTCAAAATCACAAAGGTGGAAGGCCATCAGGGGGTTGAAAGACACTAATAGTTGGCTTTAGAGGGGTTAGGGATCTGGGCAAGACAATTGGAATCCAAAATTTAGCAACTGAGCAATTTCACAACATCGAGCACCTTGGGAGATTCTAGAATGTCGACCCGCTTTAGGGATTTAATAAGAGATTTTTGGTCAATGGGATATGCGTGGAAGGGGCTGACAACGATTAATTCAATAAGACCGGGGCGGAGGGCGTCGAGGTACTGTAGGGTTCGCTCTGGGACCACCTCGGCAATTAGGAGTAGGATGTGACGGCGGGTTGGGTTTTCGCGGACCTAAAATGGTCGTTTAGCTAGAAAGATTATATCTTAAGGTGCTATGAGCGTCTTCCCTCCCTGCCTCTCTCTTTCTCTCTCGCTCTCTCTCTCTCTCACTCTCCCTTAACCTACCATTTTGAAAAGCTCCCGCTCGTCTCCTCGACCTTCCAAAACCAAGGTTCCATTGCTGGCCAAAATTCCGGGGATTGGGTCAGATAGCGGTGGCATCTGGGCAACAATTTCTGCTCCGAAGCGTCGAGCGCTAGAATTGAGCAATTATAAGTTAAGTTTACGATAATCGACCCACCGAATACGATTTATTTGGCGGCTCCAAGTCTCGCCGACAAAGATGAACACTTCGGCGGAGCATTCGGCTAAAGAACTCATTACTTATCTTTTTGAAAACGCTTGGATTTATATGGTATTGCGTATCCTTGTTTCTATTACTTATTACATTCTGTATTTTCGAAAGACTGGCAAATGTTACCTGGATAATCGATCTTGCGCGCATCATACGGTATCCGGAACTCCTCACCAAGTTCAGCTCTTTCTAAAAATTATCATCATTTGCGGGTGGATATTTTACACTTACGTAGCTTAACGATCGGCTCTCCGAATTCGTCCTGCAAAAAAGATATTGTTATTTTCCTACTGGGTTCTTTTCAAACCTCACTGCAAAAGCCGATCATTAGTGTGTGCGTTGTTAGTGGCATTCCGTTCTTTTCTTATCAATTTTCGGTATCCGATCGTTAATGCGCCGATGATACTGATGGTTAGTAAAGCGTAAATAAGGGTGGAATGACCGGCCGTATGGTGGTGCTGAAGTAAAAAATGTTAGTAGGATACCGGCTTAGGGTTAGAAACAATTCAAAGCGATAAAATTACCTCCTCTTCCTCTCCTTCCGCTTCAGAATCGGTTTGTCGGAGAGCTCGCTTTTCATTTTCAAGTACGACAACCATAGAAGTTTGCGAGGTTACCATCCCGTACTAAAACGGATTTTTTAGCATTACAGCAATTTTTCGAATTTTCTTTTTTCTCGCTCGTTTTCGCTCACTCTTTCTCTCTCTCTCGCTCTCTCTTGCTCTCTCTCTCTCTCCCGCTCTCTCTCTCTCTCTTTTCACCTCACCTTCATCGCCAACTGCTTAATCCTCTCAGCAACATTCTCTTTTTCTTCAGGAGTTACTGCCGATGTCTCGAGTATCCGTTCGTACTTCAGAATGGTCTGCTGGGCCCACATTCGTTCGATAAAGTTGCCGATCGTGTTGGTTTTTCCGCAGATTTTGATTTCTATAATGCTTGGCATAAATACCTCACAAAAACTGGCATTTAGGTTTTTTAGTAGTCAAAAAGGTTTGTGCCAGGTGGTGGCCGCTTACCTTTAACATTCTGGATGTCGACTTGAAGCAACAGGCTTTCTTCGACGCAATGGGTGACTGGTGGAGCGTTGAAATCCTGTAAAAAATAATTTGGCTAAATAACATTGATAAATTGTATCATTTTTTCTTGGAACTGCAAAGTTAGAAACCGAATATAACAGATTCAAAACAAACTATAACGGCAAAACTCACGATTGTTTTCGGTCCCTCATCCAATGAAGCTTCGATAGTCGTATTGATCGTGTTGGTGCTTCCCACCTGAAATTAACATAGGTTTCGAAAAGTATGTAGACCTTTTAAGCTGGGTTTTTCAAGCAGGTAATATCACCAAAACCGATTCTTGGTTCCCTAAATTCTTTAAGCCGATTTCAGAGGTTGCCCTCGCAATCATGCGTCATTTTGGAATCGATACCAGGCCCAAGCTATTGTCTTTTCAAATTTCCTATGCATCATCAATGTCGATTGGTAAGTTAAAGAATTTTTAAACCAATTTTCGGCTACTTTTAGTGGACTTTTATTTTATTCTCTGCCCTTCACTTTATCGGAGAAGTTGGGCAGGATATTCTACAAGATATCGTTTGGTTCCGAGAGTACCATAGGTGGGATATTTTCAGGAGCCATTAGAGCCTAATTATCATATTAAATTCAGTTAAAAGAGGTTACGATAGCTTGAAAATGCTCTTTTTAGTGGCATGGAAGTTGAAGGGATCAAGATGACGTTCACCCTATTTATTGGGGTCAATTTGATGACGATAGCCGAATTGGTACTCTACCTTACTACTGCCGTTCTAACGTTTATGGGAATTCGGCGGAGAATAAAGTCTCTTAGCTTTATCTACCCATTTTATGTGGTAGGTGTTTAATTTTGTAGTAAATTTTTAGATTTTTCGATATTTTTAAACCTTTTAGTTATTTCTGACAGCTGCTTTTTAGGCTATGGACATTCGAATGTGGTACGGCAATATCGGCAATTACATGATGGTCAACGACTATCTCAGCACCGGAATCTCGGTCTACATGACATTGTCGAGTATAGCCGTTGTCTACGCTTATAAGCGTCTTTTTGACGAGACCTATCGAAGAAGACCAATGATTCGAACCTTCCAATTAGATAGTGATCACGCGTATAAAATTACTGTATGAATTATGTGACGTATTATGGGGGGGGGGGGGGAGGGGGGCCCCGCCCCCCCCCCCCCCGCCCCCGCCCGGGGGGGGGGGGGGGGGGGGGGGTTAACGTATTAACTAGTGGCACTATCGCTTTAAAAACACTCACCACCGCTTCCGGCTGCAATTTGCCAATTGAGGTCAATTCTTGGCCCTGGAATAACATCTTGCTCTCGTCGGCGCTGACCACGCTGCCGATGTCGACCTGAAATTTGCCACTAGTCCCTGTAAAATTGTAAGTTACCATATAACTTGAGAAGAATTTTAGAACCTATTAAAAACACACCTGACTGTCCAAATATTTGATCGTAACGTCCTTCGCGATAGGGTACGCCATTTCGTTGTAGAAGCCTGAACATAGCAAGTTTTAGGACCAAATTAATACACCTTCAAAGCGAATTTTTATTTCCGTAGCGTTCCTCTTTCCCTCTTTCTCTTTCTTTTCTAGCTCTCTTTCTCGAGCTCTCTCTCCCGCTTTCGCTCTCTCTTTCGCTGCGTTTAAAATTTACCAGCAATCTGCACGTCACTCTCCGCATTTTCGAAAATCCTCTTGGCAAAACCTTGATGCTGACCGGAGATCTGCTTCAGAAGACTGTAACAAATGTTATATTTCTCAATTCCGAATTTTGGATTACCTGTAAGATGCATTGACCCCAAAAGCGATCGATTCAATTGGGTAGTCGTTTTCCGGCAGGGTTTCGAGGATCTCATCGGTGTGCTAAAAATCTCATTTTCTTGGATCGATTTAGAAGTAACCGGATGTTCCTGGACGCTATTTAAAAAAAATTACCTTTAATCCCACCGTCGGCTGGCCGTCTGTCAGAAATACGATGGTCGCCAGGAAGGATTTTTGCTAGAATTTAAAACTTTAGCCAAAAAATTAGCTACTGTACCTGTTTCTCTGCTTCATCTAGCATTGTCACAGCCTTCAAAAGCGCATCAGCAATATTGGTACCTCCATGCGCTTCTACGGCGTTTATATACTAAAGAAAACCACATTTTCTCTTTTCGATGATTCGATACCTCAATAGCTTCGTCAACACTTTCACGGGTGACAATAACGGGTTCAGGCTTCCAGGCTTTCGTCGAGCGATCGAATAAAATTATATTGAAACGATCCTGAGGTTGAAGTTCACGCAGGATTTGTGCCATCGCTGTTTTAAGCTGAAATTAAAGGTGGAGATGATTTTATATTTTAAAGGGTCACCTGCTCAATTTTCCGTCCATTCATCGAACCACTTTTGTCAAGAACGAATAAAACGGTTTTATTGCCGTTTTGAACATCATCAGAGGGGGTATATTGCTGGAGGAAGAAGCCATCGACCTTAAAATAGCATGATTTGAGTGTACTTAGTTTAACTTGATTTAACAAATAATTTTTTTGGCTGTGAAATTCGTACCACGGTTATCTCGTTTTGACCAGCAGGTGCCGTTGTATTATACAAAATTACGAGTTCCCCATCATCAACAACATCAGCGGCTTCGTAAGAGATATATGCCAAATTCCCACTTGTATCTCCCGCGGCTTGTAGGATCACTCGGGAATCCACTAAAAAAAGGTTTAGGTAATTCTCCAAGCTCGTCCGGGCCTTTCCGCCAAAAAGCAAAAAGTGCTGTCATCCGCAGGATTCGAACCTGCGCCCTCCGAAGAGGACTGCGACCTGAACGCAGCGCCTTAGACCACTCGGCCAGAATGACATGAGGGAGGGGGACGCGAGAGGGGCCTATGAGCCAGCCGCCTTTCGAGTGGCCGGTTGGGAAATCGCAACAAAAGGACAAAAGGCGGGCCCTAGGTTTCGGGACCCGAATTTCAAGGCAGATTTTGCTTTAAATTTTAATTTTGGTACCTGGTCTTGCTAGTAGTTCGGAATTTGGCAGCTCATTGATGCCGGGCGCGAATTGGGGGACGTGAATTGTCGAAAAGTTGTGTCGATCGGCGATTAGGACGTTGATTTGGAGGTCTTTGATTGGCTGAAAAAGATATAAAAGTTTGCCGATTAACTTGTAATCTAATTCGGTGATTTATTAAGGGATTTATTATGATTTTTAACTAAATTCTTCAAACGAAAAAGCGATTATATATTTTTGATTAATGTCTAGTGCTAAACTTTATAAACGAACTATAAAAGTTAAGAAAATTAGTATAACCATTGAAAAAAATTTGAAATACTTGAAAGTATGGCCTAATACTTACCAGTGAAGCATTAACGTAGACGGCATGCTTGTAGACATAGCTGGATTTATGGAGAACTTCCTGATACGTCAGGTTAAAAGCAATATGGGCTCTTGGCGGTAGATTCACTTCCAATTCGAAGATTTTCGAATTGCTAAAAAATCGTAGTTTAAAAATTTTGAGAGTTCAATATACCTTTGCCTCAGCCTTGCCGCCACTTTTGATTGTTGCTTCGCGTCGATAAATTCTTGATCCGCTAATTCTTTGGCCTTTATGACGCCGTAGGTAATGTTGCCATCGCGATCCCTAAAAACGAGGGTTTTGTTAAGCAAAATTAGGTCTGGAAAACGTGGAAATTTATTTTATTAATTTTCCCTGATGATACAGCATAAGTTCATGCTTTTAAGATACTTTCAAAAAACAGAAAAGACTATATAAAAGACTCACAAATAAAACGAGCGTATAAAGGCGTTTGGCGGAAGCTCGGCGGTGATTTTTACCTACAAATTGACTACAAATTGCCCCTTTATAGACTACCACTTCCGAAAATCCCTCCAAATTTTCAATCTCGGACACAATATCGGTGCTGGCGAAGCGTGATTGGATTTCGGAGAGCACGTGGAGGTACTTTATAGCTGCTTCGGAGTACTAAAAGCATGTTCTATCATTTTTGTAGGCCACTCTATCAATGCGCCTTTTCAAAACAGCTAAAAAAACTTACACAAAACCCAATGCACATCACCAGAAATAGAAATATGCGCATTTTAGAAGTCCTGAAGTCTCGGCGACTGACTTCCGACGCGAAATTTGATTGTTATGTAGTGAGGGAGCTCAAGGTTCCTCAGAGGAGGGAGATGAGAGAGTCGATAGATAGAGAGTGACTCGATTTTCTGCCCGAAAAGCGGCTCCTCTTTTTGGCATAGCGAGTCGATCGACGGCCGGCGGCGATTTGACGGTGTGAGTCACACAGGCTGACACTGGTCGAGGAACCGTCCCGGCAGAATTGGGTTCTTAAATTTAGCATTTAATAGGTATATTTAAACTGTCCATATATAAAAAATAAAGATGATAAGGAAAAACGGAAAAGAAAGTTACGAACTAGAAAAATCTCTTCTTTATATATGCTAACTAACGAATTAAGAATTACGTTTTGGAGAGCTAGAATTCCAAGAAAGCTACGTTAATAAGGCAGAATAAGGTTCCTAAAGCTTGGCAAAACATGCTTTTAGAATGCATCGCAGAGGATTTATGTAAATCAAGCGATTTTCCGAAAATAAGAAAGTCAATTTGAAAGAACTTCGTAAGTGTTTTTACAAGTTAAACCAGTTCTTTATTAAATTTAATCTTTATCAATTAAATGCTATTCGAAATCTTGGATTTTGCCTCGATTTTCGATAAAATGTCCGTACTTTTTCTCTTGTTTTTCTTTTGTTTTCCCAGAGTTGATTCTCCGAATTAACCTTGAAAACTAGTCTGTTTAAGATGACTCATTTGCCCCGAGGGCAAAAGCATCGCAAAAACAATGGGGCGCGCCCTTTAATGGTGCCGTCACCTTGGTGAACCGGAAATTTTACTGTCTCAGCCAAGTGCGAGAAAACAAGGCAATTAAAGGGAAGGAGAAATGGAACAACAGGCAGGAAAAGCTGAGAAAAAGTGGACAAAAAAGAAAGGTAAAAGTAAAAAATATTTAGAAACAAGAAAAATAAGTAATTTCTCAAAACCTGTTAGGCCCGGAAAAAGCTGTCTCAATTCCGACTAATTGAATTAAAATTATTAGTTATACCCAAAACCCGCTTCGCGGGCCTTGGGCGCTGGAATGCGGCCTTTGCATGAGAAATTTGACTTTCCGATAGCTCGGGTCCGACGACCCCCCCTGCCCCCGACCGAACTCGCGAGTGCAACTGGCAAGAATGAGGAAATTTCTATTTTTTCACATTATGAATTAGCCCCAGGTACCCCAAAATGAAAACCGGCTTTAACTTTGTAAACTCTTTTTATCGAAATTCTGAGCGCCATCGGAAGGAAGGTCGATTCCCCAAGTGGGGGAGTCGGGGGTTTTGGACACGGAAGGCCCTCAAATCTGGCCTCGAAACTGACCTCCGCACACACACACACACACAAAGATACGCGACCAAATTATATAAGGTAGGATTTTTATTAAGCCATTCAAAATAGAAAAATAATGAAATCGTTTCAAAACCGTTGTGGGACGCAAGAAAATGCTAGGCATGAATCGGCAACGCCCTGGGTTTTGTTTGTATTTTCCTTATCGGGCTTTTTGGGAACGGGAAAGCGGGCCATACCAGCCTAGCAATGGTGTATCGATTCTGCCCCCCGCCTAGCCAAGACCGAGACGGGACCCGACCGGACAGGAAATGGGATGGGACTTTACGAAAATGGAGTGAAAATTTGAATTGAATAGGTTGAAAAGGCATAGTACTCCATCAAATAGAGAGATCAACCTTTCCGAAAAAGCTTAAGATGAAGTTATTGCCCTGACCAAGTGAACCCGCGTGCGGTCGCGTCACGTAAGGCAGTAAGGAGCGCGTTAGGTGCTACGTCACGTATTACGTTGCGTCGCGTCATGCTGCATGTGAGGTACGTTCCGGTGTTTACAATCCGTTTTTTCTGCGTGACGGGTTGGTTTCGGTGCTGCGTTGCGTGCCGCGCCACCCCTGGCCTTTCGCTTTGCGGTGCATGGCGCGTCACCTGCTGCGTGGTGTGCTGCCGGCGTTGTGCGCCGCGTCGCATTTCGCGTCGCGTACCGCGTTGCATGCCGCGTTGTGTATCGCGTCGCAAATTGCGTTGCGCCGCTCACGTAGCTCGTTCGGTAAGGCATTATTGCGTTCTTAAGTCCCTTGCTGCCACAAAACGCGTTCATTCGTAGGCTTTCATGCGAATTATCGGGATCAGAACTCTAAAATCGGGGAAACTCCAAAATCGAAAATCGGAATTGCCTGCGATTTTTGTTACGTTTTTCTGATTTTCCGATTTCTCTCACTTTCTCAATGGCTCTCTCCCCCAACACGGCCCTCCCCTCTCTCTCCCTCTCTCCCCCGCTCTTTCTCTTTCTCTCTCCCCCTTTCTCTCTCTTTCTCTCGCTCGCTCGCTCGTTCTGTCTCTCGATTCGGGCCTCGGTATCTTCGTCCCTAAAATCGCGTGTAAAATGTGGTTCCGATCACCTGAGAAGCACTTTTTATCCAAAAAAGCTGCTATGACACCGTTTATCGAAGCCCAAGCACATTTCAAAAAGTGTGAAGCAATTACAGGCACTCCAATAAACAGCGAGGGTATGTATGTTTGGAGGCTGAAGTGCTGCGTGGTGCCCTCCAGTCAGCCGCCCGAATTTAGGGGGTGGTGGTGGTGGTTGCGGCAGCACCGGTGGTCGTCGTCGCGCTACCATCGGTGGTGGTGGTTGCAGAGCTGTCAGTGGTGGTAGTAGCGGCAACGGTCGTCGTGGCGACGGTCGTGGCGCATCCGCCTAAATTCGGGGGGTTTAAAGGGAGTGTGACAGCTGGGAAAAAGGCCAAAAATCACGGCCTGTTTGAGCAACGTTAGAAACTACAAAGCCTTACAAGTTCCACCGCAATAGCTGGCGCGCTGCTCAGCGGTGTAGGCGGAGTTGGTGCAGAAGCCGTTGGCGGCCCAGGTGGCGCAGTTCGAGTTCGTGTCAACGCACGTGGTCGAGCTGGTCGTAGCCGAGCCGAGACCGCCTGGAAAAAGGAAATTTGAAGAATTATATATCTTTCGTTCACTTGCTCCTCCCTCTCTCTCTCTCTCTTTCTCTCTCTCTTGCTCGTCCTAAAACTCACATGAAGCACAACAGTAGGAAGACTTCTGTACAGGGGTGTAGAAGGTGCTCGTGCAGAAGCCATTGGCCACCCAGTTGGCGCAGTTGGCCGACGTGTCCGAGCAGGACGTGCTCGAGTTGCTGCTGCTGCCGCAAAGTCCACATGTCGATCCGCAGTACGACGTCTTCTGCGCGGAGGTGTAGAAGGTGGACGAGCAGAAGCCGTTCGCGCTCCAGTTAGCACAGTTGGACGACGAGTCCGAGCAGGAGGTGGCGATGCCTAATAAGGAAACCATATTTTTAAATTTTTGTCCGATTCCTACGGCATTTTTTTATAATTTTCTGGCATGCACTACGTTTAGAAAAATTTACATAAGACGTAGAATATAACTTTTACGAAATTTTACGCTTAATAAAAATCTTGTCGGTATCGGTAATAAAGCGTACGTGAAAATGGTCACCCTCAAAAAGGCGAAATCCTAGAATTATTTGCTAAAGGCCCGGGAAATTACGGATAATCTTCACAAAATTATAAAAATGCCAAAAAGGCTATTTTCCAGGATTCGGTATACGGTATCTGTACGCTAAACCGCACCAACAACAGCAAGAAACACGGCAGCTGCAGCGTACATGGCTGGAGGGATAGAGCTGGGCAAGGCTCAGAATGATGGTTCATCTACAGGCTGCCGATCTTTTATAGCGGCCCCAGATTTGCTGTATTTGCCCAGGCCATGTGCGGGCCCCTCATCGCCACTCCGCGCATTACATCTAATCGACGATTGTTCGACGACCAATTTCGACAGACAAATTAGGGGCCCTGATTTTTAGACGCTGACAAAAATCGGGGTGCTATTTGGGTGTCGTCTGTCTGGCGTTCATGGTCTTTAAAAAGCCTTTTTATTCATTTAAAATAAAGTGGATGCTCAGGCGTTACTACGAATATCCCTATACAAAGTGAGATATTCAGGCGTTTGTAGGGTATGCGTCCCTTTCCATTCGTTAGATTTCAAGTATAAATGATGTGACCAGGTTCGAACCCAAGAGTACCTGTCATTAAATGTCATCGTTTGCGTTGACCGGTTGGTAGAGCGCACGATAAGTTTTTTAATTTAAGTAAATTCCTCAATTTCCTCAATTCAGTTTCATAGGCGATTTTCCAAAATGCTATAGAAATCTATGCTAGATCGCGATAGAAATCGACACTTTGCCGGCGTGTTGCCGCGAGCGTGAAAACTACGTCCGGTGGCTTCTGCTATACAGGTAAGGTTTTTACTTTAGAAGCGTACAGAACCGTTGTGTTAAATTTATTTCAGGGCTAAGAAATACCAGCTCACCGATCAATTTAACCCTGATGAGGGTCAGAATGCGCTTCGCGATACACGTCATTTCGATAAATTGTCATTTCAAGCGATTTAGCGTTGTTTTGACGTGGTGTCATCGTAGATTCGGACGTGCATTATCCGATTCCGAGCGCCAGGAGGATTTGCTCAAAGACCTCGAGATATTCACTTTTTAGCGTCATTGTTACTTTTTGATTTTTAGTCGCCTATTTTCTAAAAATTTTTTTTGACTTTATTAGCTTCTTTTGTTAATAGGTGTTTGTTTCTGGAGTTCTTACAGCTCTTTGAAGTGTGCTATTTTTTGCCATTTCCCATGGTCAAAGCATAGATGCCAACACCTGGCTTGTTTGAAAGTGCCGATTCTTGCAATTTCCCTATCCTTCATTTGCAACCCCTCGATTTTCAGTAAAAATGCCGCGGGTCATTGTTTCGCTACCGTTTGTTCTTCAAAACCAGATTTCCCCATGTCAACGTGACGCATCCACCCTCAACCCACTCGACGTCGAACATCAGGGGCAACCATCGTTGCCAGTTTTGTCATTTTTCGCCTCAAAAAAGACGGATTGGGACCAATTTTGCAGGATCGCGGGATCTGGTTAAACCTTCATCTCATGTCCGCCCGATGAACGGCTAGTCAAACACGGTTTGCCCGAATTTCGAAGCAGACCCACTCATGTTTCCACGTTTTCCTGTAAAAAACGAGTTTTTTAGGCGGAAGTTGCAGAAAATTTTTATGGGAACGGCTAGAGTCCAGTTATCCTGCGCCACGTAATCTGTATTCACGGGGCAAAGTTAATTTTTTATTATTGTTGGTGAGGAACGAGCCGCAACGTAGCTGTACTTTCCTAAATTACCGACTCGACTGGCGTGAAAATGCGGTGCCAGAAACTGCCAGAAAAGCTATAGTAAAAACGAGCAGTGGTACATACTTACAGCGCATTGTAACGTACTTCTAATAAAACCCTCTCCCGGAAAATGTTGAAATTTGCATTTAAGAAGCAAGAAAAAACATAGAAAACGTTTGTTTATGCTTCGTACGCAACTCCTGACTGGTCCCGAGCAGTTTGAACCGCTGAACGATGAATGTAAATGCTCAAAATCACAAAAAATCAATCCCTCCTCTGCGCTGATTCGAAAAGCAGCACCTTCAACGTTCTTTTCGAGAAATACTGTATTTTTGGTCGGCATTGTTATCTAAAAAAGCTGTACTGAAAGTAAAGAGGTCGCCTGAAATCCCATTTTCAAGGTTTAGAAAGCTAGGAGATCTGGTACTCCTGCTAGTGTTCATGGACTGGCAAGACCCGCGCCAGTTAATCGAGAAGCATCAGTTCTTTGGCGTATTGGCCATTTCAGGTTACCCCTCTTTTCTATTCTTTTTGGGTCTTCCACCATTATGACTCCATTTCCAGGAAAAGGCGGTTTTCTCGTTGGAAGCTCATCGAAAATTGCCAAAGCTCGCCCAAAGCTTCTGGTGTTGGTTTGCACAGTCGCGTTGCCCAGTTGCATGAAATCATGTAAAAGGCAGCCGGTTTCCCGTATCATACCAATCTTCATTGCGTTTTGCACGTAAGCAAGTGAAGTACAGCAAAAAATTAAGTTATGGTCACACCCAAGGGAGGCACATTTCTTGACTCTGCACGTAAATGGACGAACGCTAGGAGGAGGTTGAAAAAGTTAACCTAAAATTCATGCATCTCGTCATTTGCAGACTCCACCACTCATTTTGCTTGATACAAACATGCCTTTGCCGCATGCCGCGTCTTTGAAAGCCTAGGTTATACTTTTTTGTAAAATGCGTCGCTCGTTACGTTGCGTTTCGAAACGCAAACGCATCTCAAAAATAAACATTAACTAAAAGACCCGAGGTCCTGCTGCTTTTGTGGCGAACCTCGCAAAACAGACGTGATTTGTTAGGCCCTTACAGCCCATGTATACTCGATTCAGAAGGCGAAGCCTCGACCGACCCGTCACGGCTCACGAATCCCCGTGTCCGTAGGCTTTCCGCGACTCTGATTTGTGACAACTTCAATTGGCTAACAGCATTTCTGCATCTGAAATCTTCCACAAGCCTTTCATATTTACGCAGTCGAAGGCCCCGGCCAATGAACACTGGGGTCGACGACTCCGAAAGCTTGTTTTATATTTTTCTCTGGTTGACACAGCTGCATGTCGGCAGCATGGGGCCCCGTCTGTTGACGAGTGGGCGCAAAAAAATGGGCCAATTTTTCTGGTCAATCAATTAGCTGAAGGCAGTGAAAGAGAGCGAGAGAGGGAGCTAGAGAAAGAGAGAGAAAATTCGAGAGAGAGAGAGTGAGAGAGAGAGCGAGACACAGAGAGAACGTATCCGAGTAAGTGACGAGCATTACCGGTGCAGTTAAAAATAGATTGAAACGGATTTACGCTGCAAATTTTTTGCAACATAACCTAATACTAACAAGGTAACTAGCTCTAAAATCATGCCTTCGTGAAGCAAAAACATGAACCATGGAGACGAAAAGAAAAATCACGATCCCAGTCACGATTACTTTCAACCTTGCAGCCATCTAACATTTATTCATGCGTTTAGCTTGCGATATGTATAACAACACCTGATAACCGCTGAAAATTACTTGTTTCATTATATACGTATTTTTCGCGACGGGCATTTTTATAGGACTGTATATTGCCCTACCGGCGTTAAATTCTGCAAATCGATGAAAAAAATTTCCGCAAAGGTAGGGCTACTTACAAAGGTTACGGGGGTTTTGCCTTACGGGTTTTAGACGCCGCAAAGTAACTATAATGACGTATTTTCAAATTATTTCAAGTTCTTAGTTTTCTAAGACTGTTTCTGATCCTGCAAACGTTCGTTGGTCCCGCTCTGGAATTGGCCGAAAAGCACGAAGCACGGTTCTAGGATGATGCCAACTCCAACAGCAGGGGCAAAGGCCGTTTTCAGCATCATGTTTGAGCACCGGTAGCCAGTTCCAGAATTGTTGGATATCGTCATCCGACGTGTATCGTTTTAGAAATGTATATAAGGGTTTATTTCTAGCCAGTTGGCACTCGAAAACTCGACTTCACTTCACAAAAACATGCTTCACTTCGTGCTTGCTGCTTGCTTCGTGCTGGGATGCGTTGAGAAGGTTGGTTAAAGTTGATTAAGTATATATAGACAAACAGATTTGCTATTTTTTAATATTGCGAAGCTCTACATTATGCAAATTTTGAATAGAAAAGTAGTAAACGCTATAGAAGACTCGAAAACTTTCCGAACTTCAAAAAATAAGCTATTTTTCTCATCGAATAATATTGTTTAATTATACAATTTTCAGGCAACAGCTACCTGCCCACTTCTTCCCTCTACGATTTCCGCTGCCTCAGCCATTGGACGTAAGAATAGGTCCTTAGAACACACCCGGACGTTTTTAGCGGCCATCAACTTTGGGTGCACGGCGGGTGCAACATGCTACTACACTGGCGTCGCTGACATGTGCTTCCAGGTGAGTTAACCACTATATAGCTTTCAAGCTTAAGTTTAAAATATTACTCTAGAACATGCGTTAAATCTAGTTTTTTCTTATTACTTAAAATCTTAGTCTAAAATTGAATAGGCTATAATTTTTACCATCCCCTTTTCAGACCGCTTCGTGCACTGACACCAATTCTAAGTGAGTTTATTTTTGAGCTTTCAAATATTATTATGGCTTGAGCTATGGATTTGTGCTACGTTGATACGCGACGTTCAAAACTTTTATCTGAAATATTTTCAGCTGTGCCAACTGGGTAACGAACGGCTTCTGCACCTCTACCGGGTACACGCTGGCGCAGGTAAATAATCGCGACAAGCAGTTGGTAGTAGTGGGTTACACTATTTCCCTTTTAGCAGCTAGAATTTAGCGCAGGTTAAGCATATTATTCTACATTTTAAAAAACTATTCTTCCAGAAACAAAGCTACTGCCCAGCGAGCTGCGGACTTTGCGGTGGAGCGACCGTTGGACCGGCGCCTACTTGCTATAACAACAGCACCAAGTAGGTGCTAAGCGGGCTTCTTAAGATCCTCGAACGATGATATAGCTTTAAAAAGGGTGGGGGGGGGGGGGGGGACGGTGGTTTAACCCCCGGACATAACCAAAGGGGCAAGGGGGGGAAGGGGGGGGAGGGGCCCGAGCCCCCGGGGGCCCTGGCCCAAAAGAGGGCGGGGCAAGGGGCCCCCCCCCCCGCGGGCTGGGGGGGGGGCCGGGGGGGGGCCGGGGGGGGGGGGGCGCGGGTAAAGGGAAAAGAAAGGGATAGAGCTTTTGCCTAACCGATTACGCACCTGAAATCACAGGATAGTTCTTAAAAAACGCTGCTAGATAGCTCTTCCAAACCTCATTCATGCGCTTATAGTTCAAGGTTTTTGGGGCTAGCTAGCGGAGATTCTTAGCAGAATCGATCGAACGGCTACAGAACTCCTAAAGAATAGCGGTTAGCTTGCCTTAACCCAACCCCATAACTACATTAATGCATCAATTTTGCTGGTAACTTGAGCAAACTAGCTCTCGGTGGATTTCTCTAAGAATCCCTGCCAACACGCCAAATCTAACCTCTATTGATTGCCAGTAATGTGCCTTTCAGCTGCGCCGGCTGGGCCACAAAGGGTTTCTGCTCGTCAACCTTCTACACCACTGCCTACAAGCAGCAGTACTGCTCGCTGACGTGCGGATATTGCACCGTCGGATAATTTGCATTTATCCGCCATTGGTTGGGTAATAATTAATAATTTTATCAATCAAATTCCACACAAAACAGACTACAAACGGAAAATATAGTATAGAACGATACAAAGTACAGCGAAAATATCACATTTGAAAGGGGGCGGGACTGGGGAATGGAAAAAAATAGATTTATTAAATTGGGATAATCATGGAAATCATTTGAATTAAATAAAGCAAAAATGATGATTTTACGGGGGCTACCAGTTTTTTCAAAATTTAAAGATGATATTGAAAATATCAAAAAATTAGTCGAAAAGCACCGAAACTATAGGAAAAACGATAAAATGCCAAAGGACTGACTGGAGTAAAGCACAAACTACAAAAATATATTTCGCATTAAGACTAAAAAACAAATTCAAAACAGATGTCGATATTGCTGAATGGAGTAGGGATTTTCGCCGAAAAATAAATGAAAAACGTGGACAGTACCTGAATGGGAGGAGATGATGGAAAATGATATAGAAATACCGGAAACGGACTTGAAAAGGTTGAAAAATCAAGTTAATTCTGTAACTGAAATTAAAACTAAAATAGGAAATATTCGGATCCATAGCAAACCAGAGGCTTCGATGGGCCTTTAGAACGCAAAAAAACACGGTTTTTGCCTAGATATACGTGCTCAAAATGGTCTGCAAATGCAAGTGGATATAGTTGAACATCTTGCGGTTGTCGGGATTTTCGGCGAGGCACAGCCCTGCGACGGTATTGTGGAGAGTGATATCGGGCATTAGAAGCGGTGGTGGTAGGTAGTAAGCTCCAGGTCCTCTAACCGGCGGCTTCTCCCTGCATCCGCCAAACAGCTCCCAGCACAATACGCCGAACGAGTAGACGTTGCTCTTTTGGGTTTGGGTGCCCTGAAAATGAAAATATGGATTTTATATTTGGGTGTTTTAGTCGCTACTTTAACGCCAGCAAAAATCTTCTGGCTCCTAGCTCCTATCTCTTAGCTCGTGGCTCGTAGCTCCCAGCTCCCAGCGCGTAGCTCCTAGTTCCTAGCTCGTGGCTCGTAGCTCCCGACCTCCTAGCACTTGTCTTGTAGTTTTTGGCTCCCAGCTCCTAACTCTTAGCTCCTAGCTCCTAGCTCCTATCTACCAGCTGCTAGCTGCTAGCTCCTAGCTCCCGGACCCATTCTTTTACCGATGTTTTCTGTTATTTTAATTTTAACTACACATATAACAAGTTAATGGTCTTTATCGATGTCTTTTATAAGTTCTTACCTCGGTCTTAGCCTCCGGTGCCATCCAGCGGACCATCTCTGAGTTCGAGCAGCACCTCTCGTCGAAAATCTGGCTCGGATGGCCCATGCGCGTGATTTTCGGGTTTCCGTCCTTGTCGACAAGACATGTGTGGGCAGCCAGATGGGAGAGGATGATGGAGCGAGACTCCAGGTACGCCAACCCCGCCACAATGTTCACCACCGTGCTCAGCACGGTTTGAGTGCTAAAATAGGGTAATTAGTGCCGCTAATTTGTCTCCAAAAGCCAAAGAAGTTTCGTTTTAGTCGAAACTACTATAAACTCCGAAGACTTACTCGACGCGCTCCATCTTCTTAAAGTACTCATCGAGCTTCCCGTTTTCGGCGTATTCCAGCACGCAGAAGAATGGCTGACCCGTGGAGACGCCGATCATCTCGAGCACGTTCGGGTGCTTGAGGGCTCCGAGGTACTGCAGTTCTCTTCTGACGTCTTCGCAGTTGTCCAATGATTTAACGACAACCAGGCGGCGCTCAAGTTGGCAGAGTTTTGCCTAAAAAGATCCATATTTTAGAATTAAGGCATATTTTTGTTTTAATTGATGAAAATCGGTAAGAAAAGGAAACCCGTTTTTCGGTTTAGAAGCGCTTTACGATACCAATGACGCAGTTTGAGGAACAACTTACATTCCTGACTTCACCATCAAGTTTTCGCACAAATTGAAGTTGTGATGGGTCGATTTCCGGTGAGGTGTGGACGTAGACTTCTCCGTAGTCAGCGTATTGGCTGACGGTCGAGGGAGAAGAAAAACGTCGCATTACGGAACCCGGACTCCCAAAATCACGATAAGCGCCGAGGAGCGGCATTCTGGAGTCGCAGTTGGTGGCACTAAATCGGGTTAATAGGTAAGTTAGTCAAGCGTTAGAGATATGGTTCTAAATCATTAAAAATACAGTGCTTTGCTGCTAATATCGGTTAACAGCGCTACCCCGCCCAATTGAATACACTGTGCAGAGTTTGGCTAAATTTTTAAGGGAATCGTGCGGAATAAGAAAAATATCGCTAAAACAGAACTATTCTTAGGAAACAAAAGTCCGAAAACTCGGAAAATGACGGGATTCCCTCACCGGAAGTGGTTTTCCCACAGTAGCCCGAGACAAATTCGATCCCCTCTGAACCCTAGTTGTGCCGGGGGGACCCAGACTTGGGGCCCCAGGTAGTTTTTCGGGGCCCACCACCGAGCTGGGCCGCCCGAAATTTGATTACGAAAACCCATCCCCCCTAAAAACAAGCACCCAGATTGAACTGGGTCGGGGTGGGTGGCTATTTTAAGAGGTTGGATGGGAAATTCGGACGCAAAGTTCTTTGCAGCAAAAATTGTCTTAAGCCTGATCCCCGGAAAAAATCTTAAGGAATCTCTGCTGGCTATCTTGCTAATTATGGTTTGAGAACAAACTCCGATACAACCATCGTATTAAATATGGCTACAAACCGTTCCGTTTCTAACTGAAGGTGACGACAAAAAAATTTTCTAGAGATCGCTTTTATCAACCCTACTAATGACCAAAAAATGTAATTTAAAAACGACACGCGAGCAAAGATTTTTGCGGAAACTCACATTGAAAAATCCGGATCGGCGTACTCGCCATCCATCGGTATCTTCTCGAGGAGAATGTTGTGAGCGTTGTCTCGCGCCATTTCATAAGTTGATGGGGAGACCCTCTAAAATTCGCAATTTCTTAGTGATTAAGCTATCATTTGAAAGAATTAACAACTGAAATTAAAATAAAAGTGGATTTGAAAGATGAAGCTCCCGAAAAATGTAAGAATAGTCTTGCTAACTCCTTGCTTAAAAGAAGGCATTTCACAAGAATTTCCGGCCTGGCGAAGGTCACTTGTCTAGACACTAGCTTTTTTCCCCTATTTTCGAGTGACTCGCCTTAATCGTCGACCCATCCATCATAAGATGAATCTGGGGATGCTTCTGGGAGAAAGCGGGGGAGGGGATCGGCTTGACGGGGGTCCGCTTCTTCATCAGAAGACGCCAGATGCAACAGCCCGCCGAGCAGATTGACGTCAGGATGATGAACATCGAGACTGAAAAAGTCCAATTTTTGGGTATACAGGCATCAGGATGGCAATAGCAAGGTCCCTTAGGCCTTGAAAAATTCAGATGAGCTTGAAATGCGCTTCCAGAAGCTAAAATGCGCCTCGAATTAGCTATTTTTCGGGCCTTAAATTACAAATAAAGTATTTATAATAAACTATAGCTATTTTTCCTTAATATTTTTGCCTTAATGGCACCTTTAAGCGTTTTGCTATAAATTACAAAACAGTCAAATCCATACCTATAAATATAGCCATCGAATGATCTTCCGGATCCGGCCAATATCGTTCGAGCACATAGTTATTTGAGGTGTACGTCCCCTCGATCTGAAATTATGATAATTAAGACCATTTCTTAGGTTACATACCACTTGTATCGCATTATACTCTTCCTGGATGGCAGCGCTATGATCGTCCCACTCATACAAAACGGGGCTCATCACGAATTGGACTTCCGAAATCAGTAGCCAATGTGCTTCCGGGTTTGGGCGGATTTCGATCTAAAATGTTTTAATATATTTTTTTTGCGCAAAATTTGCGTATGAAATACTTCAATTTTTCTTGGAAGCAACTTCATAAGTTTTGTTGCGTCCTTCTTACCTTTAAATATTTTGCAATCCTGTTTGGAATCGGAATCCTCAGCCATCTCGCCGAATCGAATTGCTTATCCGGAATTTGCTCAATAGCTACACTTCGCGAAGAGTAGTGGATTCCGTTTTGCGAGAAGTAGACGGAGGCGGTAGAGAAGATCTGGAAAAATTGGTTTTAGCTAGCTTAAATTTAGCCATCTCCGAAAATATTTAGGGGATGTTTTAAACAAAACATTGGTGACCAACCTCAGCACCATGCTTATAAAAATTGGAAGTGTAGATCGAGATCATGGACATGTTCATCTGCTCGGTGAACGTGAAGTTGAGCTCAATTTGGCGGTCTGAAAAGATATATCTTATAGTAAGTCCTTAAAAACGAGAGACAGAGAGAGGGCGAGTGACGAGAAAGTGGAAATGGTGCTCCTAAAAACTCACGTTCATCAGCCCTCCATCCCATCCAGGCATTCGGAAATTTCTCAAAATCATCCTCTCCCGTTTTCCCGTCGAACAGCTTGCCGACGCCGCCAAAGAGGATATTTTCCGGGCTTATCTTTCCATCGTAAGAGTGGTCCTTCATCGATAGACCGTCAGCAACGGAACCCTCCGCAACGGAATACTGCAGCACGCGGCCTGAAAAATGACCATTTTTGTGGAAGCTCAGCAAATTAAGAGCATAAAGCTATCATTAACTCATCCAACTTACAAAAAAAATACAAACCTGTATACGGGCATCCATAGACCTCGACTCGCATGCAAACGGTTCGAGTTCGATTTGAGATCGGGACAAATCGGATTTGCTTGGCGATAATGGGACCGTCAAGTTCGCGGTGGACAGATGATCGGGGATCGGTGTTGCCAGGAATTGTCTGGAAATTGGATTTACCACAATTTGAATATGAAATGGTTCTTTTGATACTCGCTCTAATAGTTTAAACCTAAAAATGTCAGATTTGCATTTTCCACAATTTCAGTGACCCATAACGCTCGATTACCGGACTCCTGGGACCTAGGGCTTTGCGTTTAGGGGTTGACCGAGTTGTGTGGACGATCCGCCGGGATCCTAATGACAAATATGCCTCCGGGGAAGGTAGCGGGCCTCGGGTCTCTACCCCCTGGGGCGAAGAATTGTCACTTGTTAGTCAACAAATTACTTGTCCTCTTAGGGGTGATTTGCATATGAGATGTATTGCGGGGGTGAGTGGTGTGGGAAAATGGTTTTGTCGACCCTTGGAGACTCCAAAATTTTCAATTAACTTTAGAAAAATAAACTACGGTATCACAACAAAAGCAAAATACCCAACTTTTTACTCCCCCAAAGCTTTGGATATATTTCCAGTACATTCCTCACAAATTCACGCATTAATATCTTTATGGGCCAGCACATGATGAACCCAACGATTCCCCAGATTTGCATGCGTTTGCCCCCGGGGTTTGAAGGGATTGTAGACAGCTGGCATCTGCCAGCCTCCTATCCTCAACCATGCGCCTGGCTCATCCCTCCCGAAATCTTGGCTGAATATTCATGCCCCCGGGATTGAGAACCGACGGGTGCAAATTGAGTGACAAATCTCTTGCTGAAGGGCTGGCCAAATTCAGATTGATGGACTTCGCGACAAATTCGAGATTGAACAGCTGGTAGAAATGGTTTGAACCGTTTGGGTTCAAAAATACAAGCCAAAGAGCGCGACTGAGAGAGAGTGAGAGAGAGAACGAGAGAGAGAGATAGAGAGAGAGGAAGATAGAGAGAGAGAGGGAGAGAGAGAGAACTAGGGAGCGGCATAACGTGCTCCTACACAGCCTTAAGATATCTTACCTCCTTCCCCGCTCCATCCCTATATCGTGCCCATCCATCGAGACTTGGCCGCAGGTACTCGATACGGTAGGCTTGGGCGAATTCGGCGCCCTCCCCATTGTGGTCTCGGCCCTGCGTTTCGACGGCTGTGATCAGCATTTCCTAAAAAGATAAGAATTTCCAGCAAAGTTTATCTAATTACGGTAGGAAATGTGATTTGCAGCCATTCCGTCGACGTGATGTTGATCTGGTTCTTCGGGCACCATGCGCCGCCACCAAGGGTTGTACGGATTCTGGAATTTGAATTTGGTACACCTTTTTCCAGTTCTCGAAAGCCAATGGCTTCCCTAATGGTCCCTGCGGGCTTGCTCTGAACGGAATTATTTAACTTTCACATGATTCTATTCGGGTTCATCGAGAATTTTAGCAACTGGTCTCTGCTACCATGCCATTCGCCAAAATAGCTAGAACGAAAACCTCAATTTCCCCAAAAGAACCTCTGCAAACCCCTTGATTTTCCTAAGTAACCGCTGCTAGTTTGCCCTGGCATTTCCCTCAAGAATCTCTGCAAGTTCACGCCTTTCAACGATTTTAAGGACTTCTCAACCCTTGACCCATATACATATACATGTCAACCTGTCCGAACACCCAATTTCCCGGACCCCCATTCCCCTACCTAATAAGCATATCCGCGACCCGAGAAATGCCTAAAAAGCCGTCTAGGAAACCACAGGTCACCCCCCACCCGCAAATTGCCGTCTACGCATGGTGGTGTGAAAATGAGCCCATACCCTGGTATGAGAGAGAGACCGAGGGAGAGCGAGGAAAGGAGAGGGAGGGAGAGAGACAGAGAGAGAGAGACAGAGACTACGGGGGAACGGCTAATTACAGTGGGCACGGGTCAAACCCCTAGGCCGGGCACCATTTCCACCCAAAACATCCGGGGCAGATGTTTTGGGACCATAGGAGAAAGGCCCATTTGAAGCCTTGGAGCGCGAAAAATGACACTTGGCATTGTTTTGAAATTTGGATTTGTTTAGAACAAGATCTAGGGTTTTCGGAGCGGTCATTTCCGAACCAGAACTGTTTAAAAGATTTATCAAAACGGAAAATTAGATTTAAAGGGACCAGAAAGTTGTCTGGCGTAACTGGTGCCGCTGATCAGTCGTCTTAAACTTTAAATTTTTGTTGTGTTTTTTATCTAAGCCTAAAAACCTCTCCCATCCACAAGCCAGGTGTCCCTTCCGCCCCATCCAAGAAATCCGAAACCCATCAACAGTTCATCATGGCCTTTTCCAGCCCAGCCCCACTGAAGGAAACCCGTCATTTTTATTTTTAGAGCCTCCTGGGGGCCAGGTGCGACAGATTGCCGGTTGTCTTCCGACGCCTGGAGCCGTGTGTGGTCGTGTCAATGGGCTTTTCGAGTCGTAAAATTTTGAAAAAAGTGGATGACTGGGGTGTTTAAAGGGACTAGTAAGCCTCAAAATCGCCCCTTAAGGCGGCTAGGTATAGACAGTGATGCTATGTTCCAAAGCAGCCTCAGGAAAGCGTTTGAATTTTGCACCAGCCTATGTAGAGGAAAAGTTTTGGGAGCTGTCGAGACCTAGTTAAACAAGAGGGTCGGACTTAAGACTTCCTAGTCCCTTTAAGGTGTCAGGATGGAAAATACAATTTATTTTGGTGTACTGCTAAATATCTATACTTCCAAGTCCCTTTAATTCAAATTCCTCGGCCTGTGATCTAACTAGGCTGCGAAATCGAGACTTCCCTACCCCCACTAGTGAAGCGGAATCCGTTGCAAATGCAATAAATTTGTTGTGCTTCCCCTTTCCGTCTCGATACGGAGGCTCCTCAAGTCATCAGCCTCTCTCTCTCTCTCTCTCTCTCTCTCTCTCTCTCTCTCGCTGTCTCTATCACTTGCTCCAAACTGTGAAACGGGCCGACTCGAGCGTGTCTAATTAGTCAGTTGGACACTTTGGGCACTTGGGCCATATGGCCCCTTCAAGGAGCCAGAGGATCGGGACGGGCGAGGTTGATGAGGGATGCCGGTACCCAAATGTAAAGGTCAGTTCAGTGGGGCAAAGTTGATGGTTTTAAAGGGCTCAAGGTCAAGGCAAGATTGCCGATTTTCATAGATCTAAGAAAATTCGTAAAAAATAGTGGTTAGGCGCCGTTTCTCAGGAAAAATTTTAAGCCTTCGAAAAGTGACGATAGAAAAGCTGATATAGCAACGTAATAGCGACGCCTTGCTCGCGCTTTTAATAACCAGACAAGTGCAAAAATCCATACCTAGAATTTTGAGGTCCAGTACTTTCGTCATCGTATGAAGATGACGCCTTGACCTGGCTTCCGTTGATCTGCCCATTTTCCATCCCGAGCGCTCGCTGGCATTCTTCTGAAAAAAAACGATAAGGACTCTGCCATTACCGTTACCCTTAATTTTTGCTATTGCTTAACTTGCTTTTTGAAGAAATTAGCATCAGGAAAAATGAGTTTCCAGCCCCTCTAAAAGCCAACTATATCTTCTCTCCAGCCTCTAGTGCTCCGTATGTTTGCTTAGCTGGAGATCTCCCGCATTTACATTAGCGAACCGGCTTCTTTTTATGGTCGTATCTCTCTCGTTCTGTATCTTTCTCTCATTCTCACTCTCTCTCTCCCATTCGATGCAAATTATTCGATGATGCCCCCTCTAGCTATTAGCCAAGATCAAATTACACGGAACGGTCGCCGCCGCCGATCGTGTTCAGCTGTTATTCAGGCGAGTGAGAGAGAGAGAGAGAGAGAGAGAGAGAGAGATATGTGTCATTTGGCCTCGAGCGGTATTTGTCTGTCGGTGAGGATAGATGGATCGGTGGCCGTCAAACACTTGTCGCGCAAATAGCCGCCCGGGTATTTTGAAAGGAACACCAGCCGATCCTGTCCTAATACCTCATTTATGGCAGGTGGGCGCGCATTTTAGATTTTGCGCATCTGCCTTGGGAATAGATCGCTAATTTTCTGAGGAGCAGCAACTAGCAAAGGTTCTTGAGGAAGTTTTAGGGGATCTAGGATCTCGGAATTCAATCCATCATCACTTCAATGCGCCTTTAACCTCCAAATCCCAGGCCTACAGCCTCGCCCGGCAATCCAAGCGAAATCCCTCCATTGTCACAGGCGGATTCGATAGGTGCGTGGATGTCATAAATCCCGGGGATCCCCCTCCTCCTCCTCCTCAAAAAATAGGGTGAGCATGATGGCCAGAACCCTCTAAAGGGGGCAATTTCCCATTATTCCGGGGGTCACCCACACACCGCCAACATCTGAGGCTTTTTTGCTTCCCTTAGGCTGCCCCGCGCCTTTAATGGAGGATATAGGATGCGAGAGAGAGAGAGAGAGAGAGAGAGAGAGAGAGAGATATGGTCTAATCCGGTGCCCCCAGGGCACATGTGAGGATTTTGGACTGTGTGTCGGTGCTAATCTGGTCGCTTCTGCCTTTAATATAAGGACTGCCGAGAGGACTTTGACATCTGTGGCACACTATAAACAGCTCCTAAAGAGACAGTGACAATTGATCGGACCTCGTAAATGGTCACTGTAGCTTGCCTTTTGCCATCTGGCTAGTGACTTAACAAGTCAACCGTTATATCCAGAAGAAACTCTGCTAGTTTGCCTAATGTCGCTCTTGCTCACTGCTTTTTCATGGGTGAATTTTAGGAGTTTTTCGTTTCCCTACTGGTCTCTGCTTATACCGGTAATCTGTCTAAGTAATCCACGCTAGCTAGCCCAAAGACCTTTTTGACGACCTTTTAATGTCGTCCTATGGTATCTGTCACCGTACCCTCTCCCGGCTAAAAACGCAATATAGCGGTGCCGCCGCTATCAATTAGTGTTGCGCAACCCGGGCGGGCTTTTTCAGTTATAGGGCCTTTCGAGATCATTCCGCAGGTCACACCTCCCGGCCATTGTTTGCAATTTCGCGTGCTGTGCGTGAGCGGGGCAATTAGGGGGTCAGGTGGGAGATATGGATCTCAAAAAAAAAAAATAGGCTAGCCTAGCTACCTAATAATAAGGATTTAGGGAAAGCTAATAGTGGTTTTTGTCAACAGCATGGACTCATTCGAAAAAATGGCTAAAACGGAAGAATCGCTCCTAGTTTGCAATCTATCCGGAATCTTGGCTCGTTAAAGCTAACTAGAGTTTAATTTGGGCAAGCTAGCAGCGGTTCCTTGCGGAAAGCTATGGATAGCTACGAGTCGGGAATTAGAAATAAAAAATCTCTGCTAGTTTGCCTGGTGTTTGCTTACGCTAGGTCAGCTGGCAGTGATTATTTGCGGAAAATTAGCCGATTCGCTAGAAAGTCAGCAAATCACGCAAAATCTCTGCTAGCACGCTCTTTCCCAGCACCTTTCTTCCTCAAAACTCATCACCCCCATCCTCGAAATGGCCTTCAATTTTCGAACCATCCCCCTGGGTCATTTTTCAATTCAACAGGGTCCGTATTCCCCCTTGAGCCGGTGAACGCCATAAAATGAGGGGACGGTAGGGGTGGTAAAGGGTAAGCAGGTAACGTGGAAAACTAGAGAAAGCAAGAAAGGTGGTGACCGTTTTTCCAAAAGACCCCTAAAGATGACGACCCCAACATTGCCAGTTACCCCCATCATTTTCCGGGTGGACGGGTTTCGGGTTGTCGCGATAATACGGTACTTTCCGCGTTGCTCCAATCGCCGATTTTATGGCAAGGGATTGGCGGGCTTTTTGGATTTATATATCTAGTATCGCGGTAATAAAAGGTAGGGGGAAACTGGTTGAATATGTCAGCATAGTAATCGGAATTTTGTATTGGTTTTGAACCGATTAAAGGGATGGTGACAGCAGGAAACGGAATGATTTTCGTAGAGTGATGCGGAAAATTCAGAATCTCCGTGGGAAAAATTAAAAATAAACGGAAACGTCTAAAACTTCTCGGAAAAAAACGTCTTTGACTTGCCAGTCCTCTTAAACGAAAACTCGGTCGAGTAGTAAATTTTGGGGTGATAGTCGGAATCTCGAAATTTCTGAATCTCGAAATTTCGGAATCTCGAAATTCCGGAAATATTAGCAGATTCATGGAAGCAAAACTATTGTGTATCCAAATTTTTCAGATACAAATACAAGATTTCCGGTAAAACGAAAAGTAGACCCCCTCTAACTCGACGGAGAAGCGTCGGATCGGGATGATAGTCATGCCATCCGAAGGCCCTTGAAACGACGAGTTGATAAACACCTTTTTTCAGCGGGTCTACTTTTCGTTTTATCGGAAATATTGTATTTGTATCTGAAAAATTTGGCTACATAATAGTTTTGCTTCCAGGAATCTGCTAATATTTCCGGAATTTCGAGATTCCGAAAATTCGAGATTCCGCAATTTCGAGATTCCGAAATTTCGAGATTCAGAAATTTCGAGATTCCGAAATTTCGAGATTCCGACCCCTACCCTAAATTTTGTAGCTGTAAACACCTCTAGAAGACAAGGAAAATCATAATCTTCACAGTCCCGATTTTTTGGCTTCGCAGTCCCCTTAATAGCGAAGCCCTGGTTCTCTCGACAAGTTTTCTTGACGATAAACCCTCAAAAACCTCTTGCTCACATTTACGACACATTCTCGCTCAGATCGTCAATCTTGCTCCCCTCCCTCATCCTCCTGGAACCACCAATTTATCTTCGGCTTCTCCTCGCCCTCCCCAAGACCCCCAAGATGCAAATTTATTCAGACAACTGGCTGGCTCTAGGTGACAATTACTAATGACCGATATTCCATCAAAAATCGGGTTTCCCTGCGGGTAATTTTGGTCTCTTGGTCTCTCTCTCTCTCTCTCTCTCTCTCTCTCTCTCTCGCCTAAAGGCACAGGTGTGTTATTGCAAGACGGGGCACACTTTAGGGGCGACTGACCACTAGGTATCGGAGGTGTAAGGTCGTAAATCAGCGCGTGGCCCCCGGGGGCACACATTTTAGGCCACCTATCAAAGACGCACTAGCGCTACTCCTTCCGGTTTTGACACCTTCCGGGTTGACAGTTGGTAGCGGGAAGATAAAAGGTCTCTGCGAGGCGGTTGGGTAGTGGCAGGAAGTTGTAAAAAACGGAAGGAGTTGCCAGTCGGAAGGAGGAAGGGAGGTCACTTTTTAGAAGTCGGATTTGAATTTTTGGATGTGATTCATGGGGTTATAGGCTTTGCATCGAATCTAGGAGAACTTTCGGGCAAGCTAGCAGAGAATTTTGTGGATTTGTGATAATTCGAGCGTAGCGTTTTCGGAATTAGGGCAATTTAGCATAGACCCTTTTGGAAAACGAGCAGAAGGCGAGCAAAGATCCCTTAAAATTTGTCACCAAAGCAACTCAAGCCCGAAAGCGTTAAAAAACTATTTTTTCATTTTTTCAATTTCACTTCTCGGTTGCCTAGCCAGTTCCAGTTTCAAAAAGCTACCATAACCCCCAAAAGTACCATAACCGCCACCCCACCCTGCTAATCACAACCTTCACAGGTGAAACCCGACCCCACTAGGTCAGCCATTACAAAAACGGGCAAGCAGTGGTTTCTGCGGGCCGTTAATCCCAGCTTAATTTGACGGTTGTGTCGCTAGGGGGTGCTAGCTAGCGGAGTTGACGCTGGAGGTGTAAAAGCTGTAAAATCAGATCGGATGGACCGGGATTAAAGTATTGGATGGTAGCTAAAGAAATGCGAGCTGCGGCTGGCACGGTTTGGGGCTGGATAAAAGGAACTAAAAAGTCGAAGAATCGACACCTGAGGTTCTCTATTTCTCTTTCTCGCTCTCTCTATCGCTCTCTCTCACTGTCTCTCTCTCTGTCTCTCTTTCTCCGCTCGATCCAGCCAGGTGCCCGCACTTCCGAAGGTGCTCAGATTCCTTTTATGGGTTCTGTATGGCTGCAGAGATGCGGGGCTTTATTAGGCGCCTTATAGCCCCTCCATTAGTCTCCCCAATTCTAGAGGTCGAATGGCGAGATTTCTGTTTGTCTGCACGCATTTGGTTGTGCCGCTCTATCTCCCCCTTCCTGTGCGACTGCCTCTAGGCCACCGGATTGCCCGGTCGACCGGAAACAAATTTTTTGCGCAATCGAGCAAGATCGTGAACACCCCCACCACGGATGGGGTGAATGCGCCGTATTCGTAATAGGGTGTTAGGTGAAAGAAATGGCAGGGTTTTATGGTATTCTTCTGAAAAATTATCCGTTGAAATGTAGATTATGCTTAGATACTTAGGCACAATAGCGCCACGGAATTTTAGAGGTATGTTAAGTTGTTAAAATGTGAAGTTAAAAATACCTTGATTTCACGAATTTAATTCTACACTATTTCTAACCCTTCTCGACCCCCGCAGCTGCCATTAATCAATCC